TTCCCCCCACACCCTGAGCCTTGAATAGTGATGGTCTTAAGTGACTGATTTTTCAAACTAAAACCAGAACAACTTTGCCTGTCACTGAGAGGAGTGGAACAATTTCTTTCACTTGAACTTTGACATCTTATTTGGATTTATTAATTTTTGTATAAATCAGGTACACCATTGTTCTTTATGGCACCCTGATTCATTCCAAGCTACTGAGATTTACTCCATTATTTTCTTGCTATGGAATTTAGGATTTACAAGTTCTTTAACCAAGACTACTTTGGCAGTATCAAAACACTGTCATTTAATGTAATTTATTTTAACCTCATTTAATGCCCATTTTTAGTCAATGAATTTCACTGAAGTGATTGCCCTCTCTCTGCCCAACAATACTTTAATAAGAATATGAATTCAATAATGGTTCTCCAGGGGGTTTGATACATGGTAGTCTATTTTAAACCTATATAATTAATTTATTGTTGTAGTTGGAGATGATAGATTCAAATATCGAGCTTTCTTTTTGATGTTTACCCTCACTTTGCCTGTGCATCTCCTCTCAGAGAGCTGGAGGAGAGTGCCAAGAGCAAGCCGAGGAGAGCAGGATCGGTTCCCAGGCGGCTGGTCCCGCCGGGGCCATGGCGCTGTCCCTGGTGCTGCACCCACGACCCGGGCGCTGTGAGGCAAATCACAGAATCCCAGAGTTTTCTGCATTGGAAGGGACCCACAAGGATCGTTGAGTCCAACCCTTATCCCCGCACAGGAACATTCCCAAGAATCACACCATGGGCCCAAGAGCATCATCCAAATGCTTCTTGAGCTCTGGCAGGCTTGGTGCTGTGACCACTTCCCTGGGGAGTCTGTTCCAGTACCCAACCACCTCTGGGTAAAGAACCTCTTTCTAATATCCAACCTAAACCTGCTTTGATGCAATTTCAGGCCATTCCCTTGGGTATTTTCACTGGTCACCACAGAGAAGAGATCAGTGTTGGCCCCTCTTCTTCCCATCATGAGGAAGTTGTAGACTCCAGTGAGGTCTCCCCTCAGTTTCCTCTTCTCCAGACTGAACAGACCAAGTGACATCAGCCACTCCTCATATGGCTTCTCCTCAGGGCCCATCCCAACGCTAGTTTGTATTAAGGAGAATTAAATAGAAGAATGACGTAGTCAGGAAAAGGATGATTAACCTACCGTCATAGGTCAGACCAAAAAATGACTTCATTACACCAACCTGACTATAAGGTTTATAATAAAGATTAACTGAAAAGTCTCAAAGGTTCTGAATTACTTGTAGATATTTTATTTTGAAATAAAAGTGGTTAATACCCTTAATCTATACATGTAGAATATGTGGATGAAGTGTTTTGGAAAAAATAGAAGAAACCCATCAAGAATTAGTCTTATGTGTATGGCTCTGAAGATACAAGTTATCTCAAGCTTTGAGGAAGATGAACGCTCATTTTAGCTTCTTGTTATCCTCACTTTTTCTGCTGTTATTTGCACTTTCCTTGTGCATTTACATGACTTATAATTTCATCATTAGGTTTTGTAATGTGGGGGTTTTCTCTACTGTTTGGCAAATGTACATCTTCTTTGCACATTGTAACTCAGTTTTTTTTTCCCATCCTATGAATGCAAATAGGTTGTAACTCCTTGAGAGTCAGAGAATTTTTGTCACTAATTTCATGTCATAAAAAGCAGTTTCACTTGACCTAGTAGTACCAGTATCTGATATGGCTTACCATTATCAGCTTCAGGGAGGATTCAAATGTAATGAATCGTCCTTCCTTTCCAACACTGAACTGCCATCAGAAGTGTATAAAAAGAAATGAGGTGCGTCCTATCGAATGGTATATATAACAAGTACTAAGGAAGTTGGTTTGAGCAATCTCGGAGCAGTTTACTACATTTATTTGAATGAAAGGAGCTAAAAATGAACTTTCAATTCCTTAGCAGAAAGACTTTTGAGATGGTCTAGGTTATGAATTTATTCATCTGCTCTGGGGCAATGGTTAGTATACGTGCTGTTATGGTAAAGGCCAAGTGACTTGCCCTTCACTAAAGAAATCTTTTATTCAAAACCACCTTTTCTTTACCATGTTTTCTGTAGCAAAGACAATATCTAGCTAAAAACACAAGGGCTTAACACCCTATTCTGATGCTCTGTGCTAACTTGTTTTTTGTAGCATGTATCTTCTTTCCTGTCCTTACAAAGTCTTGTTGCTCCATCCTTGGCTCCAGTCTACAGGTTTCTCCTTTTGCTTCCCAGTAGGGATCCTTGATCCCTAGCCCTGCAGTCACCAGCTTTTTCTCAGTCCCTCTCCAGATTGCTGTCACCTATTCTTTTGCTGAGGCTTTGCTGCTACCTTTTTGGCTTTTGTCCCCAAGGTGCTATTACTGTCTTTCAGCCTTTACTCCCTCTGTTGTTGCTGTACCTGTCCGTTCATATGGAAGTAAGAGACAATCCTAGAATCCTTTTTATTTCCTCTGGTAAACAAATCACGTTTTTCTTTAGGATTTCTTCTCTTCTATTTCTTCTCCATTTTCTCATCTTACCTCATGATTCCAAGACTGATAGTTCCCTCTTAAAGGAACAGAGAAAGGAAATAATGGATGGATAGTCACATAAAAGAAAACTACTTCACCCATGAGAAGCCATTCTTTTAAGTTCACGATGGGAGGTTTTTTAGGTGTTTAATGTTACACTTACCCATTGCTGTGTGTAATCCAAAACTAGTTCTAAAAGAATAATCAGACTGAGAAACTGGTGAAAGTTTCTGTGTTTCCACTGTGAGAAAGAACTTTATCCCTGCAAAGTAAAAAATTACCAACTTAAAAATGAAACATTTTTGTGAATTTAAACCTTTGCTTCAACCTGATTTTTCATACAATTAATGACTTGAATACTGCTGAATAAAATTGTTAAATTTTGTATTATTCGATATGCAAGTACAAGAATTCCCAATGCATTTTTGTGAGTGAGGTTCATACTGAAATATGCCAGGATGTAATCAGAATGTTTCAGCTTTGAAAAGAAGCGCAGCAACAATACCCCCACGCAAGCTACCCAAACAAACAGCCCACACCCTCCCAGTCCCAACCCAAAAAAACTGACCAGGGTGACATCTGATCTGTTATTGTTGAGATGTTACAACATAAAGCCAGTCTCAGTCTGTTAGTTGCAGAAGAAAAATTTGAACAAGTACCTGAAGAGCAGAGAGAACGTCTGAACAGAGAAGCAGCTTAATGAAAGGTTGCTTAGCAATTGCATTTTACTATACTAATGAAGGTAAATTTTAATAAAAAATAAGATGGCCTTTGGATTTCGTTCAAATTGCCAATACCTGTCAGCTGCTCCTAGTACCACAACCATTTCAGCAAATGGCTAAGATAATGGTTGGAGAAAACAGTGGATATAAGGTCAAGGGGAGAATTTTTTTACATACTTATATATGAACCCATAGCCTCTTCTTGCTACATGGAGCATCCGCCACACTTTCCATTTATAGCTGGGCCATGAATGTACAGTATGAGTGGTGCTGTAATTGTAGTGAGATGTATTTATTTTGGGTTTTGACTAATTTTTTCTCCTATGTAATTTGTTTTCATTCTTTTGCAGTGTCTGGAAGTGTTTATTTCCATAATACTTTTTACCATATTCCAAGATGATTTTAGCTCATCTGTAGTTTCATGTATGCTTAATAGTACTAAGAAGCATATTCTAACTCCCTATTTCTTTCGGTTTTGAACTATCTCTTTCAATGCTGGGTTTTCCTCTGTGCTAAGCATTCAGTCCCTCTATATTATATCTACAGGAGGACTTTGGAAGCTAAAGCCTAGTAAGTACTACGTACTTGATTCCAAATTTGTAGTCCTCAAAAAATTGCTTCTAACAAAGATTGGGGAATGCCTGCCATTTCATTATTAATATTCCCTAAAGTTATGCCTCTAGCTATTTTTGGCAGTGCCTGATCTTGGCTGAAGATTGCAACATTTACTCAATCTATAAGCTCTTCCAGGATTCATAAAACTAGGCCATTCTTTGGCAGTGTTCCCTGATGTGCTTGATCTGATAAGCATAGTGACAGCACTCCTTTGCATAAGTGACTCCTGTATTCTTTTCCCAAAGGAAAGACCATAGGGTGGAAATACAGACGCAGACAGGAAGCAATCCAAAGAATGGCTCCCTACATTTAGAATGGCAATGCTAACTTTCCTTAATGTTTACTTTTAAGACAAATGAGGTTACATACCGAGGGCTTTTCTTGACCATAAGTCTCAGCCCTTTTGTGCATCCAATATAGATCACTTATCTGTGTGTAGAATAATGGAGGAAAGACCCTTCACCTTTTTTAGACTTAATTGACTGTTTTCTAGAGACACTTAGATTTTTGGGTATATGCAGGAACTAGAACTAGAGAGGTCATTCCATATAAAAATTTGTAAATAGGAAACTGTTAACATCTGAGATATGTGAAAACTGTATCAGTGGGGTTGTAAGACTTTAGGCGTTATGATAATAAAATAAAAGTGCTAATTGAGTAAGTTTTCATAATTCAATGTAATAAGTTGCAGTTATTTTAATAGTATAAGTTCTGAGAAAACACTACCTTTCTTAGGAGATGTATGCAGTGATCACAAATCTTTATAATTATTTATATTTATGTTAGAATCTAGAAATATTCTAATTATCAGGCTATTGATATTATTTCCACCTCCCCCCTCCCTGGATTTTCTGTCCTTAAAACACTAAGAAAAATGTGTAAGCAAACACTGTATAAACTTTGCTGTTATGAATGTCACAATAATGGATGCTAAAGACAATTAAAACAAAATTTGAGTAACTAAATCTGAAGGTTTAATTGATGGGTGGGTTTTGAATCTAATAACCTTTGAATCTGACAAATGCAATAATTGTTTGACAGTCTTAAAATGAGAGGTGTGATTAAATGAACAAACGCGTATGATGAATTCTGCTGAGCATTTAGTCTGTGGCTTTGCTTGGTTTTCAGAACTGTCCATTATGAAGGTGGTGCTGTGTCCATTCATGCTCGTTCCCTTTGGCGACTAGAGACTCTAAGAGTTGCGTAAGTAAAATCCATCTCCGAAAAGAAGTACCTTTGACAAGACACTTTTTGTATTGTAAGAGTGATCCTATAAAATCAGAATGATAATGATAAATCCAGACTAGTAAGACTAAAATAAGCTTTAAAAAATACTCTATATCACTTTAACTAAAATTAAATAACTTCCTGTAGAGTATGTGTATGTTTTGATTATTTTTTGATGTTGTTATAGCTGTCACTGAATGAATTCACCATTTACTTTTTTAACACATACATACATAAACAGGACTGATTTTTTTTTTAAAAATTCATGTGTGACACCCTTTCCCCCAACTTGCTTAAGCCATTTGGAAGTAAAAAATTTACAAAAAAAAATGCTATCATGCATTGTTGGAAGTGTTGGAGTGATAGTAAGGAATTGTGCCTTGTTTGTTAAGGTAATTGCAGTGTAAAATTGCACTTAGTGTTACAATATGTGCTTGTGATACAGTTTCTAGAGACTAATAAATGATTGATTTTTAGAGATTGAATCAGGACATCTTATGAAAAGGTTACACTCTAATGATGCTGTTTTCTGTGTGTGCATTTTAGTAATAGGATGACGTTAAATGTCAGTGATAGGGCAGTGAGATTTTTCCTTTGGACTAAAATAGACTTTGAGACAGTGACAACAATGAAACTGTGGAAGGATCTCTGGCTTTTTATTTTCCTCATGGTGTGTAATTCCCTAATAAGCAGTAGTACTGGACCAATCTGGAGATTCAAGAAACATCTGTTACAACCATGATATATCTCACTTTAATAGGCATTTTATACAAATTTTTGAAAGGTAAACGTTTGAACATGTATGACAGAAAGAAATTGTAAGATCTGTCAAAACAACTATAACAAAGGCAGTGGTAATCTTTCTTTTCAAGATTTTCTTATCAGGAAGAAAACCCAAACAAATAAAATCCCAAGAATAATGCTCTCTCCTGCAAGTCCCTCACCAACCTATTTCCTGTATAATATTGTAGTAGCTATATACATTCATTGTTGAATTGCAGTCCATTACCATTCATGCAAATGCTTCAATTTGTAGCTTAGTATATGCATGCCTGAAGTTCTCAATAAGTTGTAGTCCTTCCCAGAATGACTGCACATATAATATTGTGCTAAAATTGTATGATTCTAAAGGAACCATGTTTCCTCCACTCCGTTCTTTAGTGGAGAAGTCCCATAAAAATTGCCTGGGCAGTGTACCTGTGCAGATTCCGTGCCATAGAATGCCAAATACTATTACTCAGCATTGCTTTCTTTCTCAAAAGGCGACAGGGATCATATTCTCACATTGCAGAAAAATGTTTTTAGTAGTCAGAAATGGCTTCACAAGATTCTTTCTGCTCAAGAGGCTTTACACGTAAGTGCACATGGTTGCTATTTTTCTATCCTGCAGGGATGAATTAGGGGCATGGCTCAATTGCACTACTTTTTTCTTTCTTTCTTTTTTTTTCTTATGGTCCATAGCTCTTGGGTCCAAGAGAAAATTGAATCAAACAAGAGAAAAGGCAACTCCCCAGCACGAGTAATATGTAAGGTGCAGAACTCATGTATTTTACCAGACTCAGTAACACAATAGCTGAGATTCATGATCTGCATTTTACTGACTTGAGAACAGAAGTTAACACTAGAACACTGGATTTAGATGTCCTTTTGTGGAGTATACCAACTTTGCTGTGCAGAAGACAGAAAAAGGGAAATGTGTTTCTAAGATATAAAACTTCCGTATTTCCTTCTTCCTCAGAGCTCCCTCAACTTAAACAGAAGAGGCTCTAGTCTAAAAAAGAAAATAGTTGAGGGTGAAAACCTTTTCATTCTTCTGGCCTCTTTAGAATCAGTAACTAAAAAGGTGTAGAAGTTTAATCACTGAAATGTAATAAATCTTGTTACAAAATAGAAGCATTTTAAAAACTCACGGACTTTGAAAATGTCTGCCAAATTGGTTTTCCATACTTTGCATACAGTATGACCAACTCTTAAGAAAACGCATTTAAACAACCGGGTATTGTTATTGAATAGGTAAATGCTCTAATCTGCTACATCTGTATGTCATAGAAAACAAAAATGACGTAAACCTGCTAAAGTGCTAATTAAGGGATTTGCAGACTTGTACGTGAATATATACAAAACATATACATAAAAACTTGTTATTTTTTTAAAGCCACAGTAAGCATAGAAAATTTCTAGTATTTGCAAAAGCACATCAGAACTGTGACATTATGTCATAATTCCATTATGATGGGTATTTTGCAAACACAAAATAAGTGTATGATTTCCTCTCTAAAGAGTAGCATGCCACATACATCTGAAATACAAACTTTTGAAGATATAAGACTGAAGAAAGTTTTGTGAAGACCCAGGAAAACATCCTAGCTGTGACCATTTTCCAATCTAAGGAATATTTGAGAAGCCTTCTGAAAAGCCTTTGTGAAATACATACTCCTTAGTAACCCCTACACAAGTTTGTCTTCAGGAATTAATCAGGAAGAACAGAAGGGCTGAATTTTCAGTTTAAGGCAAGAAGTCAGAAACCTGTCATCTGTATTTAGAGTAATTTTTGGAGAGCTTAGCCAAGCTTTGCCTTTCTTCCTTTATTTCCCCCTATATGAAGAATCTGGGCCATTCTTGGCTTAATAAGTTTTCTTATTTATTTTAGGAAGTTTCTTTATTTATTTGTTTATCCATTTTATTTTTGCACACTATTTTAAGTGTGCTTAAAGTGTGCTGACTGCTAGAAGATGAGGACTCTGGGAGAGTGAACAAACCAAGCTGCTGGTAGATGAAATATTGGAGAGAACTGGCAGATCTAAGCTCTTTGTGTACAGCATAAGCTGCCTTTTCCGTAGGCGGTCTGTACTGTTTCTCATGAGGAATTCAGTCTGAACAAAAGCAGACTGTGCAAAGGAAGAGATTAGGATGTTAAGATTATTTATTAAAATAGTTTTATAGCCACAAAATAGCCATTTTCTTGCTGATACTCCAACATTTAGAATTTTATCTTTTCACCAAGTAGTTGAAAATATAATGTACTTTAAAATATTTTTGCCAGTAGTTAAAATCTTCCTTTTTTCTTTTTTTGTAACTAAATGTTTTCTATGAACTCTCTTAGGTGGAGTGGCAGCCACATTAGATGGGGACAGCCATTCAGACTAAGACATATAACGACAGGAAAATATTTAAGTCTTCTGGATGACAAGAGTCTTCTTCTTACGGACAAAGAGAAGGCAGATATAAAATCTACAGCATTCTGTTTTCGGTCTTCCAAGGTATGGAATCAGTGCAGCATTAGTATAACTAGTACTAATTTCAATGTCTTTGGAAAACAACATTTAAATATTTTCTGTTTGTTGTGATTGCATTGATTACTGGAGCCTTCTGCTTTTCACTGTTTAAAAAAATCCAAAACTCAGTATAATCAATATCTAGAATGCTTCTTTCATGAATACTTTCTTTGTGTATTGCTACCTGTCTGTCTGTTTGTGGTGTGTTGGTTTATTTTGTTTGGTTGGTTGATTGTTTTTTTGTTTTTCTTTGTTTTTTGTTTATTTGTTTGTTTTGTTTTGGGTTAGGGTTTTTTTGTGTATTTTTTTGTTAGTTGGGGATTTTTTGTCCTGCTCACCCACTTTTGAACAGTTTACTCAGTTCTAATTTGTTTTTCTGATTAACTTCTCTGGTTCTTCACTGCTTAGATCTCTTGGCTGTCATAGGAAAAATTTGTAGTATTGTGGGTTACTGAATTTAAATTGGAAATTCAGGATTTTTTTCAGCAGATACTTTATTGTGGTCTAATCTGAAGTTACCGTAGTTTGACTTTTCATTTTGACACCTTCAATAAGCATTTAAAGTTTAAAACAGTACTTTTTTGTAGCATAGTATTAAGTATAATAATAAGAAGATAAATTCTTTAATGTCCTTTGATTTCTCATACTTTTCACGTGTTGCATGGTGTCTCTAAGAATTTGCCAACAATAATTTTGTTGTTGTAAAGAATTATCTTCTAAAATATATAGTAATAGTAAACAGAATTACTCAGTAGGTCTTCTGTAGCATTTACTATACGTATATTTAATTAGTTGCCAGCTTGGGAAGATAAGAAAAGAATAGACACCCAAAAGCAGGTATATAGACTTTTGCATTCTGATAACAAAGACTGTATTTCAGATGATTGTTATGACATGCAGGCAATGTATCTTTTTTAAAACCAAATAGAAAAGTCATAAAAGTGCTTAAATATTTTAAGGGAATGCAGTGCAGCTACATTGGGGATTTCCTGTTGCAGCTATTATAGATCTCAACACTTTAAAGCAAGAGGGATAGAATAATCCATTCACTGATTTTCAAGATGGGTTTTCAGCAAGGGGTTATTCCAAAGGAAGTGGAACAATATACTACGCTCTGCTGTTACATGTTTTATTTAGTCAAAAAAATACTCGAAGGCAAGAATTGTTAGCAATACGGAATATCTTTTGTTGATATGAATAAGGTGGTTTGTCTCTTTTTTCCTGAGGAGTATATGCACATGTGTTTTGGAGATTAGATAATGTTGTATTTAAGAAATGCTTTTAAAAATGCAGACAATGATCTCTAATTTGTCTGTTCATTTAAAGAAATTAATCTTTGTCATCTTTTACTGTGAAACTGCCTTCCCACATTGCCAAGACACATGTGTGTGGTGTAATTATTCTTCTACTCTTTCCTGATTGTAGAAAGATGGAACAAGTAGAAGTTTTTGTCTCACTATTTGTAACATTACTCTGATTAGCTGAAGGAAGATGCTTTTCGTCTACTGCTATCAGGAGAAGCAAAGAATGTTGAAGCTGTATTTGCTTGATTGAATGTACAGTGGAATAGGCATATCAATGTACACATTGAATGTACAGTGGAATAGGCATATCAGTCAGTTGAACCATATGTTTTTGGAGACATGGATGATCTGTTGTGAAGCAGGATGCATGGGCTATTTGTCTTATAAACTGATGTCTGTGGGGAAGGAGTTGGTTCTTAGAAGAGCTAGGTGTTGGGGAAACACCTCTGATTACCGTCACAAACTATAGTATTGTTTGGGATACTACATTTCCTCTCCTGAAGCAACTGCTGTCATGCCATTCTTAGTTTGCAGACTAGTCACAAACACACAGAAACGGATTGCTTTTCTCAGGAAATACTGAGCCTACTGTTGGGCAGTGATAGGTTAAAGGCCATCTCTCAGTGAGAGTTGGATGGTGCTCATCTTTTCCAGGTTGGAAAAAAACCCCCAAATTCCAAAAAAAAAACTTATGAAGGTTAATGCCTGGTTCAGCTAGGGGAATCAAAGTATTTGGGGTTGTTTTGTAAGCTTTTATGTTTCAATAATGACATACTGTCAATTATGATCCTAGTTCTTTCTATGCAGGTGAAATGAATAAGTGAGGTTTTTGTGTTGATGGGATTTCTCTCTCTGTGTCTTTAATTAGCAGTTTTTCTCATTTTTTTTAATAATTAATTGAAAGAAGGATCTCAAATATTCTTTTAGGTCCTGTTTTGGACAAATGCCCGGTATTTAGTGTTTTATGCAAATATTAACCTGTTAGTTATTGTTCATGTATACATTTTTGTCTTCTTCAGGAAAAGCTGGACATAGGGACAAGAAAAGAGGTGGATGGAATGGGAGCACCTGAAATAAAGTATGGAGATTCAATATGCTTTATACAACATGTAGATACAGGCCTATGGCTTACATACCAGTCTGCTGATGCAAAGTCTGTGAGAATGGGTTCTGTGCAGCGAAAGGTAAGACTAAATAGGAATCCATTTCATTCAGTCACAGTTTGATAGGGTGGGTGGGGGTAGGAAATGAAGGGAACTATATGAAGCAACTAATTTCTGGGTTTCAAATATTTTAAGCATGCCTTAGCATGTGAAAGATTGGGTTTCTTTTCAGTCACATATTGAAAAAAGTTAAGTGATGTACTGAATTTTTAAACTGAAAGGCAAACAAAGTGCATGTGTCAGCCTCTAGACATTAACCTACAAACATTGATAAATCTGGATATACTTGATTTCAAATTAAATATTAGTAACAGCCTATAGAATGTGCTAAAATTCCTTTCTTCAGTGTAATTTGGATTGAGGATGCTTTTAGTTCAAAGTACTTCTTTCCACATTGTAAGTGTATTACTTTTTGATCTGGAATGTTCAAGTCTTGAGCCCTGAAAGATTTCTTTTATAGAATAATAATAGCCAAGCAGAATGCTAGCTCAGCATCATAAAGTAGGAAAAATATTATTTTACTTTACACTGTAGTATTTTCCGTAATTGTTTTACATACCAGAACTACAAAGCTGAAGCAAAGGACATACCTTATAATTTTATATATAAAATTTGTCTGTATCGTATGTGTGTATAAATATAAACGCATATATATTCTATAAAATTCTATAAAGGTAATATTTAGAAAACAGTTTCTATACGTGTAAAATTTTAGTGATTATAATACTAACAAAATTATCAATCATAATAATTGTAATACCTAAATAATTCTAAAATAATTCAAAATAAGTTACCTTACTAAATAATTTAGTAATGCAAGTCTTATAAATTGCATGTGTGTGTGTATACATGTACCTGCATGAAAAAAACTTGTTACCATAAATGGTTTAAAATATTTATGTAGATTGGGTTGAATACCTTCAGAACCATTATAACTAAACATGAAAAACTGTAAGTTATTGGAAATCACTCAAAGCATTCACTCAAAGAAAAGAAGACCAATAACACTCTTAGAAAACAGAACCAGTAAAGAATACCTGTTATGACCATGTCTGCTTTAGGGCTTTGCTGCTTTTAACATTGATAAAAACAAACAGCAAGCAAAACCCCTTAGATTTTTTTTATTTATTTATTTTTTTAAATAAAATATACTGTTTACAAAAGCTGTGGCTTTGAGATTATTATGGCACTGAACCTGCTGGCTCAGTAAAGTCTGTCCTTGGAAATGAGGAACTAAAACATGGAATTATCTGTTTTTAATCAAATAGTTATTTCTGTATATGACTTCATCATTTCCTAGCCTCCCTTACTGTGTGAGTTTTCAAACTTCTTATTTGCAAATAATGTTTCATTTTGCAGTAACTGCTCCTTATTTTTGTTTTGCAGGCAATAATGCACCATGAAGGTCACATGGATGATGGTTTAACACTGTCTAGATCTCAGAATGAAGAATCCCGTACAGCACGTGTCATCCGTAGTACAGTCTTCCTTTTCAACAGGTTTATAAGGTATGCTTTTAAAATGATGTTTTTATCCTTTTTCTTTTTTTTCTCTTCTGTTTTATTCAAAGTGGCCATTAACACAACAGTGAACAATTTAGCCTTCAGAAAAAAAATAGATGAATGCCTCTCAAAGCAGACTTTGTCAATTCTGTATGTGTTATCAGCAGATAAGGGCCTTGAGAGATACTGGTCAGATTCTTTTCTCTGTCTTCTAATACCAGTTTATCGTTCAATCTTGATTTAAATGCATAACATACTGAAAATGCAAACAAACCATAAAAGAGAGGTTTTTCCTTTCCAGCATTTGCTTTAAGCATGCGGTGCATCATTTAGCTTTTCCTTTTCTAAGTATAGTTTTTAAGAGTTCTCTTCCTTGAAAAACCTGGAAGAAGGAGATAATCGTATGACTACAGATTTGTTAAAAACACAAATATACTGAAGAAATTCATAGTCTCAAGAAAATTTTTTCTTAAAAATTATACCTTCTTTCTGCCTTCCCATTACACTTTGCTTACTTGTTCCCTTTTAATGCTACTTTTTTCTTTAATATTTTGAAACATTGAAAAATGTGTTATTTTATAGTAATTAGCCATTTTAAAATCCTGTCAGATTTATGCAATTTGCATTTATCTTCCTATTCCAAATCTCCTCCTAAATAACACTGATAAAATACTAATTCTCAATTGCTTCTAATTTCAGTAATTGATGAAAGGCCCATTCATCAGTGTAGCTTGTATTAGAAAAAGAATGATAAGCAATAAGACTATATAGAATGATAAGAATTTCATAAGAATTCATTTGTGACAAGAAAAAAACAGTGTGGGAGGTGGTGACCTGAAGCAACTATGTCATAAATCGTTGCACAGCCAAAGACATACAGATGTCAATTTGTTGAAAAACATTTAACAAGGTACTTAAATAACAACAGAGAAAATCATCTATCAGGAGAATTGCCTCCTGTATGACATTTAAAATACAAAAGAAATGTAAGACCTAGGTCACTTCCGAAATAATACAGCTTCTTAGAAGCTTCTAAGAATGCCATAAAAGATAAGGACAGAGAAAGGGAATTTAATGATAAGGTTTCGCAAATTAAGGTATTGCTAAATTACAGTGGAGATTTTTGTGGATTGCACAGGGAGTCCAAGGTAGTGTTTAACAGTTCAGTGTTGGCAGGATGTTACTCCAAGAAGAAAAAGCTGAATTGGAGAGGATGAAAATCATTCTAAGCGTTCTTTCCCACAAAGGCAGTAGAAAAATTGCACTTTGGATAACAGGTTCAGAATAAAAATTAAATTTTAAAGATAACTTTTGTAGCTATCCTTTTGAAATATTGCATTTATTGTAAGAGATTTGAAAAATGAAACCAGCCACACAAAAAACCCAACCCAAATATCAAACAACAAGCGTATCACCCCCACCCTGTCCCAAATATTTTATCTTAATCCAACAAGAAGCAGAGTATGAAATGAGGCTTGTTCTCCATATCATGGCCAGGAGATGAATCCTGGGAGCAAGCCAGGTGCTGTACAGCTCAGGAGAAAGGATTGGCAAGGACAGTTGTGGGTTAGGTTGCTGGGAACCTTTGGTGCCTTCAAGGAAAGAAAAGAGGGAGATGGGTATGAGGCTGAGTGGGTGACTGTATGGGCATGGTGGGCTGCTCTACTCTGTTTATGCTGATCTAAAGACCACCAGTGAACACAAAAAGGACCTCGTTGCTACATAATTGGGCTTTACTCAAAAATAAGCTAGCAAAATAACAGTCTTACAATGGCAGAATGCAGAATAACTCATAAGAGAAATCATATGCCAAATAATCCCACTCTTCCCTGCTGTGTGCCGCCAGGGTGGGCCCTTCTGCTCAGGGCTACTTCTCTCCCAGCACTTCGGGCCCTGGCTGGCTACTGCAGAGCTTCGAGATCTCCAGACCTTTCCTTCTTCCTAGAGCATGGGTGTTATTTTCCCAAACCCTCTTCACCCCAGTTTCTCTCTCCCTCATGGCTCCTCCTGCTCCTTGCAGAAGGTTCTTGAGGGCCTCCTGCAACCCTTGCTGGGGCAGACCCCCTGCCCACCATCATCTTCCTGACGGATGTGCAAGGGATGTGCATAGTGCTGGTGAGGTCTCGCCTGTGTTTCAATAAAGATGAGGTTTAAATGGAGGAGAGAGTTATATCAGGGGTCTGGAAAGCCCAGCACTGAGGGAAAATTGGATTCTGGAGTTTGTTGGAGCTCAGCCGGGGCAGGTGCAACATGTTAGAGGACAGTGAGCCCTCCACTTCTAGGAGAAACTGATCATAGACTACTGCAAGGCCAGTCGTAAACTGGGTATTAAGGAAACAAAAAGGCTAATGGATTGCTGGGATGGAGTGTGTGGAAGTGCTGAGCCTTCAGCACTGGAGAAGGCTTAAGAACAGGTTAGAGATGTGTTTGAGAGCCTCCATGGGCTATCCGGACCCTCTTTGGCACCACAGAACTGGTTTCTTTAACTTCTGTCCATTCCAGCTTCATGATGCTTTGTACAGATTTACAGGAACTTCTCTTTTTCTTTTCCTCTGTCTCTGAAAATACTACATGTGTAGATAGAATATTAAAGTGTTTTCTGGATTTCAAAAAAAAAAATACAAGAGAAACAACGTTTTTGATGCTTTTAGGTTATGTTTGGGAAGGTAGGGGTGGATTATTAAATAGAGAATGGGCAGACATATATAATTTTTGAGGAGTTACTTGGCTGTCAGAAAATGATTCAAGCTTTGGCATCTAAACAAACTAAACTTTTAAATAAATAAAGAGTTTGAACGATAAATTAATTTTTCAATATTCAGGAGACTTTGCATCTTTTTATAGGGGCCTTGATGCTCTCAGCAAAAAAGTAAAGTCTTCCACCGTCGATTTGCCTATTGAGTCAGTCAGTCTGAGCCTTCAGGACTTGATTGGATACTTTCACCCTCCTGATGAACATTTGGAGCATGAAAACAAACAAAATAGGCTCCGAGCACTGAAGAACCGCCAGAACCTCTTCCAAGAAGAGGTAGTTCTTTCAGTTTTATTCCTGATTTTCCACCATGTTATCTGCAAGTATTCTTTCACAATATCTGTAGTGTTGCTATCTAATGTGGAGTATGATTACATTGTTTTGGGTTTTTTTATCCTGTAAGACTCAAACTATTTGCTATATTTATAATCTCTCTAGATGTGTTGATTTTCCTGTTTATTTAAAGAAATTCATTTAAGACCTTGCTTCCTTTTTCTTTTTTTAAAAAATTAAATATTAGTGCTCTGAATTCTAACCATAATTTTCTTCTTATGTGTGAATTAGTTTCTTTAGTTATAGTTTAATCTCTTGATGCAGAAGGATGTTTTGGTTTAATAAGCATGCTTTAAGTATCTTGTTTATTATTATCTGTTATTTCTTTGGCAGTGATAGTTGCCTATAATTTTTCAGATGCCTAAATGTCTTTAAGAATAGAAAATTGTCTAAAATTATACCTTTTTTGTTTTAATTTGACCATACTAAATGGTAGGTTTTTATTATCACAGCCAAAGAAAACTTTCCATAGGGATTGCTTGTTTGACTTCATGTATATATTCTTGTGTTTTGCATATGCTATCCTTCATGTTGTGTTTTCTTAGATTTCTGTAAACTTTTTTTGTTTGCACCTAAAAAATACTTTTTTTTAGGGTATGATCAACCTTGTTCTTGAATGTATTGATCGCTTGAATGTATACAGCAGTGCAGCTCATTTTGCAGATGTAGCTGGGAAGGAAGCTGGAGAAGCATGGAAATCTATTCTGAATTCTTTGTATGAATTACTAGGTAAGACATAGTATGCGTTGTTGTTTTAGTTCAAAATAATAAAGAATAAAGAAACCCATACCTGTTTTATTTTAGAAGAATTTCCCCTGTGTAGAACTTTATGATACAAATTAAACCAGATTTTTGCATTTTCAGGTCCTTGCATGTGCTTAAGAATAACATACACCGAAAACACTCATATATTGTAAATTTTATGATAATATTTATAATGAAAAATAGTAAGTTTCTGACTTGAATGATTGACTGCTTTTTCATATCATCATATTGCTTCTGTATCTTGTATATGATCCAAAAATGTGTGAACAAAATATATGTAAATACATCTTTCTTATGTTAAGGAGACATGACTATGGTCAGATTTGTAGAAGTCTATGATTTTTCACACATCTACCTGCAGAACTGCAGCATATATCTAAAGCTTCTATAACCAAGAACTCTCTTATTAGTCAGCAATGACCAGTGACTCCAGCATTATACTAGTGTACGGTATGCCATGGAAAGGTATACTCATGTAAAATCTAGTCATTAAGTTCTTGTCCACCTGCAGTCACTGAAAATCTCACAATACCTCCTGCAATTTTATTTGCATACATTACTTATGTTCAGTTATGAATCATTATATAGGGTTATTAATCCCCTTATATAAACTACCTGGATATTCACCCCTCCTGAGTTCCTAATTGTCCACAAAAGGAAATTTTGCTGCCCAAGAGACTGTTTTGTCCGTTCTTTTCTCCTCTGTCAGTAGGTTTTCTTGTTGCCATAACTAAGCCTAAACATTAATAGTAACACTGACCTTAAGTGACTGAGGACAGTAATGTGTCCGTGTCATTAAGCAGTCCTTTGTGCAGGCTGCATACATGTCGCTATTCTGCTTTCTTTCTGTAACACACTAGCTCTGATGTGTGGGCCTGCTTGCCTTTAAACTTGCACATGTCTTGTCAAAAGCTCAAGTTTGGACAAAGTCCTCTTGCAGGATTGTTATCTTACTTTCTAATAAAACCTAAAGCATTTTGTGTATAATTTATACTAAATCTCACTCCTGAAAAAATTATTATTGAAAAGGTGTACAAGTAATGTTACTTTTTGCATAAATTCCATTTAAAACTCCATAACTAAATATATAGTTTGTAAAATGAAGTGAATCAAGTTGTTAGGAAGTGCCCAGGTGAATGTAGTGTGGATATTACTAATTGGCTTTTTTGTAGGTATGCATTGTGAAACATGGCTGCATACTAGTTTTTCTATAGGACCCATTCCTTATTTAGGGCTCATTTATTACTAGGACTTAAAATACTTAGTTTTCTCTCTGCTACTTTGTGTGTGGCATTGAACCTACTTTATTGTGAGCCTTTTTGTGCCATTTATAATTAGTAATCTCAATAATTAGAATTATTAGTAAGTGTCTGTTGGAAACTTCTGCAATAAGGCAAATCAAAGGTATTATCTCTCATTCGTCAGAGGAACAGATGCAGAGAGAAATTTAGGTAAAAAGACTTTACCAATGCTACTTCCCAAATTAAGAGCTGTGGGATCTGACCTTTTTTTTCAGAATATTCAGCAGTATTTCAGGTGTGCAAGGCATACTGAAAACTTGCATTCCTCCAAATTCAGAGGCACAGTAAATGAAATTTTAATTGCATGCCTCACTTGACATAAATTCTTCTTACTACCCTACAGCAAAGTGAGACAACAGAGGCAGGAGTTCTGTATATAACACTGTCACAAAGCTTTTCCATAATGGAAGTAGTTTTATTATCTTGTGTTCTTGCAAAAGAAAATAATCTTAGGGGGAAAAAAGGATATCCAGTATATGATGCACAGCCTTTCATAAAAGAAACAAGATGCTTTTGTCTGATCCACTGCCTTTACTGTTGGACTAAATAGGAGCTGACACAGTAAATGGCACTGAGACAACCAGAAGCCTTTTCCTGTGATCTCTCAGAGCAAAGAAGGAGCTAGCTGAACAGTGGCTGCTGTCCCCTAACCACAGGCTTTTGGAGTAGGTGGTTCCTCTAGCTGTGATTCTAGGTGAGAAGTTGCTGAGATCTACCACCTCTATTGTTGAAGATTGCAGCATAATGCAGCCCAGGCTGCAAGGGTGACCAAAAAAGCACTTCCTAACATTGGATTGGTAGGTTTTATAAACATCATAAGGCAATTTTTATGTTTTTAGTTTTGGTTTTCATGCAAAGATTTCATTGCAAGATAAATACACCCTTTATACACCTCTCTCCAGTTGTGTAACTTGCAGCACAGTGAAAAGTCAGTGAAGTCAGCATGTAAGTCAAAAGTGGGGCTGAAACTTGACATACATCAGACTGCTTTGATTTCAGCTTAGAGTAATTTGTATTAATGGTACACTGTTGTCCTTTGTACTGTAATTTTATATGAAGAACCTTTTCAGAGGTAGATGGGAGTTTTTGCCATTGGATTTATGATACTTGATGATTGAGAGATTTTATGACTTGACAACATGAATTATATTGTAGGTTCTTGAGAGGAGTGTCCAGATCCTTTTCCTCTGTTTTTTTTTTCTCTTGTGTCTTATGTTTTTCAAGGCAGTTATAGGCCTTTCTAACGTTTGTTTGCATGTTACAGTTCCATTATCTTTGCCAATTTCTTATCTTCATTCAGAGCTCTGGTATCTGCTGTAGAAAATGTTTCTTGCTGTTTTCTCTGTATTTCAACAAAACAAAATAGAATCACAGAATGTGTAAGGTTGGAAGGGACCTCTGATGGGGTCATCTGGTATAGTGTCCCTACTCAGGCATGGTCTTCCTATAACATATTGCACAGGACTGAGTACAGACAGATTTTGAATATCTCCAGGGAGGGAGACATCACAACCTCTCTGGACAATCTGTTGTTCCAGTGCACAGTCACCAACACAGTAAAGTTCTTCCTCGTGTTCAGGTGGAACTTCCTGTGCATCAGTTTCTTCCTGTTGCCTCTCATCTTGTTGCTTGGCACCAACAAGAAGAGCCTGTCTCCATCCTCTTGACACTCACCCTTCAAATACATGTATATATTGATGAGGCCCCCTCTCAGTCTTCTCTTCTCCAGGCTAAATAGGCCCAGCTGTCTCAGTCTTTTCTCATAAGAGAGAAGACTGAGATCCAGTCCCGTAATGAGCTTTGCAGCCCTCCACTACACTCACTCCAGGAGCATCTAATGCACCCCAGGATACCACTGGCCTTCTTGGCCACCAGGGCACACTGCTGGCTCATGGACAGCTTGTTGTCCACCAGGACCTCCAGGTCCTTCTCTGCAGAGCTGCTTTCCAGCAGGTCAGCCCCCAGTCTGTACTTATTCAGTGGGTTATTCCTCCCCAGGTGAAGAACCCCGCTTTTGCCCTTGTTGAACTTCAGACAGTTCTGCTCTGCCTAATTCTCCAACCTGTCGAGGTCCTCCTGAAGGGCTGCACAGCTCTCTGGGATATTTACCCACTCCTCCCAACTTTGTGCCATCAGTGAACTTGCTAAGGAGGCACCTGCCCCTCCATCCAAGTCACTGATGAGCAAGGTAAACAACTCTGGACCCAGTATTGAACTATGTGGGACACCACTAGCGACAGGAATCCAACTAGACTCTCTGCCACTGATTACGATCCCCTGGGATCTGCCATTTGGGCAGTTCTCAGTCCACCTCACTGTCTTCTCATCCAGTCCACACTTCCTGAGTTTGCCTGTGAGGATATTGTGAGAGAGAGTCTCAAAAGCCTTGCTGAAGTCAAGGTAGACAATATCCAGTGCTTTCCCCTCATCCATCCAGGTGGTTGTTTTATTGGAGAAGGCAATCAAGTTGGTCAGGCATGGTTTACCTTTAGTAAATCCATGCTGACTACTCCTGATCACTTTCTTGTCAACCATGTGGATAGACATGGCCTTCAGAATGAGATGCTCCATTATCTTTCCAAGGATTGAGGTGAGGCTGAGTGACTGGTAGTTTCCTGTGTCCTCCTTCTTGCTCTTTTTGAAGATCAAGATGATGTTTGCTTTCTTCCAGTCCTCAGTCACCTTTCCTGGTTGCCATGACCTTTCAAAGATGATTGTGAGCAGCCTTGCTATGGTGTCCACCAGCTCCTTCAGCACTCGTGGATGCATCATGTCAGGGCGCATATACTTGTGGATGCTAATTTTTCCTAGGTGTTCTCTGAGCCAATCCTCCTTAATCAAAGGAAAGTTCCTTCCACCCTTCCTTTTCCCTGGTCTCCTGGGTCACATTCCTGAGGCCTGGTCTTGTTAGTGAAGACCAGTGCAAAGAAGACATTTAGTAACTGCTTTCTCTGCATCCTTTGTCACAAGGGTCCCCACTCCATTTAGTAGTAGGCCCACATCTTCTCTGGTTTTCCTTTTGTATCAGAAAAAAACCCTTCTTGCTGTCCTTGAATTCCTTGTTCAGATTTAATTCCAGATGGGCCTTGGCCTTCCTCATCTTATTTCTATTTACTCTCTGTATTCATTCTAAGTGGCCTGCCCCTGTTTCCATCTCCTGTGTGTTTCCTATTTATGCTCAGTAATGACAGGAGTTCCTTGTTCATCAGTGCAGATCTCTTGCCCCCTTTGCTTGATTTCTTGCTCATCGGGATGCATCATTCTTGAGCCTGGAGGAAGTGGTCTGTGTGTATCAGCCAACTCCCTTGGACCCCTCTCCCTTGCAGGGCTTGTTCCCATGGGATTCTTCAAAGAGTCCTTGAAGAGGCTAAAGTTAGCTCTCTTGAAGTCCATGGTTGCAATCTCACTTGCTGCCCTGCTTCCTCCATGTAAGATACTGAACTCCATGATCTCATAGTCACTGTAGCCAAGCCTGTCCCAACCTTTACGTCTCTAACACGGCCTTCCCTGTTTGTTAGTATGAAGTTGAGCAGCAACTATTTCTTGTGGGATCCTCCACCACCTGTGGCAGGAAGTTGCTGTCAGTGCTTTCCAGGAACCTCCTGGATTGTTTATGTCTTGCTGTGTTGTTCCTGCTGTCAGGGTGGTTAAAGTCCTCCACAAGAACTGGGACATGTGACAGTGAGGTTAATTTCAAGCTGTCTGTAGAAGGCCTCATACTCACGTACCTTTGTTTGTCTCCATGCTTGCAAGCAAACAGATTGTTCAGTCTGAATTCTTTGAAGTTAGCTCAACCACTGGCAGGCAGAAAGGGTTAAAATTTGTAAAAGATGCATGACACTGAACTAAGTTTTCATAGTGAAAATTATATTAAATCTTATTGTGAGCTTCTCCACACTAGTACAACTAGTACAACTGTTATGTTTTCTCTCCCCCTATTTCTCTCTTTTCTCACTCTAATGCCTGTATGAATGCTTGAAAATGTGGTATTACGTAATGTGATGTTGAAGGATAACTTGTACAACCCTGAGGTAAAAAGATCATTTAGAAGGAACATTGGTAAAAGTTTTACGTCTTAATCTATCTTTCAACTCATATGCCCATTAAGTAATGTGAACCTGCTTTAGGCTTTTTTCCTTTTTTTTTTTTTAAGGGTGATTATTTTGTCTATACTAATGACAGTTATATGCTTTATTAAGAATCAGTCAGAGAAGTTATGGCAGGAATTATAAACATTTTAAATTATCCAGACTAGGGCTAGAGAGTTAATGTCTCATCAACTGATGACCTTTTAGAGTGTAGGTTATAGAGTATAAAATTCTGTGGTTGGGTTATTCATGGATGTAGGAGTTAGTTGAATTTTTTGTTACAGTTTAGTTATCTCTTGTTGCATTTAAGCACAGAGCAGACTGGAGGAAGTAATGGCTTGATGTCTGAATCATTTCTTGAAGTCTGAAATTTCCAGTTGGCAAGGCTAGAAAACTCCTGCTGAAAGAATCTGCATGTCTTGTACCTAGTGTTGTTTCCATGGACTTGTAGTGAGAACATTGCACAAGCTTTGGTCTCCATGTCCCTCCTGTCCTCTGATGTTACTTCACCAACTGCATTATGTTCTGTCAGCTAATGCTGGGGAAGCCTGGCTTTGGTCTGGCTATAGTGAATTTGTACATTGCTCTGTTCTGAATAATGCTGGAGCTGTACAGTAATTACATGGATGACAAATGGATATTGCTTTCTCAGTCTTACTTCAGCAAACAGTACTTTGTTTTCTGAGTCTGCACATAAATAAAAGTAAACTGTGATGCCAGAATTCATGGCTTTTGTCATGTCATTGACTTTGTGATATATTTCATTGTGATGAGAATGGAGGCATTTACTGACTTTGAGTTGACTGGAAACTATGACATGGAAAAATCATATAATCTTAGAATGGTTTGGGTCACAAAGGACCTTTAAAGATCATCTAGTCCAGCCATCCTCATTGCAAAAAGTTCCTTCCTTATATTCAATATAAATCTACCATCTTTCAATTTGAAATGATTGACATGTATCCACTAGGGCATCTGTCCCTTCTTTATCACTAATATATGCATTCATTATGAACTTGTACTTAATCCTTTTGTGTCACAGAGTGCAGGAGTATATGCAACAATGTGACTTTAATGTCTAACTGGTTTTTATTTCTTTAAAACTGAATGCTAGTCCTGTCCAGAGTAGTAGACAACAAGAAAAGCAACTGTCGGATGTTATTTTTTGTTTTCAATTTTAAGAGTCTGTGTGCCTCACTTAATGCACAGCTTCAACCAGTGAATACTAACCTTTCACAAACTTCTGCTGAGCTGCATTTATGAAGCCACTTGTGTCTTATTACTGCTAATGAAGTTAAATTTAGTGATGTTAAGCATTGAACTATTACTGCCTTCATTTTATGTTCATACCTGTGGGACAGTGAAATTGTGTGGCTTGCCTATAACCAATAAAAAACACTTATAGAAACAGGTTTTCCTTCGTTCTAATCTCTGTGTTTTAACAAGATGCTCCCCCTTTCCAATAACTGTGGTCATGGTAATTAACAGTGTAAGATTTCAGGGTACAGATTATTTTGTTATATAATGCAGAAAGAGAAAGGTTTTTGTTTGTTTTACTGTTAAGGTTTTTTTCCCGAGTGGTGGTGTTTTTTTTTTTTCCTATGAAGCAATTGGATTGTGATCTCTTTTCTCATGATATAGAACTGTCAGTGCAGTGACTTGTTTGCAATTCCTCTTTGCAGATAGTTTCATATTTTATTATGTCCTAAGTCTCTAAGTTTAACCTTTTATAAATAAAGCAGAATAAAAACACTATTGCAATATAATATAGTGAATTTGTGCAGCAACAAAACAGATTTTAAAAGGCCATTGCCTCTTAGCAACAGTCTCTGCTGCTGAAATAACCATGGAAATTTCAGTTTGAAATAATTTGTTGTCAGAATTGGAAAAAAAATCTTGAGAAAAGCAGTATGCACTCTTCCACACACCAGACAGAAATGTTAGTGCCTCACACCTTTTTGGAATAGAACAAATGCTTCTCTGAGAGCTTGTGTGTACGCACATACCTGCAAATGCATATAATCCAGGACAGGGCTGGCTTGTGGGTGCCTGCAGTGGTCAGTGAGATTTCAGTTCAGTTATACCCACCAAATCAGTGCATGCATTAAGTCTCCGTCTATCTTCAGCTTAAAGCATGAGGGTGAAGCAGATTCAAAACAGTTATTTCCTCCCTACAATCCTGTCAAAATATGGCAAAGTTCCTGGACATCTATCTTGTGTTAATTCCTATTTTTCTTGTACTAAAGTATCAATGGAAAATAATTTACATTCGTCACCTGTATTGTTGGCTCTACACTTTGCTTTTCCAATGTTTTCTGTCATTACAAGAATACTGTTTTACAGAAACTTGCTTCTACAGTAGCAGCTGATTTCTGTGGTGTCAGTACTGGCTACTTCATGTTAGAGCATTTTGCAGGGATTATTGAGATGATTGTAAAGCCAAAATAATTCAAATTCCTTAAAGGTCAATTTGATGTCAAAGGTATTTCTTATGCTTAATTCTAACTATTGCTTACATTGTTTAAATTTAAATCAAGAACATCAATAATTAAAGATTATGAATCTATAATTAGATTACTGGGTTCTTCCTGGCAAGACAAGACAGGGATTACTTAAATTTAAATGGATTCATAACTGTGATTTTTTCTTTTTCTCTCTCTTTTTCCAATAGCGGCTCTGATTCGAGGAAATCGTAAAAACTGTGCTCAATTTTCTGGATCTCTTGATTGGTTGATCAGCAGATTAGAAAGACTTGAAGCTTCTTCTGGTATGTTTTTTAGTATTTTAACTTCCGTATTTGACCAGTTCTAAATTCTTTAAAATTGGTGATATACTTTTTTGTTATTGTTTTTGAAGATGACCTGTTGAAATTCTTTCAAGTTTTATTTCCTCTAATTATGATACAGTAAGTTCAAAAGGTCGGAAGGTTTGTAGACAGACCAGTGGCAAGATAGTTACAATAACAGTGGAACACACCTCTCAGGTTGCATATTTGTAATTTATTCCCATCAATGTCTTGGTTTAGTGTCATGTGTTGTTCCATGAACTGGAAGGAGCATAATGATTGATTACGGAGTTGTCCTCAGGAATTGAAATTGCATTCCCCATCCTGTTCCCATTCCTGAATCGTACTTCTTCCACGGATAGGTGTGTACTTAAGAGTCTGAAATACTAAGGGAGGGATGCCAGGAAGGGAATATGTCCCCCATTGAAAAAGTTCTTTGTTTTATATTAGACTGGCAAACATTTGAAAAGAAATGTCACAGGCACAACATTGTTGTTCTCATCAGCCTTTTACTGTGGCATTAATAGATGAGAAATATCCTGCTATTGCTGAGTATTCTAAGTAAAAATAGGAGTTGTCCCAGTGCAGATAACCATTTGGCATATATTAACAAATTTATTACCTCAGTGTAGTATTTGGTGGATCAGTAGCAGCCGTGAGAACAGATGTGTTCTATAGTAAACAAGGTGTTTCTGTTCCACTCAGCTTTGTCATTAAACATTCATGGGCATTTTGTTTATTTGCCATAAATCTGTTCCTGAAATGAACTGACCAACAGCATGGGAAAATATTGTTGGATGTCTGTGGTAGTAGTGTTTTCCCTCTCCAAACCAAGGGTGAACTGGTATGACATTTGCTAGTTGATTGGCAAATTCTGCAGTGGGTGATTTCAGTTGTGAAGAGCAGTTACACACTGATTCTTCACCTCTAGGAGGTTTTTTCCATTGTCAACGCTTGGAGCAGGAAGAGAGTTTAGAAGTCAGTTATTCTTCTCTTGGGATGGAGACTAGTGTAGAGACTTTGAAGCATTTGCCCACATGAGCCCCTTTGGTCAACAATGTTTCCTAGAAGCACTTTTGCAGAATTTTGTTTCAGATTTGGCTGCAAGAACTATGGCAGCCAAAATCTGGGTGGTGGATCTATTTTATTATGAGATTAGTTCCTACTTCTGGCATGCAGCTGATCTGTTTCAGCTGGGTATGTTTATGCTTTAAACCCTTGAGCTGCTCAGGAGATGAGGCAACAGAAACATAGGAGGCTTTGCCTGTATCACTACTTTAGTTCTCAGCTGGTGACACAGACAGCTGACTGCTCATACCACCGGTGTCCTAACCAAACAGATGTAACTGAACATTCATGTGGGTTTACATTATTGTTAGGGAAACCTGCTCTGCAGATGCTGTGATCTTCTTGCTTTAATGAGAATTTGAGTAACAAAGAATTTAACCTTAAATTAAATAAAAGCCTTTAAAAACTGTCAAAATCACAAGCTAGATCCTTTTTCCACTATGGTCCACCTTTGGTGTGAGAACATTCATCTAAGGAGAATGGTCTCACAGTTATGCGGTTGCGTGGGACTTGCTTGCAACATGCTTAATTTCAATGTACTTCCCAAGTTCTTCATGGTGATTATTTCCTATTATTACATCTGAAACTCTCAGAAATAATGCAAAACTTTGTGCTCAACTTTTGGAGGTTCAAGATGAAATGTCTTATGACAGCTCTAAAAATGCTGTGGTACATGGTTTCTGTGTGTATGTATTTTTAAATATTAATCTCAAAGTAAAAAAAAATTGTAAAAATTTAAACAATTGTTTATGATGCTGTAGTGAGGTATGAGATGCATTCTGTAAACTGCGGAGTAATCTGACGCTGTAGTCTCACTCTGTAATGAACCTCCTGGCATGCTGCAAAAACTCTGAAGGTACTAATATTTGCAATGCTCATTTGTTCTGAGTTTTCTTCTAGGAACTAGGCCACTTGAGCTCTTTTCCCATATATTCTGGTAACGTAACTCCATGTTGCCTCCAGAACTGGTTTTATAATAAAGATTTTTCTGGTTTTGATGGAGTCAGTTATAAAAGGTACTAACTAGGTTGTACTTTAGTTATCTCAAGAGGCACAGTAGATTTAGATTTTAGCATATACATGTAATTTTGTGGTTTTATGTGGGATGTTTGCTTGACAGATTTTAAGCTTTAGTTCGCTTGACCAGGATGAAGATATTCACTGTTTTAATTTACAGTGGTAGGTCTACAATAGGGAGAAATACTGGCTTATATTACACTTCTAAAATAAGAATACTTAGATGTGTATATTAACTTAAAATAATTAATATTTTTCTAAAAATAATTAATATTTTTCTAAGATAGTGTGTTTATGAGGAAGAAATACCACGTTCTGTTAATCACACCAAAATTAAGCTCACCTTCAACATGGAAATTGTCAGCTACATCTCCTGCAGGTGTTTTCTTGAATGTGTTGTGACAAAGGTTTGGTGCTATAAACTAATATCAATAAAATTCCTGTTTTCACTTTTTCTTGTCCTTGAGCTAAAATTGTTATGAAAACAGAACAAAGGCTTTAAATATATAAATAGCAACTGTGAGTTGATTGTACAGGTTAGATCAGAAATTGATTCGCTTCTTGAGTTTCACTGAAGCAAAAGAAAGAAAATTATGTTCTGTCCAAGTATAAATGTGTCCAAGAGTAAACCACGTTAGACGTGGGTGAATAATGCAATGCAAATGCTTCAGCTGTCTCTTCAATGCATAAATTAAGATTAGATTAGTCTTTCACTCTGAAATATATTCCAGATGGTATTAACTAGCCCTACTAAAGTTTTAAAGGATTAAAACTTAGGTAAAAAACCCAATAGAATATGGCAAGTTTGTAATCTAATGCTGAGGAATACATTCAGTGCAGGTAGCTTGATTTGTAAGCTGCAGTGTGAGCTGTGAACTGCCGACCCTTTGCCAAACAAAGGGCGTGGGAATCTGTGGCCCGCGCAGGGGACTGGACCCTCAGAGACACAGCAGGAGGAGAGACCCCCCCAGACTTTCGTGTTCTTAGACTGTGAGGGTATAAAAGCTCAGGGGTTCCTTTGTTTGGGTTCCCTCCCTGGCAGCACCAGCTTGAACTGTTATTTCGTTATTTAGTTATTGCACTAAGATAAAATTATTTCAAGGATCGGGATGTCTGAGACTCTGCTATGGGAAACCTGGGGTCAAGCTGGTAAGGAAACCTGGTCTGACTGTGTGAGTCTGGGGTGTGTAGCTGCTAAGGTCCCAGCTCAGGTAGTGCAGGTGTTACTGCCAGAGTGGCTCCTGGATGGTTGGACAGGGAAGATTCCTTAATGCTGATATCCTCCAAGTAAAGGTTTTTGGAACCAGCTAATATCAGTTTTTGAGTATTTTCTTAAAGCACATGCATTTTGTTCTAGTGTTCTACAGTATGACATCAGAGCAGTCAATATATTGTCCTGAAAATATATGCTTCCTGTCATCTTTTAGTCATTAAGAAAGAATTTTCACTCTCCTTACCATAAATTCTGCATATCATACTGTTTGTGATATTTGTATTAAATTCAAATGCTTCTTGCTTTACTGTATTGAGCAACTGCAATGAAATCAGAACAAGTCCACTTGTCTTTAATGTAGACAATATCTAAAAGTGAATCAATCCAAACAGGCACAGTACATTCATATGCAATTTTTTTCTAAAACAGATGGAATTTGCCCTTAGAACAAAACATGTTTGATAATTAGCAATCAGCCGCTCCAGGAATTAAAGAAGGTGCTGTGGAAACTAGATCTAATTGATAACATGCATGTATTATTGAATGTTTACATCTTCAGAGTATTTTTACTTCTGTTTTTGAAAAGGTTCTCAGCTTTCCTTCAATCCCTTTGATTTTTTTTATTGTGTCAACAACTGTAGTGATGAAAAATGATAAACTACATCTACAATATTTATCTTTACCAGATGTGGAAGATCCCAAAGCAGGTGTTGACTTGATCCACTGCACACAGGAGTTTTACCTCCCCATTGCAGAGAAACATTTTAAGGCTAATGATTTTTGATGGCAATGACTGCTGCTTTATTTGGTTGGTTTATCATACACAATGATTTTTGAAACTATTCCATGTTACTGAGCAACATATTCAAAAATGTTATACACAGTTGTGTTTTTATATGCACTTTGGAAAAATGATTTTTCTTTTTTTTTTTTTTCCCCAGGAATTTTGGAGGTTTTACACTGTGTGTTGGTAGAAAGCCCAGAAGCTCTAAACATTATTAAGGAAGGGCATATTAAATCAATCATCTGTCTTTTAGACAAACATGGAAGAAACCATAAGGTAGGCAAAGAATAGACAGGTATATTTAGGTGAACATTTGTGAACAAAGCGAGCACATTCTTCTATGTGAAAGTTAGAATTCCAATACTTTAATGCTGTTTTCATAATTAGGAATGAAACTTTTCCTAAAATGCATATGAGCAGTTTGAAAAAGCAAAGTGGAATGTTATCTTTTTTTTGACAAAAACATTGATACACATTAATTCTCAAGGGATGCTGGAAGAATGTTTTAATGTTGTTATGAAAATTTCAGAATTGTTCTAAAATGAAACCACTGTGTTGGATGAATTAGGTACCATCACGTCTTCCAGTAATGTGGTATATAGCATTATATTGCCTGAAGGAATTAACAATAATAATGAAAAAATATTTAAGATTAAAAGAATCTGATTTTTTTCAGGTTTTGGATGTTTTGTGTTCTCTCTGTGTTTGTCATGGAGTAGCTGTGCGATCTAATCAACATCTAATCTGTGATCTGCCTTCAGACTGCCTTACACGCGCGCCAACCGTGAAAAAAAAAAAAAAAAAAAAAAAAAAAAAAAAAAAAAAAAAAGGAAAAAAAATCTATACCTATGAACAAAGCAGAAAAAAATTGTGCTTAAAAGAAATAGTCACTACAGAAAAATCTGTTTTACTTCCAAAAATGTTGTTAAGATATTTTATTCTTATCAAGATTTTAAATCCTCTTTGCAATAGTGATTAATTTAGAAACAGAGGGCAGAGAGAGCTGTTGCAAGCTAAAGCTGCCCTAAACTGCATTAGGTCTGCGAAGCAGTAGTCTTTTCTATAGATTGTTGTCTAGATCTAGCTGTGTATTCAACGTATTGTCAGCCAATGTCCTGTGACTGCCTTTCTGTTTGTGATCTTGAGAGAATTTCCTAATCACCCTTGGTCAAAATTAAGAACTTAGTGCCAAACACCTTCACCTGTGCCTGGGATATTTAGACAGCACTCTCATCCTTCCTTCCACTGACAGAGTTTTAGAAGCTACCTTGCAGCAGACATTAATTACAAGATGAAGCTAGGAGCATCTTAAATTAGTAAAATATTTTTTACAAATATTACCAAGCAATGTTTATTCAGAGTTTGAATTTATGCTGAAGCAGAAGAATATGGCTTTGTGTCAAGATTTGTGGGATCTTCCTCTGTCTCAAACTTATGTTTATTTTTAAAAGTTTCAATCACTGATTAAGTGAGAATGAAAATTGAAACACAGAAATGATACTTATAATTCAGAGTTCACAGGATTTATTAGGTGCTGAAAAATGTAAAAAATCCACATTGTATCTAGGGAACTGATTATCCCTCTTTACTTGGCACTGGTGAGGCCACGCCTGGAGTACTGTGTCCAGTTTTGGGCCCCTCACTACAAAAAGGACATTGAGGTGCTGGAACATGTCCAGAGAAGGGCAACGGAGCTGCTGAAGGGTCTGGAGCACAAGTCTAATGAGGAGTGTCTGAGTGAAGTGGGGTTGTTTATTCTGGAGAAGAGGAGGCTTGTGGAGACCTTAATGCGCTCTGCAACAACCTGAAAGGAGGTTGTAGCCAGGTAGGGGTCAGTCTCTTCTCCCAGGCAACTAGTGACAGGGCAAGAGGACATAGTTTCAAGCTGTGCCAGGGGTGGTTCAGCTTGGACATCAGGAAGAATTTTCTTCGTGGAAATGGTGGTTAAACATTGGAGCAGGCTGGCCAGGGCAGTAGTGGAGTCAGCATCCTTGGAAGTGTTCAAGAAACACTTGCCACTTGGATGTGGCGCTTGTGCTATGGTTTCATTGTCCTGGTGGTATTCAGCCAAAGGTTGGACTTGATGATCTTGGAGATCATTTCCAGTCTCAATGATTGTGTGATTCTGTGATTGAGCATCTGAGCTAACTTTGGATTTCATACATGGAAGGTAGAGCTGTCTTTCCAAAATATGGCTGTAGAAAAAGCAGATTTGTTATGACATCTCTTGCTTTACATTAGAAAGTTGTGAATGAGAAGATTCTTATTCTTGCAGTTACAAGGAAAAAATTTTTTTCAAAAGGCAGTAAGATCAATGAAACATTGATGGGATTTAGTCTAAGACATTTAGACTAAGACATGCATACCTTGCCTCAAAAATATTTGGCAAAGAAACTTTCTAAGATATTTCTGTTTAAAGTACTTTTCTAGGGCACTGGAAAATTCTATTGAAAAACCTCCATTTAAGAAGATTAAGTTGGATGATTAGATTGATTAAATTTTGAGGTCTGGACAAAGGCTGATACTGTGTTCAGGCAGAAAAGATTCAAGTGGAGATCTGGCCAATAATTTACAGATGATATGAATTTTCTGAAAGATAGCTTTTGTCAAACATGTTTTGTTTATAATATTAAGGAAATTAAAATTTTCACTTGGAACAAAGTGAAGAGTATCTACATTTAAACATTCAGCAAAAGACACCCCGTATGCTTCTAGAAGGAAAGCTTATTAGTCTTATCTGATAAAACAAGTTACTTTATAAGCCACCAGATCAGTAAACTTTGCTTTTACACTGACTTATATTTAGACACCTGTATCAACCCTTCTTCCTACCCCTGCATTCCCTACACCAGAAGACATACTGTGTGTTTGGGCTAGCTTGGAGCTTCATTTTTGTTGATTAGTCAGCTTGTATGTAGAAAGATAATATTTATAGAAGTAATAACCCAATCTAATGGAGGGATGTGAAGACTAGATAACTCAGACTAGAAGTCTAAAAGATTTTTTGTATTATGAGTAAGCAATCATTGAGGAAATATACCTAGCATTGGTTTTGGATACTCATGTACTCTACAGCTTTAATTCAAGATTGAATGGCTTTCTTAGTACAAAGCTGACACAGAAATGATTGTCTGGAGAGATTTTTTTTTTTGGTTGAGAGTCTAGATTCAATATTATCCCCATAATCAGATTTAAAAAGCACAGGGTTTTTTTCCTTTTTTTTTTTTTTTTCCCCACCATGACCTTTAGGTATATGACTCTGCATATTGCTGTTTAACTAGATATTGAGAAGGCACAGTAATAGTTTTACCTTTTAAGTATTCTTGGGAAGTACTGTAAAATCAGTAGCAGTAGAAGCATCACATTGACATTAAGGATTTCTACAATCACTAAAATTTACTGAGTTATACAGGACTTGGAATAAAGAAGGGGGAGGTACAAGAGAATTTTGAAATACTTTACTTTTGTATCTTTTTAAATGTTATTCTCTTGAATGGATAATCTGTGTCACAGATTGCAGTTTGCTATGTCAAATTAAGCCTGCAGTGTGTACTTACTACATTTATATTGGTAACTGGTTAATAGGTGGCATTTTTGTTTGCAGGGTTTAACATCTATTAAATATTCAAACACATAAACCATTGTGATTGGTCTCTGAGTGAGGTTACTGTTTCAGTTACTGAAGCAAATATTTTTTTACTTTAAATGTATTTTTCACCAGAATAAATGAATGAATAAATAAATAAATAAATAAATACTACCTTCTGCCTTCTGGGAGAGATTTTGCCAAAAGAGTGCCACCACTTGTCAAGAGCACAGAATTACTATCAATTGTTACTCTCTTCATGTGGGCACAAATGGCACTGCGAACCAGAAGCTGGATAGAGTCAGGAAGACTGCAAAGCCCTGAGGGTGCCAGTGCAAAGTCTTGGTGCTCAATCTACCCCTTCTTCCATTTTACCAGTTAGAGGAAAGGGTGCAGATATAGACATATAATGCAGATCAGCTTTTGGCTTCATGGTTAGTGCTGTTGTGCGGATGTTGACTTTTTTGGCAGTGGGACATTCTTTGATGACTGTAGCCTATTTGTGTTTGGCAAACCTAATCACCTTTACAATAAAGTAACCTGCTTGATTAATGTGGAATGAATGGTGGACACTGTCTACCTGGATTTCTCTAAGGCTTTCAATACAGTTTCCCACAGTCTTCTCTTAGAGAAACTGGTATGTCAGGCTTGATACAAGGGGTGTGTGCAATGTGTGGGCACTGATGGCCCGGCTGCACCCAGAGGGTGGTGGTAAATGGCTCCTTTTCAAACTGGGAACTGTCACAAGGGAGGTTCCCCAGGAATTGATATTTGGCCCAATGCTGTTTAATATCTTCATAAGTGATCTGGATGAAAGGATCAAGTGTACCCTGATGAAGTTGGCCAGTGATACCAGACTGAAGGGGAAGTGGACACTTGGAAAGGGAGAGCCACCCTGCAGGAGGACCTGGATAGATTAGAAGAGTGGGCTGACAAGAACCTTATGAAGATCAGGACAAGTGGTAATGTCTTGCACCTGGGAAAACATAATCTAAGAGTGCAGCACAGGCTGGTATCTGCCTGGCTAAGAAGCAGCTCTGTGGAAAGAGGGTTTCAGTGGACAGCAAGCTCAGAACAAGTGAACAGCAGTGCTGCTGTGGTAGAGAAAGCCAAGAGGGTGCTGGGCTGCATCCTCAAGTGCATCACTAGCAGAGAGAAACAAATTTTTGTCCCACTCTATTCAGTGCTTGTCAGGCCATACCTGAAATCCTGTTTTCAGTTTTGGTCCCTGCTATGCAAGAAAAATCTGGACAGGCTGGAGAGGGTTCAGAGAAGGTCCGTGAAGATGGCCAAAGGACTGGGAAGCTTGCCATGGGAGGTTCAGCCTTGAGAAATGAAGGTTTAGGAGAAACCTTATCACTGCGTTCCAGTACTTATAGGGCGGCTACAAAGAAGATGGAAACTCCCTTTTTGCAAGGAGTCATGTGGAAAGGGTAATGGGTACAAGTATCTCCTGGGGAGATTCTGATTGGACACAAGAGTAAAATTTTTCTCAATGAGAACAATCACCCATTGGAATAATGTCTCTGGGGAAGTGGTGGATTCCTCAACATTGGACACTTATAAGATTCAGTTAGACAGGGTGCTGGGTCATCTTGTCTTGACCATGCTTTTACCAAGAAAGGTTGGACCAGGTGATGCTTGAGGTCTTTTACAAATGTATGTGATTCTGTGAAATAGAATCTGTTGTTTAATCACACAAAACAAGCTTGAAATTTGAGTTTAATAAAAAGTATGCAGCAGTTCATCATGTCCTTGAGATAAGTTTTTAATAACCATTTTTTATTCTTTCTGTTTAAGCATGCGACCCAACATCTTCTTGGGGATTAGTGAAGGCTCTGCCCAATACAGAAAATGGTACTATGAACTTATGGTGGACCATCTAGAGCCCTTTGTGACTGCAGAATCAACTCATCTACGAGTGGGTTGGGCTTCAACAGAAGGCTACTCACCCTATCCAGGGGGAGGAGCAGAATGGGGAGGAAATGGTGTTGGTGATGATTTATATTCCTATGGCTTTGATGGTCTCCATCTGTGGTCAGGTATTTTGTTGTTGTTTATTCTTGTTTAAAGACTACAGTCTTGTTTGCATTCCCAGTGAATTTGTTTTCAACAGCAACAAAGTGAATCAGCTGTTTCAACTGGTACTAGAAACATACAGAAACAGTACCCTATATCAAAATATTATTTAAATTGACATTGTGTATTGAAAAAACTTGTTTTATACAAAGTAATGCAAATAGACTAATAATTTATGTTTCAGCCTGGGACTTGTTTGTTTTTTTTCATACCAACTATAAATATTTTATTTAAAACTTCCAAGCTGCAAAAAAATGAAGTCTGACAGTCATCTGGATTTTTAGTTCCTATGTAGTAGTTTAAGAACATTTTGAGAAATTTAATTCGCAGGACTCTCCTTTTTTTTTTTTTTCAAACCAAATTTTTAATGTGAGTCTTTAGGAGTTCAGAGATACTTTAGGTGTGAAGATTTTTAAGTATGTTATTTACCATACATTTTGAAACAATTTTTTTTTCTATAGTAATGTTTTATTTACATACATAAAGACTGACTGATTATTTCCAGACTTGCAGAATCATATTCGTAGTTTGCATACGATGTGTTTGGACAAGTATTCATCTTTAAAATGTTCTTGGCTTAGTTTGGATCTGTTTGTTAAAAGTAATTTCTTCACACAAATTCTAGTGTTAGAGAAAGCTGAACTGAGTATCTGTATTTACTGTTGATTCTACAGATACCTTATTCTCTCTTCAAATTGTGTTAGCTCAGCAAAATCAGAATAATAAGAATCATAACTTGTTCTCTTAATCTTTTTCATGTGATTTAACTTTTGTGAAAATATTTCCAGATGTCATTTAGAATGGATAGTTCTAGAGTTGGACAGTCCTGAACTTCTTGGAAGGAGATTTTACTGTGGTTTCACCTTGCTGGGAAAAAAATTTTCCTATGACTTTGGGAGATTATTGGGCAGTAGTGACCTGTAAAACAGACTGGAAACTGAGTAAGGCTCATAGGATTGGCAATTCTTGCCACTATGAAGGTATGAACAGGTTTTCTAAAGTGCCTTAGCAGACAAGAGAGAAAAGTTAGTAAGTCAGCTGTATCATCCAAGATCTCTGAAGTTTTGAGGGACTGTGGCTTGATACTTGGAAAAGAATACAGTCTTACATTTCAAAAGAACTTTCCAATCAAAATAGCAATGGATTGTATTAATAAATAATAGCATTTTGGCTGGAGTAGCATCTTAGGAAAGTAGCTGCCACTTTGCCTCTCATGTATAGTGAGAATTACTTTGGAACAATGATGTATAATTAATGGTATCATTAAAACTGTGTCATAACTGAGTTTGACAGATAAAGTATTATTACAGAAGAACCAGAAAATAATGAGCTAACCAAACTAGCTCTCATAGATAAGGTCACTTTTAGGTAGGAAACAAAAGATTACTGAAAATCAAAACTATTTTTCAACCTACATAAAACTTTTTATTCAGAAATGGTACAAAACAATAAATGAACAATTGTTTGTGGCTCTCAATCAATAATCCAGCCTAGACAAAGAAGCCAGACAACATTTTTATGTGCAATTTTTGTATCTGTTGTGAACGTGGATGTGGCTGGTAGATTTGAAAATATTTGTCTTTGTTCTTCATTGGCACTATTATGTAACACATACCTCTCAAATTTGGAAGGACTTTAAGTGGTTGAATTTTGAAAATCATGGCCTTTTGCTTCCAAGATCCCAGGCTGCATCCTGATAACTCTGCAATGGCATTTTAAGAATAACCTTAGCATGAAACACTTATGTGATTAATTGCAAACTAACCCTCAGCTATGATGTTTTCCTCTGACAGTATTGCAAAGTCATTTTCCATATGTAGAATATTGGAACTTATTTTTCGTCAGGGGTGGTGGTAGTGGTATGTGTATGAAAATTAATTTGTAGAATTATTGAGATTTTTATTATTTTTACTTCTGTTAAAAACATATGCCATCTTCATCTTGGAAATGTAGTACAAGTTAAGTACTTCATGTTTACAAAAACTGGTCACCATAGGTAAAGAGTTACTGCTCTGTTCTTAGTACGCATCATGGTTTTATCTCTTGCAAACAGTGCATAAGTTATTTTTGGAAATATGTGTAGAGATGTTTTCATACAACTTATGTGCTTTTCCATAAATTCTTTTATTGTATATGGCAGTAAATTTCAGAAACTATCATTCTATTTCTGAAGGCTATAACTTATTTCTCTTGGAAAGCAGGTGTGCTTGTGTAAATGTAGTTTGATGCAAAGTAGAATAATCCTTTAGAATTCATATAACACTTATTAAAAATACATATATTACTGAATATATACACCTCTTTGCATATGGCATAAAAATATTGGTTTGTGGTTTGATTATGAAACTGAGTAGTATCTTACGAAAGTTAGCAGGAGTACCATGACGTGGTTGTTAATAACTGGGAGAACCTAACTTTTCCTAAATAACTCAAAGTAAGGTAGTTGTCTTTACCATGAATAATGGAGCATTCTTTAGTAAAGTATACTAGGTTTCATATTAAATATTAATGGTTGTTTTTAGTTTGCTCTTCTATAATGTAAGGAATAGAATATAGTTTTTTGGGGTTTTTTGACTGTTTATGTGGGTATCAGTAATTATTTTCACTTACATTAAATATAATGTAATTGAATTATTTATGATTAAAATAGCTGTGTTGTTATGATTGTAGTCTTCTATTCACTATATTGCAAGCTTAAAATCAGGTCTTGGATGTCATAGGTTAGATATTTGTGTATGAATGTGTTTGTACTCTATAGCTGTGTTTTCTTTCTCTTTTATTAGGCTGCTGTGAAAATCTGTGCAATTTTCATAAGTTTCACAAAATGTGTCTCCTTTATTTCCATAGGTTGTGTAGCACGAACAGTAAATTCTCCCAACCAACATCTGTTAAGAACTGATGATGTTATTAGCTGCTGTTTGGATCTAAGTGCCCCCAGCATTTCTTTCCGAATAAATGGTCAGCCAGTTCAAGGAATGTTTGAAAACTTCAACATAGATGGCCTCTTCTTCCCAGTTGTCAGCTTCTCTGCAGGAATAAAGTTAGCATCCTGTGTAGTTGTTTTTTTGTGTTCCCCCCCCCCCCCCCCCCCCCCCAATTTGCTTATTTTTTTTCTATATATGAGAATATGCTGAATATTTCCCTGGCTGCCTGCTCTGATTTCCTTTTCTGACATCTGCTTTTCTGGCAAAGTTTCACTTCTTGGGGTAGTGAGAGCTACAAAGAAGTCCTGAAGAGATAATGCATCTGTTGTTTTTCAGTACACCAGTGTATTAAGCTTCTTAATAATTTCTTTGCTGACACATTGCTACACGTTCACTCCAGGACAGCATCCTTCATCAGCCTTTTATATTAAGAATATATTTTTTCGAACTCACTTCTTATGAGATAGTAACCATTATTTAAAGAGGCACTATCTGCACTTACCTTAAGAAATGGTGGTCATACACTTCCTTTTCAGCAAGATAAGTTAATATAGATTCAGTCAATATGTACTGGTTTTCTATAAAATTTCAAGTCACACTTGAGATGCCAGAATTCTGCTTCCATGTATTAAACACTTTGAGACTATGATATTAAAAAGGATTGTGTGGTGTTCCAGCAGGGGGGAACAACTTTAGCAGGACTGGCAAAGGTGAAAGCTGAAAGCTGGAGGCAGAACAATGCTCTGAGAGGGTTCATTCAAAGAATCCCTCAGAAGCTAAGAGCTATCACATAGTAGGCACAACCTGCCTTTTGTTCCAGATGGAAAATACACTTGGATAGTACAGGAGGTAGAATGTGGTGAAACTATAGATGTGCATGCTGCAAAATGCAAAGCTATAAACCTGCATGCTTTATTTCTGTCATGAGAGAAATATTTGACAGACATTATTTGTGTGCTGCATACAGTTTTTGAGTGTGTTTTGGTATAGCATTAACAAAGATCTTGTAAGATAGTAAACAGAAAAGAGGCAAAATTATTCTCTGTTAAAACTAGGTTTTTGGGTGTTTTTTGATTCCTTCTGGATGGCAATGTTCTAGGACGATTTTTCAGTATTATGTCATTGCTATGTCATTTTGGTATTATGTCATTGCTGCACCATTATTACCTCACTGAATGAATTTTTCAGTAACAAAAGACCATAAAAAAAATTCACCATTTTGCAATGAATAAAAGAGTACTTTCCCCTATGAGTATGACAAATATAAGTTTTAGGGAAGGAAATACAGGAGTTTTTGTATTGTGTCCTAAGGATTTAGGATTTTGTGAGAGAAAAGTAAGAACAATGGGGTTTTTAGGCTCATTTCTCAAATGAGAGAAAATTGAGAGTTGCTAATGGAGGAAGTTCAGAGGCGCTTGGTTGATTACTCTGCCTTATAATCCCGGCCTTCTGAGACTCAAAAGACTACTGCTTACCTCATAGGTGTGCTAAGTAAACAGATTATTCTCCCTCTCAGTGCCTTGTTTTGGTCTCACAATTTAGAATACTTTTATGGAAGTAAAATTAACAAGAAGGAGCAATCGTTTACTTTCCCTGTGTTTTTATAACCTCCTGCATCATAAACACCAGCACCAGTTAGAGAAAGTGGAACTGTAAATAATGCAAAGAAGCTGCAACATTGAATTTTTTTCTTTTTTTTTTTTTTTTTTAATGGCATTTAATAGTTGTTAGGCTTACAAACTGATTAGACTTGACACCAGGGTTTCTCAGTAATCTAAAGTAGCTCTGATATTTACAGGGTACGTTTCTTGCTCGGAGGTCGCCATGGAGAGTTCAAGTTCCTTCCTCCACCTGGATATGCCCCTTGCTTTGAAGCTGTCCTACCAAAAGAGAAGCTGAAAGTGGAGCATAGTCGAGAATACAAACAAGATCGTAACTATACAAGAGACCTGCTGGGTCCCACTGTCTCTCTGTCACAGGCAGCTTTCACTCCAGTTCCTGTAGATACTAGCCAGGTATGGAAACCGAAAGATTTCATTTTCCTTTTTAAACACACATATTGTAGGACTGTATTACTTCACATTTAATTGAATTTGCAGCTTGTCTCAAACTTGTTTTTTTATTGGGATTTGTTGAGAGATCTGGTTTGTACAAAGTTTGTTCTGTTATAAAAGTTTGGGTGATATATCAAGTAACTTATTTGTCATAGCCTCTTTCTCTCTTCTCTCTTTAGATTGTTTTGCCTCCCCACTTGGAAAGGATTAGAGAAAAATTAGCAGAGAACATTCATGAACTTTGGGTTATGAATAAGATTGAACTTGGCTGGCAGTATGGACCAGTATGTACCTTCAAAATTAATTTTCTGTTTAAATCTGCTAATGGGACTGCATGTTTTATCATCCTTCCAAGATTAGTAAGATTTTAGATACCTTCACACCAGAAGCAGGTGGAAACAAACAGTGTTTGTGTGTTTTTGAACCAGAATTTTGGTGCTAAATCTGTTTGGTGCTGCAATTTTCAACCAGTATGTCAACACAGAAAGCACATGGTGGGTTTTTCACCTTCTGTTTGTTCTTGCAACAATAATTCAGTTGCCTGATGGAGTAAGCCAGTGAAAGCAGTTATTCTTCGTTCTCTTCACATGATATAACTCTTTCAGAAATCCCAAATTTATTTTTCATGAAAAATAAATATTGCCTATAGGAAATTTAATTAAATCTACTTTTCTCCTACCTTCTCTCCACTTCTTCAGTCTCATGTCTGTATTAGGTGCTCCAAATAACTATTATCTCTTCTCTACTTTCTCTCTCTAGAGGTAGTGTTCTGTGATAGGATGTGCTCACTTTGGGAATGTGGCAAAGTATATGCTGATCATCTTCTGGAGATTGACTCCTTAATCATATTGGTTTCTCACAGATGATTTCATCAATTTAAGCCACTGTGGTCAATTCTATTTATCTGAATGGATGCACTGCAGTTACTGAGTATTGAGGGGAGGCATGGAACACATATTAGCTGGTTTAGATGCACACGAGTCATCTGATCTTAGTAAGATTTGGTCTTTTTAATTCAGAGCAAGATGCACTATATATAGTAGTTAGTGGTGTTTTTTCACCCAGTCAAAAAGTTTAATGGCTGAAAGACAGACAATCTATAAATTTAAATGGCCCTCCATATTATTAAAAAAATCTGCTGTAGATTTTACATTTTATAGTTTACATTTGATATTCCCTTCTACATATATGTTTTATCAGATCTATATGTAGTATCACCATAGTGATACCTCATATTGCATATGATATTACTACCACATTCTACTCGTGTAACCAAGTAAAATAACAAGCTAATTTAGCAAAATTTAGGACTTCATTAACTGACTTCCTTATAAGTTTGAATATGTGTGCTACCTATTGAAATCATCAGATGCATCTGCATATCTTTATTTCTGTTAAACATCTCTGTATATTTAAAATAATTGACAAAAATTAAGAATTGATAGGTGTGATGAGTTCTGCAACTAATATAAAGTATTTGCAAGGCAGTAAATTTTTACATTGTGTCCAGAAAAAAAAAAGTGATGTAAAGGCAACCTGCAAATTATGTTTACTGTATAATAGAATTATTATACATTGTTGCTGTAGAGCAAAAGGAGTGTCACTAGGGGAATGAATTAACATTGGAGTTCTGAGGAAAATTAGCCATACACAGCTCAGAGACTATACTCAATTTTTGTTAATGCTGAGTACTGTAGATCTTAGAAAGAACTCTGGAAATAAACATTTTCAGTGCCCACTAAAAGATGTTTCTCATTTTAGCTTCTAATGATTTTTATCAAGTAGCTTGACAGTTGAATTGGCTGTATTGTCTGTCCAAAGAACATTAATCCCATCAAATGAATATAAATATCCCCTAGAGATTGTAAATATTTTTCAATCTAAAATATAAACAAATGACTGTTATTCAATTTGAGAATTATTATGTGCTTAGATCAAAATGCAAAAAATATGTTACTCAGAAATGTTATGGAGAAATGTGATTTTTTTCCATGAGATTGAATAAACCACATTGAGTAAGGGGGTTAAGAACAATTTGGAAAAAGTATGACAGTTAGGCTTCTACTTCAACTGTTAACATTCAATTTTCCAGCAGAATTATCTGATTGATCCAAAGTCAATAACACTATTTTTCAATAACTTCCACTTTGCGGCTTTAAAGATTATTATAAATGGTGAGCTTATGGTCCATCAAACATAGACACAAAAGTGTTATAATATATGGTTTAAAAAGTCACATCAACTGAGCAAATGTTAACGCTTTCATTGGGATCTTTTAGCTAATATTTTCAAACTAATGGTTTTTTATCAAGCATCTGCAGATTTTGTGGACTGAATTCTAGCACAAGATGCTAAGTTGACAGCAATAGTGTTTAGTTATCCCAGCCTCCTAGGTTGCCTTTCCTGATTCTGGGCAGTAATAGACTAAAACTGTGTAGAAATAGTGAAGGTTAAAAATGTTTTTGATCAAATGTTTAAGTTTGTAAAATGTGGGATTTTGTAAATTATAGTCTGTATGGCTCTGCTATCACTACAGTAAAAGGAAATTCATATTCCACTCATATGTGACTGCTGAACAGTCACATTCTGCTTGTATGATACTGGACATGACTTAGAAAGAAACATTTTCTGAATTAAGAGATAGGGAATATTTATCTTTTTTATCATTATTTTCATTAAGGATTTAAGTACTATTTGTATCAACATATTTATATAAACTGGATGTAAAATTTTTCAAATATGAGGCTGAAGATGAGATGTTATTTTATGGCTGTATGTTCAGAGCATAGATTGCACTGTTCTTGAACTTTGCATATTTGCTCTGAACATCCATATAATAACATGTACAAATTAGCACTTATTTGAGATCTGCAAATCTGAAGTTTATTTGCAAATGCAAATTTTGCCTTGCTTGAACAGAATGATCGCGCTCTGAGAATACAGAATACTTTCTGTTTTGAGGTGTTGTTCAGTTTGAGTAATTCTGACAGGATCAGCTTTAAGTACTTTGTGGATTGGACTGTTTTTACATTTCTTCTGGTTTTCAAGACACATTAAGCTTATTTCTTTACTTTTTTTTTCAGATTAGAGATGACAACAAAAGACAACACCCATGCCTAGTGGAGTTCTCCAAATTGCCTGAGCAGGAAAGAAATTATAACTTGCAAATGTCACTTGAAACACTGAAGTAAGTTGCTAAGATTTTTGAAGTTTATAGTTAAAATTTTCTAAGATGCAGTTTCCAGAATTATAAATTGACACGTAATTAAAATTTGACATGTAGTTGAGGGCAATAATATGAAAATGAGGGAGTGAGATACTTTAATGAGTAATGTATTTGGCACTGAAAATGGCTTTGATAGTCTTTTTACTATCTATGAAATTTTAGAATTATTGTGGTAATGCTGGTTATGAAATGGCAGAAACTCGGACAGTTTTCATGTAGTTTTGAGGAAAGAAACAGATTCAAGCTTTGAAAAAAATCTGCTTCTTATTTGGTTTAATTCAATTTAGTTTAATTTCTTTTAATTTTCTTTATTGATAAAGGACACTTTGACACTCAGTAGATATTTTTTTGGATTTGACTGATGACGAACTTTGCTTCAGGACACTTAGCTGATAATTCTGTGTCATCTCTGCATACTGGCGCAGAACAGACAGTAGTAGGCATTCCCTCCTTTTACGCATGAGCAGTTAGATATGTGAATGTCGTAGAAGCTCTCCAGTTGGAATGCTAGAAAACTTCAGGGGGATGTTAAAGGGTTTGTTCAAGTAATATAGTTATCTGTCTCACAAAGATACAATTCTTCACCTCAGCTTTGTCAGTCAAGCAGGTGCAAGTTCTTACTTTGCTGTGAATACATTGAAAAATCTGTAAGTGTTAAGTAATTTCTTCCTTATGTAGCATTGCATGTAGCCAACCTGTTAAAATATTTCTCAAGCTGATAAATGCTCTGTGGTGTATGTGGTTCTCAAATCACTAATTTTTGAAATCTATTCTTTTTTCTCTTATTAAAAGGTAGTTGTTTTTTCCTGCTCATAGAGTTTACAAAAATGAGTGTCTGCAGGTGATATTAATTTTCTGTGAATATTTGTCCTATATTAATTAAGTATTTACCATGTAAAGTGATGGTACAATATAGTGTTTACACTCATAATATAGGGACTTTATGTCCTCATAGTAGAAAGTTAGGTAGAAAACACCTCCTACACTTGCAGATTTCTTCTCAGGTCAGCTTCTCTGCACTATTACCTGATCCACCATTTCCCCAGTAAATAAATTACTTGGTGAAAAACATATTTATGACCCTAAGTGTTAAACAGTTTCTGGAGGGATATTTTGGCATTATTTGGAGATAAAGCATTTGTAGATAAATTGAACTGGAAGCAAGAAAATAAGTTCATATTTGTCTTCAGCTAGATATTAGAATTTCAAGGAATGTTTTTGAGACTCCTGTCAGCACAGCAGTGTGCTAAGAATTCAGAATACATTCTTCCTTTCTATTTTATGAAACTACAAAAGATAATGTCATTAACTTTCCTTATAGTTGGATCTTTTCCTAGAATAATCTATATAATATGACTCAGGCATCGGAAAAATCTTGCTCTTGTAATTAAATGCACACTTCTAATGTTTCACTACGTATTAAACAAATGAGTCCTTACATGAGTACTGGTTCAGGACCCAGGGCTTTTCTAATCTAACCCTGGTAAAAAAAAATCATTTTATAAACATATAAACTATGGATAACCTTTATTTTAGTAATTTTATCACTTACTCTAGAAAGAGCCTTTTCATTAAATGGATAATATCCAAAACAGAAAACATTCAGTTTTTCTACGGCTTTCAAAATGTGTATGCTTACTGAGCTCAGTCTTCATTACATTCTTCTGTTAGTCCTTGTTTTCTGAAATACACATTTCTAATTTTGTAATATCATGTTATATTTATCATGTAGACATTTGTTGTTCCCTGACTAGAATAGAAGTTTCTTGCCCAGGTTATTTCTGCAGATTTGGAGAGGTGGAAAAATTAGCGCACTAATCAGTTCTAGGTGATCTAAACTGTGATATCTCGAATTGTAAGCTGTCTTGACTGTTTTGTTACTGGATGCTTCTAATCTACTAGCTGTAAACCTCAGTGAGTGCAAAGAGGGGAAGAGGGAAAGAAAATATTCTTTTAAAACTGCCCCTAATAATTTTCTTCACAATTTGCATCAAAACTGCCTACTGCATACTTGAAATACTTGCAAGACATTGAGAATTACTCTGACTGTAATTGTGTTTTCTTTGTTGGTTTGTTGTCAACTTTGCTGCCAGCTTTGCTGCCAGCTTTACTAGATGAGAGAGTCAGAAACCAAGGAAGTTCTGAGTCATATTATCCGATATGACAGTTCTTTTCAATATATTTGGATCTGTGTTTATTTTTCAATATGATTGAATATTTTATGAACTATAAAAATGATACACTGTAGGAAATGTCAAGATTCAGGAAAGAGTTGCCTCTGAAAATGTCATGGGATTTAAAATATGCTTGCTCATACTGTTTCTGCACATTCTTCTATATATTTTGTAGTTTGGTCTTGTACATTTTTTTGTTTTTATGGCTCATTATTTTGTGACTGACTTTCTCATGTCTATTTACTCAGTTTTATGTGAAAATTACATGTATCAGTGTGATGATGAGAGCAGCATTCAGACACTTCTAGTTTTCTTGTTTAGGTTTGAAGTGCTTTAGTGGTCTTTCAGGATCTGTCAGTGTGGTATGTCCTTTTATCCTCCTGTGCCCCTCTGATATGCATTTGTTTTATTTGGGTAGAGATAATGTAGTGTCCAAATTTGTGGCTTACATTACAAGAAAATTAGGCTTACCAGAGGTTAGCTCCTCTATACTGCATTCCACTGTTAGATATGTTTCTCTTATTTATGCTGGTGATAGCTGCATACAAATCATATACTATTTATACCAGCTGAAATTTAGCTGCATGGTGTGCAGATGGTGTGTTTTGCCAGAGGTAGCCACTGCATACTGATTTCCTCATTTCTGATTTTACTGTCTAATTTGAAATCAGGTTCACAATTCATAACACTAGGATTTATTTCATGTAGCTAGCACTAAAAATATGCTGTAAGAATCTCCTTGAAACACGCAATTCATCTGCCAAGAGAAATAATGTTAGAGTGGTATTTATGATCTTTTTTTCTCTCCAATCAGTTCAAGAGCAGTAAATATGGTTAAAGCAAGACTAGAAAATACTGTTTTAGCTTGTGATGAGAACAAATACAAGCCTTGTTTTCCACCTCTCTTCCACTTTGAGGAAATTGGGAATGAAGTCCAAGGTGTTGAAATTTGCGATTTCTTTTGTGTAATCAGTTTCAACCTTCAGATTTTGAGAAAATTCTCATCTGACTCGAAAGTGGTCTCTGACTTTTGTCTAGGATTTCTTTTCATTTCAGTGTCAACATTTTAGTAACACAACTGGCTAAAGAAACTAAGACTTTATAACCCAGTATTGAATATAATGCAGGATCAAATAACTGATGATATACAGATCAAATTCTGAAGACAAATGAGACTTAAAATTTATACTGCTGGAGAGTGTGACTGTAAGGAAAGGAAGAAGTCTGAAGTAATCAGAAACCCAATTAATACTGTCAACCCTGTTCAAAAGTTATGTAGAGAGTGTTAGTTTTCTGAAATGAACTGCATCTGGCAGAGTCAGGCCAGGGTGGGCTGCTTGGCTCAGTGGCTCTATGGCGTAAGCCTTGTGGTACATGACACGCTGTGTCTAGCTTGAGTAAGATGTCAGTTTGGGGCTAATGCTTATCATGCATTCTGCTGTCAGTCTTCTCTTCAGTAGTGTATCCTAAAAAAATCCAGATCCAACTAAAATCTCTGAATAATAGCCTCTCTTGGTAAAGAAAGCACATTCTAAGAATAACAAATGACATTTTCTGCCTTTTCTCTTTTCATCAGCTGTGATGTAAATAACATAACATAAAAAGATTTGGATATGAAGTGGTATGAATGAGTATGTAAGCAGTATGAATAAGTATATAAAGCAGAAATAATATTTCAAGGGCAGGGAATCTTTGAACTGATGCCTCATATAGATGAAGTGGACTGTATGACAGTTCCATTTTAAAGTAGCCTACTCATATTTTTATTCAAATTTTTTAGGAACGTCTTGTGGTGCTTACTTAACACTATCAGAAAGCTTATTACATATACAAAAAGGCTGGCATTGATCTTTCCATGTTGTATTGTAGTAATTTCTATTGGTCTCCTTTGTGGTATAGTGTCATTTATATTCACAGCAGAAACTCTAAAATATATAAACATTGGCACTAATTTTTCTGTGATTTCTGTGTCCTAGAACCCTGCTGGCATTAGGCTGCCATGTTGGAATTGCTGATGAACATGCTGAAGAAAAAGTGAAAAAAATGAAACTTCCAAAGAAGTAAGTTGAAATTCAAATGCATCTTTTTGTTAGGCAGTGTGACTTAAGCGAACACACATTTAACGATTTGATATTTATAATGCTAGTTTTATCTTGGGCATACATTTTTGTGTATGAATTTTCTGAAATTTCCACACACCTTCATCCACAGCTTTTCTTTTAGATATTTGTGACCTGATGTGTAGACAAATTTTAGTTTTTTTGTGATTCATTGAAATGTCTGACATTCATTGTTACATATTTATTTTATATACGGAGTGTACCACAGAGACTTTATAAAGAATTTTTACAGCAAATTTGTCAATATATTTAACTGTGCTGAAAATATTTGAACGTAACCCATTGAAAGTCCTTGAATGACCATGACTTGAAGTGGAGAGAACTCATACAACTACCTGACTCTTTTTCCCAAGCAATCAGCTGGCAACAGCATTGGTAGGACTGGGCTCAGGCTGGTATGGTATAGAGGTCTCAACTACCACAGATCTAAAAGCAGCTCTCATGGCTCAGCCAAGGTGCCCTGGCCTCTTCCTTAGCACCATTGCATCCCCCCCCCCCAGGTTGGGAATGAAGAATTTGGGAATTTGAACACAGTTGAAATAATGGAACTGTACTTGTATATGCATATGATCTGCGTCCTCCCCCCACCAGTGCCTGGGCACAAATGTTACCCAGTACAGCACTTGTCTGTTTTCCCCAAACACTTTTCTCTTCCTGCTCCTCTTCCCCTGTGTGTTCCCTCATCACCTGAGCTAAGGGAGGTCACGTCCACCACCACGGTGGTGCTGTATAGTGTCATAGGTTTTTGTTGCAAATTTATTAAGTCCTGTTGTGCTGCATCTGTCACCATATCCTTTACGTCCTTTATTGAAGAAGATTTGGTCATAAGTAAAGTAGGAGATTTCTGTAACTAATTGGGTGGGAACAAGTTCATAAAAGTAGCATCCCTAGGAGTGCTAAAAAAAGTGAGAAAGTGCGTTTCTTTTCTTAACTCATGCTTTAAACATGTGTTCTTATGGTTTGAATGATAGTTAAGGTATGAAGTATTATAAAGACATACTTTTATTGGATGGACTTCATAAGTGATCTTGAATAAACCATTTGACCTGCTCTGTCTCTCACATCCCTATGTGTAATAGGAAGAATATATTTTCTTGCTTCAGTAGGAAATAGATAAATTTTAATAAGTATTGTGAACTGCTCAGAGGTAACAACAATAGTGTTAATATAAGCATTTGATAAGCAACATCTTAATCTACTATTTTGAATATGTGGAAGTACTAAAACACTTTGAAAACATTTTTAGTTCAGACCATTTTGGGTAACTTTCATTACCAGTTACTTCATCCCATCAAGATGCACGTCAGTGAATTATTATTCTTTATTTTCAAAGATGTATATCATATTTATGTAGATATGTTGTGTAGATGTTACAGATGTTATATTTATTTCCTTTGTGGTTTCTTTTTTTTTTTCTTACTGAAAAGTAACTGCAAGTTCTGTTCTTTTTCAACAGCTATCAGTTGTTAAGTGGATATAAGCCGGCACCTATGGATTTGAGTTTTATCAAACTGACCCCCTCTCAAGAAGCTATGGTGGATAAACTAGCAGAGAATGCTCACAATGTGTGGGCAAGGGACCGTATAAGGCAGGGGTGGACATATGGTATCCAGCAGGTAAGTGCTGACTTCAGACACTTGAAAAAGCACTTATCTATTGACATATTTCACAGTAAAATGGAAATAATGCGGATACACAATCAGGAAGAAACAGCTAATGAATGTATGTCAGTCAAAGAAAACACAAATACATACTTGAAGAAATACTGCTAAATCTTCTAGCAATATGAGACTCTTTTAAAAGCAGTATTAAAAAAGCTTGGTGGTATGTTCTTGTATGCTCTCTAGATTTCGGAGTGAGAAAATTACATGCAGGAAGCTAATGTGCTCTAGTGTATTAGGAAATGTAAACATTGACTTTCACTAGGGTAATCATTTAAAGGTTTGCAGTCCTTGGAATTGAATAATTTTGTTTATCCAGGAAAATCAGCATGTAAACTTCTAGTAATTTTGCTAATATTTTTGGCAGAGGCCATGTTTAACTGAGAATAGTTAAGTGAGTCTCAAAGTCTCAGTCCTACTTTAGTTGTTTTGTTTCAGTGAATAGAAATATTATGTGGTAGGTATCACAATGTGTTACAAGGGAGTGGTGTAAGAAAGAAGCGTGGATAGATTGTTAAAAGTAAAACTCAGGTTCTTTGGTTTCTTTAAAAAAAAAAACCCAAAAAGTCAATTTGATATTCAATGAACCTAATTTAGCATTTTTCAAGACAGTTAATACATCAGTTTTCCCTTAAGAGTCTTATTTTCTATTCTTTTTGTGACTGTGAATTTTATATACAGAAAGATTTCTTCACTTCCATTAATAAATGTGTGGTAGCATATCACAGTGAAAATTTAGGCAAATTCATGGCTTGGGAAAAAAAAAAGACTTTTCATGGTTTTGCACTGAGCATAAAAGCTCACTATTTTTGCAAAAATGTCAAGCAGTTGTTTTGTAGGTACATACCCTTTTCTGTCTACAAACAGTGGTTTTGTTTTTGGCAAAAATTTGAGTTATGCATTTCAGTGCCGCTCGTGTCGTATTTTGTTTTTCTACACGACCAAAACTAGTTATATTTGTAAAGCTTTTGTATAAAAAAATAAATTAATCTGGTTTTATATATATTAAGATAGACACTTAATTTCACTTCACCATGTACTGACAAAGTACATTTATGTGACAAAATAGATACTGCTTATATGTATTTTAACATCATCCTCTATAGTATCTTACTATAAAGCTTTCATTGTGTTACTTTATAAACTGTTTAGGAAATATGTGTTCTGTACTTGGATCTAGGCAGAGAGTGAGCCAAGTCTTGTGTTTGGAGACTGAAATGTATGTAATATTCCTGCTAGTTAAACACTGAAGATAATTCAGTGTTGGTGCAAACCCCTGCTTTTAACACAGGATTAAATTTTCCCATAATGCTGCATCTTTAAGAAAGAGAAGGTGGCCCTTTGAAGTGCTGTTAACATTTCTGATAGAATATGAATCATAAGGGTTGGAAGTGATAATTTTCTGTTGTCAGGTAGGGGGAGCAGATTAATTCATTTTGAACTCACTGTTTCAATCCTGTGTTTATGGAGGCAGTGCACAATTCATTTCTAGAATGAAAAACTGTATGCTCAAAAGAAATATTTCTGATATATTAAACAATACACTCAATAATTTACACTATGCCTCCCATATTTTTTATTCTTCCAGAAGCCAATAATTTTCAATACAGGGCCTTGCCAATCGGGAGATTTGAAATGAATGAAAGTTGGGAAATAGTTACAGCTTTGATAGAAACTTGACATAGCCCAAAATTAAAATTAGTTTTGCACCAAAATTTATTGGTTAAGATGAAGCTAAGAAGTTTCTGGAATCAAATGCATCTCTTAGCTAATTACATTTCTAACTAGCACTGGGAAAATTTAATCCCATGACTCATGTGTAGTGAATAAAGTTTCTTGAGGACAATCTAACCTACCCTGTGTATCTGTGTATCTTTGAAAAAAAACAGAAATAATTTTGCCACATTTAATGGAGTGAATTTGCAGCTAAATTATGTGTTTTCTGAATTAGCAAGATATTAAGTAGGAAAGGTAGTTAAATAATGATGTCAAAGACTTTTCCGAGTTTTACTGGATTGGGAATGATAAGTAAAAAATGGACTGAGAGTGGGTGGCAATGAAAAAGTTTTCCTTTACATCTACACAACACGTTTATTATACACTGTCTTTATATATGTTTTGGTGTGCCTCTTGATGTAGAAGGCCCTGCATTTGAAGAGGTGTGATGTGATAGTCATAAATCATTAGTCTTATTATGGTTACCAAAAGCCAGTGGAGTTGCTCCAGACCACAAACTTGGTTAAATAAAACCCAACAAAACCCAAAAAAAACCATTGATCAGACAAATCTAGTATGGGATATAACCTAAAATTAAACACTTCAGCATAATGTCGGAAGAATGATGAAGTCTCTTATGTTTCTCAGTGCTGTGCCTTGGGAAAGAGACTCAACTTACCGCTGAATCTAAAATGTGGCCCTGTGAAGTGGCAATTTTGAAGCTCACAGGGAAGGAAAAAGGAGGACTCTGTGATCTACTCACTGAACAGCTCTCTGTATTTTATCTAGTGACTCTTAAAATACTGTCCTGAGGGGCAGCCTTGAAACTCTAGCCTTGCCTAGACTCTCTTCCTAATTAATGCCCTTGTTGCTAGATGACAGAATTCAACGTGAAAATTAAATCTGTGCTCACTTACTACAATTTATAGTCTAGGGTGAGAAAACTCATGGAAAATAGAGGTATAGTTTCAAACCCCTTAGTCTTGTAATTACTGAATGGTGCATTACCCATTTTTCAAGAGTTTTTTAAAAATTGACCCCATATCCTCAGAAGTATCTGACTGGACAAATAGGAGTTAGGTATCTAAATCCATTTTGGTGGCCAAGGACAAACTGTTTTATAAAAAGATTATTGGAATGGGATTCCCTACTTAAATTTTTGGAAATTTTTTAAGCAGTCAGTGTGAATCAAGTGCTGACTTTGACTACCAGATCAAAGACTCTGAAAGAGCCTTAGACAAATGCTTCTGCTCTAAATCTTGATTGGGCTTAGGTATATATGATAAATATTGTACCGTTCTTCCTTACGAAGACAAAGACTGTTATGGGCATGCAGAGAAGAGCCTGGAGTATTTAAAAGTTAAAAGCTTAAGTGCCTATGAAGCTGATCACATTGGGAATTGGAAAGCCACTTAGTTGGGATTTTGCAGTATTGAGTGCTTGTGCTTTAAACATCCAAGTATTTTTTTGTGTCTGATTCATCCAAACTGACTGAAAACTTTTGTGTGCTGGGTGGGGAACTGTAGCGGTGCAGTGAACAGCGTCATAGTTAGGCTTTCAATAGAGTATGATTGTTGGAGGTGAACAAGAGCTCAGAAATATTTGTGGCCTTCAGGAAGATCTGCAAGATCAACAGTGTACTTTGCTCCCTTTTTCTTGGCAGAAAAATTACATTAGTCTCATGTATGATTAAACAGGTAGATGATGGCCTTGAAAGCTTTGACACCAATAGTGTGTCCTGCAGAAGCTGTCATTCTTGAGTGCCAATGTTGATTTCATCTTAATACCATAATTTTCTCTTCTCAAATAATTATCTTCTCAAGAAAAGACAGACAGCTGAGTTCTAGGAGTGCTTACAATGTGCAGATAGAAAATACCATTTATTAAAATTTGTAAGAAGAGAACAGAATAACGAGACTCCTTTCTGGGTGCAGTGCAGAGATGTTTCTCATTTAGCTGACATACATATCATATGGCAATATGGTAGCTGTTGTCCATGCTGCTATTTGCTTCTGCTTGGCTCCAGTGGGTTTATTTCATAGGCTACATTTTTTTATCCCATCATATTACTGTGACATGTTACAGTACTGGAATAAAGTGACATGATGTTATGCTGTATAATACTATAACAGATCTTGCAGAGCTATGAAATAGTTTCCTAAGGGAAAGAAGCTTACAGATGTTTGAAAGTAGATGAACTAATCACTGGGAAATATGTTATGAACAGCAATCCTGCTGTGGCTGTAGGGTGAATTAGATAATCTAGTAGGTCTGTTCCGTATGAGTGCCTCATCATCTTGGAATTACATAAAATGAAAAAATTAAAGGGATACTGTCAAGTAGTTCATGTATAAACCATTTCTTTCCTTTAAACAGTATTGGAGAAAATACCTTCCTACTTCCAGATTTTTTTTCTTCTTCTAAATTCGCCACTGCTTGTCAGGATTTTTTCTTAAGAAGACATAAGAGCTGCTCTTTGTGCATGACTATATACAGTATTTTTGTTCTGCTGCTGCAGAGCCAGCCAGCCAGCCAGGAGAGGGAGCACAAGTTAGCTAATAAATCCTGTTCCCAGAACTGTCCTGACAGCTGTGATGGCAATGATCACTAACAAGTAAGTATTTTTTAGTAGTACAGACTTGCAGTAAATTATTGCTCCGTGAAAGGAGCAAAAGGAACAAAACAGTAGGAAAAAATTTTTCTGTAGCAAGGGTAAGTGGAAAAACAAGTCCCTTTAAGGGAGAACATGATTACCTGCAAGTTAGTGGTCTTGGAACTGGGGAAATGGTAGATGACCAAGGACATATACAGAAACCAGATCCAGGCAAAGGAGCAATATACCCTTGGTGTAAGTGAATTAAAATAATTGCATTTGTGCTATGGGAGAGGGCTTTTTTTCTTTAAACATGCCATGGATTTTGACATTAAGTCCTATCATGATTACCTGTGTGTTTTGTTTGGTTACTTTTAATGAATTTTTCATAACAAGCTGATGGAAAAATAGCATGAAAGTGTAGAAGGATGTATTTATGACTAAATCTTCGCAAATATTTCCCATCAAGTCTAATGGAAAATATTCAGAACTCACATAAGTTTATCCATGCACTTACAGTATTTGTTGATGTTCATAAAATTGTGGTGTTATATATACAGGAGAATCCCAACTTCCATATAAATAAGGAAAAGACAGAAAGGGAGAGAAAAGAGTCAAGTTTAGAGACCAGAAAGCAAATGAAAATAATTTCCAGTAAATTACCTACACCCTCCCTCCTCCTGAATACGTGATTTCTAGGTCTCCACACTGTGGGGATCATAGCCAAAGATTCTTTCAAATTTTGCTTATATACATTGTCATGCTTAGTCAAAAGTTATCTTGCTTTTTCTTCATGTTGCATTGTGTTGTGGCTGAAGAAGCTAACAATCAGAAACCCCATTTATATTGATGCCAAAAAACCTCAGAATGAAAGAACAGCTCAGAGGCTTTGCATCTTTAAGCAGCAAGGTATTAGTTTATTGCAATGTTGGGAGCAACGTGTTTTGCACCACACAAAACTTGCTCAGCTGGAAAGTGCAGAAACAAGCCATTTTATACACTTTAGATACACAGTTACACCTTGTAACATACATATTAAAAAGTAGGCTGGTCTCTGGGTGGAAACTTTCCAGAATTTTCCTTGGCACATGCGTATTCTTTACTAGGGTGGTCGCCTACTCGAGCATTCATCCCCTGGTGGTCGCTGTGCTTGTCTTCATCCAGGTGAATTTTTCAGCTTTCTTTGTTAGGTGATCTAGATTCCTCAAGCTTGCAAAATCCTGGCTCTGCCCCCCCCCCCCCCCCGCCGTTTACTTAAAACATCTAGTTTACCTGATTTATTACCTTGTGGTCCATTCCCTAGTATTGAGACTTTGGTCCAGTAAACAGAACAGAACAAGACATTAACCAGTATTCCTACAATGTTCTTCTAGTGAGGCAGGCAGAACAGATATTATAGAATCACAGAATCATGGAATCAGCTGGGTTGGAAAGGACCTCCAAGATCACCAGGTCCAACCTTGATCCGCTACTACCGTGGTTACTGGACCGTGGCACTAATTTTTAAGCAATTACCTTCTCCTGGCTCAGCAGGGCAGGGTGTACCAGCATTAACTCTCTTAGTGCCTTTCTGCCATCAATATTGACAAAAAAAGTATCAAAAATCTCACAGCTTTAACAATTGTTTATAAAAATCAGCAACATAAAAAGTTCCACTGTGTGAAGAACATCTTAAAAAAGATGCTCTGCACTTCCTGTTCCACAACATTTAGTACTGTCAAGCAATTATCAAATCTCACTTCTCTTTGGCCTAAATGCAAGATGGTTTGGTCTTTATGTCAGGATCTTAATTTTTTTTAGATTTATAGAAAGTATATGACCACCATTTGATTGGGAGTTGGTCTCCTCAGCCTGCCTAGGGGTGCTGTTGCGAGGTATCTATCGTATTGGTTAGGTTTGGTCGATAGAAAAAGCAGACACACACACACACACAAACAGAGAGAGTTGAGACAAGAATACAACCTTATTACACACACTGCATCTATTAATAGGCTCTTCTCTTAAAGCTGCTCGTAGAATTTCACTGTGGTTTTCTACAATGCTGTAGATGGTATGGCCATTCCTCTTGTTTCACTCTTGCTGTTAAGTGATATCTGTCTATGCAAGTTCCAAGACCAGTTGTTAGTTCCAGTGCACTGGACCAGTTACCTACATGTCACATACTCACTGAATGAATAAATGCAGTTTGTATCTCTTGGCTCCCTGTGTGTTTCCTTGGAATTATTTTGCATCAGTGTTCTTTACCTGTCATGGAAGTTTTAAAAGACATAGTGATATTTTTTGGTGTGTGTGTTTAGGTATTTTTTTCTGTATTTCTTTTCTATTACTTTTAAGAGCTATATTCAGGTAGTGCCAATTGTTGACCAATTATTGGCTATTTAAAATCTTTTAAAATGTATACAAATAAATGTATATCTTATTTGTAATAGTTATTTGTCTATCACTTGCTGTATATAGCAGAACCTGTAGTGTACACTGTATAAAGTAATACTGATTTTTCCTGCTCAGCGCTACATCATTTAATATTATTAGTTCCTTCCACTTACGATCAGGGCACATTCTGCCAGGCATTCCAACTTTTCATGGTTGCAATACTTTCTTTTACCTAAGTAAAGTAAATTAAATTCTAAATTATTAATGGATGTTTGTAACATCAAATGAAGACAAAGCTGTGTAATAAAATGGATAGGCTTTTTTCCTTTTTTTTTTTTTCCCTGTGATATGGGAGGATATGAATTCAAAACAAAAGAATTACATGAATGTCATGTGTGCGACCCAGATCAAACCATTTGTCTGTGAACAAGTAGTTGCCAGACAAACTCTGTACAAAACAGTCTTCTGATGAAGCATTAGACTGTCAAATCTGGAAAATACTGACAAAAAATTAAAAGTTTTTGCTGAGTTTTTCTTCTTTTAACAGTCTACAATAACTTCTCTGTATTTAATAGGAAGATTCAGTCTGTATACCAATTGGAAGCATACTCAATAAAAATTAGCTCTCTTAGTTAATCAGTTTTCTTGTTGACTTGATTGTGAGTGTGCAAAGCTCAATCACCGTACAGAATCATTCTCTTGATTAGCTACACTTAAACCACAGAGATGTAGAAGGTCATTAGTACAAAAATTTATGATGAGTATAACAATAACAGTTCTTAATTCATCAGTAAGTAACACAGTCAAAATTTAGATGGACATGTAATAGGAAAAAGAAGAACAAAATTATGAAAAGAAAAATCCCTTCTCACAATCAAATGTAAAGAAGTAGCCACAGTCTTGAATGGGTGACAAAGGTCACAATATTAAATAAAATTAAACCCAAGGGGGAAAAATTCTGTGGAATCAAGTTGGTTTAATACATAAGATTTCTTTATTCCTTTTGGCTTTTTTTTCACCTCACTCTCATTTTTGTGCTTAGGCATTTTTAAAAGCACTTATATTTCATTATGATCCATTGTTATCAGCTGATTGCTGTATGTTAATGTTTGTTAAAGGTTGCTATGGCAACTACCAATGCATTAGTGTAACTGTATATTATGGGTAAGAAATTACAGAATTTTTGTTCCAAACTTCCGTTATATATTTTTAAAGACAGTAAAAGTTGGTAATATCTTTGGGACAGATAGTGTTTCAGAGGAAATGAGTTCTCTTTTTATGTCCTTTCCAAGACAAATAATTAAACCATAGTGTTTAATCTCAGATGCTACTGTGAATATTCTTATATCAAATAATAATTCCTTAAAAAATTGAATTCAACATTTACTTCATTCTGGATGCAACCCTTACCTGCATCTACCAAATTAAATACTGGAAAAAGGTATGAATATGAACTTAAGTGTTTGGAATGAGTATGAAAAGTAGATCCCTCAAATGGTCTTGGTGTTTGCTTTGTCACTCTCCTTTCCACTGAATATAACTAGAGCTGATATGTTCTTGATTTGTGTCCCCAGCAATGCATTATCTTTATCTTTTTGTTAGCCTTTTTAGGATATAGGTAATGTTTGTCCCTTCATATTTCTTCTCCTAGAGGGATCACTTGTAGGACCAGATTTCATCAAACACTGGTTTATAACTGCTCTTTTAGTAGTTGGTTACCATAACAAGACAAAAGGCAGATAACCTTGCATCTAAGCATTTAGAGATGCCTGCAAATGTTTGCCAGAATGGATGTGCCGTTCCTTTTCTGCCTGCAAAGAGAGAATGAAAACTACATATATTCCTAAAACTAGAACTGTAATGCTATAAAAGAAGAAAGATACTTTCATTGTAGGTGCTGTTTTCTAAAATAATAGGCACTATATTTGCACTTCTTATTAAATCTTACCAATCATAAAAGCCTCTCAGTATTATTGGTATTGTACTCAAGACAACAAACAGCAATATTTTTTTTGTATGTCTGGCCTGTAATTTTTTTTATAGTAAGATGTTAGGAAGAACATGGAGAGTTCTTAGCATGGTTTCTCTGACTGCCAAAAAAGTCTGACAGGATGTGAGAAGAAAATATAGACAAGAAAACAGTTCTATTAGTCACTAAAAATTATGTTTCTCATATAAATATTTCAGTTAAATACTGCTTTCAAATGAGATAATTTTGCAGTAGAGGAAAACTTTATCAATATTGTGTCAATAAACCTAAAATACGAAGATTAAACTTTACCAATACATTCATTTTAGGTGCAGGAGAGGTTAGTTTAATTATCTGTTACAAAAATTCTACACGAGGCACATCAACCATATTCTTGCAAGACTCTTTATTTTGGAAAAATACATGTTTTAAGCATTTGACATAGTAAGACAGATTTTTTAATCTGTTTTATTGTTTATTAGCGTTGCATGTATTTATTATTTTTATTAGTAGAATTTTTTCTTTTGTTTTAATTATGTTTATTATTTGGGCATTTTATGTATCTTGTTAAGTGCTGTAATTAAAAACCCCTCAAACCTGTGTATTTGAGGTACAGAAATATCTGAATTTTAGTTATGTACTAGCTTATTGTTATGGTATCTACTTCATAAACAGTGTTCGAAATATAATCCTTTGACTCTTCTGTCAACCTCTTCACATCTATCCTTGTTTTTGTGGTTTATATTGTTACTTTATTAAATAAATTTGATAGAAAATAGCAGCAGGTATAAGCCACACATTTTTGTTTATTTGTGTGTTACTTTCTTTTTTAGTGAATTTAGTGGGTTTTACTACTTTCTAGACTATTTGGCTTCTTTGAATCCTTGCTATACTTGCAGTTCCATGTTTCAGTTGGTATAAATAGTAATTTTTATACTGCTATACTAGCATAATCTTGTCTTTAAGACAAAAATGCAATTTCTGAAATTGAATTGATTTTTCATACTGTATGCAGGATGTGAAGAATAGAAGAAACCCTCGCCTTGTACCATATGCTCTTTTGGATGATCGAACAAAGAAGTCAAACAAAGACAGTCTTCGGGAAGCAGTTCGCACCCTTCTAGGTTACGGTTACAATCTGGAAGCTCCTGATCAAGACCATGGTAATTAATTTTGGCGTTTTTTTCTTCTCAAAACCAAAAGGGATTAGAATATTTCACTCCACTATTGAATTTGTTGGTTCAATAAAACATTTTGAACAGGTGTCTCCAAATCTAAAAGGTGCTTTTCTTCATTTTCTGTTGTTTGTATTTCCCTTAGATTTTAATTTCCTTGGGAATAAACTGCTAAAAAATGCTAATTTTTCCTTACAATGCAGAGATCATTGATCTGGTTCTTTGAATGGAGTTACTAATTAAATGCAAAGAACACAAATGCCAATACTTGAATCTGAAAGATGTGATCAGTGCTGTTGCAAAATTGCCAGAGGAAAGGAACTGCAGAACAGTGTCCCACAAACTGATCTTTCTTGAGCAAAGACTGGAACTGCATTCATCAGAAGATTTTTATACTCATTTTGAGGAGTTAGATTTTGCAGTTTATAAGTCTCTCAAGTTTTTGAGATGCATAAAACGTGATAGGGATCTTCTTTCATCAGCAAATATCCATACAGTTATTAAAGGATTTAGGGCCCTCTAGTGGTGTTCTGCATCTCCAATCATTAATTTTTATTTAAACTTAATTTTACAAAGCTCTCTAGTGTCAGGTTTTATGCTTTATTATTATTCCTTACTGGTTTCCCACAGCAGCTGTATTTTTGGGATTACTTAGAATCTGGATAGCATTATGTTACTTAGAATTTAAAAAGAAAACAAATTCTCAGTTATCATGCTTTGTGGTGCTACATAGTTGAGGTACTGAGGGTCTTCAAAAATGTTTTTAATTTTGTCAACTATCAAAGAGAAAATTTTATGGATAAAGAATTATGTGGCGGAGAGTTCAGAGTTGCTTACAGGAAACAATGAGCCTCACCCAGGTCAGGCATAGTGGCATCAGAAGTGATAATAAATTCTGAGGGATATGATTTTATAGGCTATTCTAGACGATATTGGAAATGTGGACCTTGATGTGGCTGAGAAAACAGAAGAGAAAGCGAGAGGTTCTTAGCATGGTCTAATAAAAAGGTGCAGGTAGGTGCAGACACATTTGGTCTTAAAACAAATTCAAGAAAAAGAGTATCTGAAGTATCATAGACTGGAATGCTGACCTTTCAGAGGTCGCACAGGATTTAATACATTGCAAATTTGTGGAAAGAGATCCTTGCCTTTCGTATTCTTTTTCCTAATCTGAGAAAAAGAATCAGAGTGATTCCTGAGTCATGTGATTTGTAGCTGCACTCAGATTCCTAAGTTCTCTTCCCTACCCGCCCCCCGGTGAATTTACAAGTGCAGGGTTATTTCACAGAGGTACTTAAGCGTGCTGATTCCCCAGAATGGGAAAGGACACTTTCTCCATGTGGCTGTTCTGCAAGCACATTCTTCTTTACATGCCTATGCTTAAAGGTGTTCCTTTACCTTTTCCTTTCACTGTCTTAATTTTTGTCAGTAGTTTAACACAGTACTTTCTGTATTGGTTGGGGTTTTTTTTACTTATTTTTATCTTTTTAAACCTTACAGCAGTGAGACTGGACATGTGCAGTGGGATAATGGAAAAGTTCAGGATCTTCCGCACAGAAAAGACTTATGCAGTGAAGGCTGGAAAGTGGTACTTTGAGTTTGAGGCGGTTACTGCAGGAGACATGAGAGTTGGTTGGACCAGGCCAGGTTGTCTGCCAGATCAGGAGCTTGGCTCAGATGAAGAAGCTTTTGTTTTTGATGGCTTTAAGGTTTGTATGTGTTTATCTGCAATAATAAGTGGTTGCAAAACTTTTAATTTTTGCATCTAATTCCATGTATCATTGCCTCAACTTAATTGCCTTCTCATCTTTCACTTTTGTTTTATGAAATTATTTCTCTCTGTCTTTGAGGGCCTAGATGGAATAAGGAGGATCAGTGTCACCTGAAAAATTAATTAACAGGATTTGACATTTCTATAATTTTTTTTCACAGTTTCACAGTATTTGTACAGTATATATAAAGAATTGAAAATCAAAGTGACTTAAATTCAAAATACTGGCAGAGCTGTAATTAGCTATGAATCATTTCTTTAAAGTTTTACTCTGTTGTTCTCTTGATAAGAAGTGCCATTAGGGAATAAATATGGTTAAGATGATTAACAGTTAGTGTTTGAGGGAAACTTTGATACGAATTTTTTCTCGAAATGTAAGAGTTCCAAAGAATATAGCTAGTTTTTTATAGAAATCCTTACAACTTCACTGAAGTATCATAGAACCAGTAAATTTTGCTCAAATTTAACTCTGCATGAAACAATGGCAGATTGAAATCAAGTAGTAAAAATATATAGGAAAACAAACTTTTATATGTTACTGATTGTCATCAGAATAGGTTAAATGACTCAGAAAAACTTTTAGTATGAAGCCAAGTGCAACTGCTATCGAAACCTTAATTATTATTAAGGCTATTGTCAAAGTATTTCTTGTATCTGGTATTGAAATTAATTGACTTTATTACTATTATAATATGTAACAGAAATCAACAGTATTCCTGGCTGTTCCCAGTTAGATAAAGCTCTCAAGATGTATTTTATTTATGTGGTGGGAATTTATTTTTTCCACTCTTGTGTTGCATGAGAAAATGCCTTGAAAAGAGAACTGAAAAGTTGTTTTTGTAAAATATCTGACTGGCTTAAATAAACTATTCAAATCCTGTATATTTACTGGAATAGCTGTGTTGTAGTTTGCCTTCTTAATCTTAGGTTTTGATCTTTAGGTCTCAATCCACAGAACTATTTTGTTGTCTTTGATTTTAATGGGTTCTTTTCTTGCTTGGAGAAAAAATTTTGATCTTCAGGATGCCCAGAAAAGTTCATTTGTTTTGTATGATTTTCAGGATGAATACAGATGATAAAAATCTGCTTGCGATGGAATATATAAATAGAAAACCTATTTGTTATTAACAGGGTTTTTTTTTTGTTTTATGCTTGTTGCAATACTTTTTAATGTATTTGAACTCCAATCCAAGGCTCCATCCAAAGCCTTTGCAGTCATAGGTATCATTAATCATGCCCTCAGCTACTCTGGAATCTGTCAGAAACTCAGTGCTTGTCTCATCCACAGGCAATTCTATTCCTTCCAAAATCTGCTATGCATTAATCTAAGATTAATTTATTTTGCACACCACATTTTTAGAATTATACTCGAGGAAAGAATAAAGTTTGTTTGCAAGTAATGCATTTATAGGTTACTGAAATAAATAAAAGCAATTTCTTAAAAAAGGTTTGTGAAGCAGCTATGTAACATTGTAATAGATATAATATTATTTTAATTATAAGTCTTCCATGAAACTGCAGAAAAATAAGCAATGCTCTTACTTGTTAGTAAAATGTTGAAATAGCCATTTCCCCTGTCAGCTCTCTTAGCAATGTTTTACAATGCTGATATGAGGGGTGCTTGCATGAAGTTAATTGTTGGATTTCCATTTTCAGACTCAACTTGGAGAACTCAAAGACATTGTTTTGGAATTATATTCTGTGTTCATTTCAGCACCATCTTAATTGAGAAGGTTAATTATTAGTTCTACCACTAAAGACGAGAGGAACACCCACATTGTCACTATTATTCTTTTAATTCTTTTCAGGCACAGCGGTGGCACCAAGGTAATGAGCATTTTGGCCGCTCTTGGTTGGCAGGAGATGTTGTTGGATGCATGGTTGACATGAATGAGCACACTATGATGTTCACCTTAAATGGTGAAATCCTGCTTGATGACTCAGGTTCAGAACTTGCGTTCAAGGACTTTGAGGTTGGTGACGGTAAGTACTGTAATATATCCTGCTGTTAACTTCCTGTTGCCCAATTTTTGCTCTGACTTTGCTTTAATGTGTTTCTTGTGGTGTGTTTCTTATTCCCTCATCTGCCCTCCCTTGCCCCCTCCCATCCCAGGAACTACCCCTTGTCCTTTTCTCTATTTGATTAGTATTAAGCCTTTGGAAAGGAAGTTTACTGGGTGTGAGGATGAGGCAAGACTTTTTTTCCGTGGTGACCTTTGTGACCATCTTTTGTCATGAGACCTTTTCACTGTTTTACAGGGATGTGTCTGGAATGTCAGATTCATGACCTTATATATTTCATCCTCACTGCAGCAGGTCACTGTATGATATAACAGAATCATAGAATGCATCATAGAATGGTTTGGTTTGAAAGGGACGTTTGAAGATCCTCTAGTCCACCCGCCCTGCTGTGGGTAGGGACATCAGATTTTATCTAGATGAAGTACTTAAATGTTACCAAATTTCTGTCCAATTAGTGGGAAACCGTGATAGGAAGTTTAAGTCATCTTTAAGGTTTTGTTTTAGCACTGGGAGGAGAAATGACACCTGATCCAGGGTAAAGTCAAGTGATACAAAGCTAGCCTTCAACATTTTTTGCTTAATTCTAAAGCAGCAGATTGAACTTTGTGTGTTGCTGTAGGTTTCTTGGTGCAGGTTTGAGAGTCCACAAGCAGGTGTTAGTTTGTTATAAAGCCATAGCTTATGGCTTTGCCAAAGATGGCAATGATTGTGAGGGTGTGTCGGGTGCCAGATTGATTCTATACCAGAGAAGCATTTTTGTTTATAAATTTAATTATATACTTGTGTGCAAATAGATAGAGAAAAGGGTAAGAAATTACATTAATTTAGTTCACTGCCTAAAACTTTTGAAATATCATAGCGTAAAAGAATATTTTAAGCTTTTATCTTTCCCTTTTATTTTTTGCAGGTACATATATTCTGCCATATATATTATACATATTTTAAACAATACAGCTGTAGCTGAGAGATAAAGTTAAATTTTTTTGAATAGTAAGAGCTGCAAATGATACTGTTTGGTTACTCATTCCTATTCCCAGGGGAAGTATGAATCTCATACCTATTAATTAGGCAATTCCCTCTTTGAATTTTAACCACTTTAATTTCATCTGGATTTCAGAGTATTTTACTTTCAGGAGTGCTTTGGGAGAATTTTTTTCCTTCTTTTGGCATGCCTTAGGAATTAGAAATATTTTAATTTCCTTTAAAATTACATAATTGCCATCAATTTTCTAGACTTGTGCCTGTTACTTCAGATTTCCTTAGATACAGCGATAACATGATGAGGGAAAGGGCTTTGTGAATTGGCTTATTGTTAGTGCTGTATGCAAAAAAATCATCTTGGTGCCATTAAATCGTAATGACTTTCCAGTTATTAGGTAGTATAATCCCATTAAAGAGTAAGATTCTGAAAGAAACTGAAATTTTATTAAATTCTGAGGGTAGCCTGTTTGACCACTATTTTGATTTCCAAGTTGATGAAATCACAGTGGTGTACTTTTCGTGCTACTTGTTTCTAGCTGCAGGTTCAGACTGAAACAGATCTCTGAGTCTGAAACTGCTAAAGTAGTTCCTGGCTTGACATGAAGCCTGAAGGCTTTGGTAACCTTGTCAAAGACTTAGTGTCAAGCCTCTCATATTTTTCACAATATCCTTGTAATTCACATTAAGTTCCTTTATTGTCATGTTTGTGGAAAAGAGCTTGCTCTTTGAAATAAGACCACCTATTTGGTTTTCAAAGGAATGTGCTGATTGACCTCAGATTTAATAACTCCAGAGCCATATTTGAAAATATTGTAGGTATTTAATACACAATTCTTGGGGCGAAGAGGACTCAGGGAGGGAAGGCAACTCTTTGTATGAGTGTGTATATGCAAACAGACAAATGAAATACATAAAATAAATTACTTTTATTGATCTTAATGATCTTATTGAGCTTTCTCTCTTCTCCTTTTTTTTTTTTTTTTTTTTTTTTTGTTAGACTTACTTTAGTTTGGTTTTGGTATTGGCTCTTGCTTAACTGAGACTCTTCTTCAGGTCACTTCTATCAGTGAATCCTGTGCATCTTATGTTGCTGCAGAAAGGGATCTTTAGCTTTAAAAAAAGGTTAGAATTTCTAGTGCAGTCTTACTGTAAATCAGGCCTGTAGTTTTAATTTACTTAGGAATGGTGAAAATGGAGTACGATGCTCTCCCATCTTATTAATAAGGCTCATATGCTGTGTATTAGATTGTGCTACCAATGAGAGGATTGGGATTATGGCAGATGAATTTGCTTATGAGATATCATCTCAGTAGTAAAATTGATAAACATAATTGCATCTTATTATGCAATTGTATAAGGGAAATTTTACACTGTAGATGTGAACAAGAACACTGTATAAACCAAATTTTGTTTTTTCTACTCATGATCTCAATGAGCATGAACCATTTGTAGTGTTTGACAGATTGGGTCAGGATGTTCATGTTGTGTTCTTGAAAGTAGGGAACATTATGAAAAATGCTGCTGTCCTGTTCTTTCGCCACATGACAGACAGTGCTAGAGGGTTACTCTTCACATGGTAATGTTAAAGTATTTCTTGTTTTGCTATTTCACAAAGTGAAATGAAAGTTTTGTTACATAGCCCAGTTATGTACCTGGAGGTTAAGAGCCAGGTTATGGACAAATAATTTTTTTATGTGGCCTCCAACATGCAAGGGCTACGTGGAATCTGTGAAACATCACATCAGAAATGGCTGGATACCCATTTAGAAATGGGTATTGAAAATTCATTTTTATTCCATAGAAAGACATGTAACTGCCTTAGCAGCACACTCCCTGTAAGATGATATGCTCTTTCTTTGTCATATACAGAAGAGCCCTAAAACGCCTTAATGACAACTGAACCATGGGCAAATCAGTCCAGAATTTCACCAGAGGTGGAATAGTGTTTTCATGATTAGGGCTGGTACTCGTATTTATATTCCATTCATACAGAGCAAGGGTTACTGTACAGTTAAAGTTACTTGCATGAGTTAGCTACATGTACAGTGCCTTCTGAAATCAATGAAATTTGCATTGGTGAGAGAGATTGTCATCTTGGTTTCATATTGGCTACATTTACAGGGTTGATGGGAAGTACTAGATTGAGTAAAAACATCAATGAGAGTTTTACCTGTGTAGGAGCTTTTTCTGGGTTTCTTTATTTTCTTTCAGGGAACCTTGCAAATGCTCATTTACATTTTGTGTTAGTGTGTAAAATACTTGCTTCACGTCTAATAATGAATCTGTCTGAGAGTTCTCCTTTTTTTTTTTTTTTTTGAACCCACAGGAAAATGCAGAGGTATAAGTATTACCAGTTTTTGAGTGATGAGCTGAGAATTGTAAGGTTATTTAAAATAGAATTTTGATTTTTGGACTTAACTTTTGCAACAACTTATGGATTCCTTTAACTTGAGGGAGCCTAGTAAATTCTCCCTACTAGAGCTACTGGGGTTTACCATGGCATATAGCTTGATATGCAAATATAATTTTCCTAGTTATGTGTTGTATAATACAATATTGTTTCATTTAGTACTGGAAAATACTCTCTGTTATTGTTCATCATTGCATTTGCACTAGAGGAATAGACACAAATTTTATTGTCTGTATCAGCTATGATATCTGAGAAGTTGACGCCTACAAGGCAAGGATTTAAGAGCCAAGATGTGAAGATAATCTGGAATTGAACTTATGACTAATAGAGTATGTCATTAAATATATCATGTCTAATACACATAAATATGACAACCAGTTTTTTATATCTGTAGTAAAATCTTCAGAAAGTGATACTGAAGACTGACCATTTAACTGGTCATTCCTGTAGATGGTGCTATGGAGTTTGCTTTTGTCTCTGAAGAAAACATGTATCATGAATTGATCCTCTGCCCTTTTTTTTATCTAGGCAGCATAAAGAAAAGAGAGGAACTAAATTGTATTTTGTCCTTTTATCCTTTGATACCTGGTACATTCATATGAATCAGAATCATTGATTCATATTCCTGCCTCGATAAAAAAGAAAACATTTTGCTAGTAACTAGATCAAATGAATCTACAAAGTGATTTGTAGCTGTGGAAATTGACAAACAGGATGAAAAGGAATAGAAGAAATAGAAGATTTTCTTAGGTTTTTAGGACTGAAACTGAGAAAAATACCCCTCTTTTAAAAAAGTGCAGAGAAGTCACAAAGGAATTCCCTGTGCTAGTGAAACAGTAAGATGCATACAAATGTGAAACTGATTCAAAAGGTAAAACAGAAAACATAACCCCAACCAAACTACATTTTTTCATGAAGCTGTAGTATCATATTGTCAGTTCTCATTATCCAGAGCCAGTTTTATGAATTTTTAAAATTAATTTTTTTTTTTTTAGATCTATGACATGCACTTGGTGCATATTTGTATTTTTTTTTCAGTATTATAGCTGCATGGACAAGCACTATATTACTTTTTAAGTAAGATTCTCTCAAAATACCATGACTAATGAAATTTTAGGGGGAATATAAAAGTCGTAGGAGTAAAATTGGAGTGATATTGGCAACACTCTACCAGCTTAGCAGAATGATTAACAAAGAGCTGGCTGTCAGACTCCGTGAAGTAAATTGAGTGTTGCATGAAGAGATTCATGACTATTAGGGGGCTTTTCTTTTTCAGAATGATGTTTAAGATACACTACTTGGTGACATGCAAGATGCGATGTGCTATTGATGACTGCTTACATTTATAATCTTCGTTTTTTTGGATTCATTTACTTTTTTTTTACCAAATAATTTTTAAATCAGTTATGGAGAAGAGCAGTTCATTGATGTTCATGATGTACAACCCATGTGTTCTTTCATCTTGTTTTAAGGATTTCTACCTGTGTGCAGTCTGGGCCCATCTCAAGTGGGAAGAATGAACTTTGGAAAAGATGTCAGCACTCTAAAATATTTCACTATATGTGGCTTACAGGAAGGGTATGAACCCTTTGCTGTTAATACAAACAGAGACATCACCATTTGGCTGAGTAAAAGACTCCCTCAGTTTCTACCAGTGCCCACAAATCATGAACATATTGAGGTTTGTGATCCTATTAAAATGTTTCTAGACACTTGAATATGTTTAATTTATGTTTCTACTTTTGCACTTCTAGACAAGATTTTTAATGTGATATGTTGTCCCATTTCTGGATGAACCTTACACCTGTTAGAATTTTCTTACCTTCAGTAGAGTTGCAAAGAATGTAATTATTTGGTTGATAGTATTTTTTTCAATGAAATCTGTCATGTGTGTAAACATGAGATTCTCAGAGACAAATTTTACAAGATGTCCTCATTAAGAGCTCGTTTTGCAGTGAAAGCTATGTTTGTAAACAAGTTCCAGAAATTGGGCATTTTTACATAACAGATACCATGTGCACACACTTTGTGATTTTTCCATAGCTAGTTGGTTTTGATTTTAATAAATATTTATTAGCCAATTGTGTCAAAACCTATGTCTCAATTAGTTGTGCATCTTGATGGAACGGAATTCATGCCTTGTAAGTTTTCCATTAAATCCTTCTGAAACTGATGAAATAAGAATTCTTTTTCAGCTGTTGTGTATCACAATGTAGTATTTAAGAAACAATTTATGTTTTTGCATATGTGCATGTATGATTTATATTTTTTGGTCTGTGTTGTTCTGGGCAGGGCTGGAATTATGTTGCAAAGAGTTATGAGAAAGGTAATTTCTTTGAGTCTTTTTTTTTTTAATTTAACAATGGAACCACAAATAACATCCACTCCTCATAGTATTTATTTCCCTTCAAAATGGCAGCACGTGATTGCAGTACATTTGATTGTTGACAGCATACTATTGCAAGGTTTGCAAGTCATGAATGCATATTCTAGAAATATAAATTGAATAGTTACAAAGCAGAAAAAGCATTGACTTCAACACAACTACATCTTTTTGTCTCATAGGTGACAAGAATTGATGGCACCATAGACAGCTGCCCCTGTCTGAAAGTCACGCAGAAGTCCTTTGGTTCACAGAACAGTAAAACAGATGTCATGTTTTTTCGATTAAGCATGCCCATTGAATGTGCTGAAGTGTTCTCCAGATCAGCTGCAGGAGGGTTACCAGGCTCTGGTCTTTTTGGCCCAAAGAATGACTTGGAGGATTATGATGCTGATTCTGATTTTGAGGTTCTAATGAAAACTGCTCATGGTCATCTAGTTCCTGATCGGACAGAAAGAGAAAAAGATGCCACAAAACCAGAGTTAAACAACCATAAAGATTATGTTCAAGAAAAACCTTCACGTCTTAAACAAAGGTTAGTAGCATATTTGGTATGCTACTTTTTTTTTCCCCCTTCTCAAAGTGGAAGAAAATGCCAGTCATGCCTGACAGACCAGTGAAATAACTTTTGGATATGTAGTTTAAGGTCATAATTAAGTGCTTTTAAAAATGAGCTTGTCCCTTTCTCTTTTCTGAATAATTTGCCTTTGTGATTAGACTTTAATAGATTTTGATTTTACTTATTTTATTACAGATTTATGCTCAGGAGGACGAAGCCAGATTATAGCACGAGTCACTCTGCACGGCTTACTGAGGATGTACTAGCAGATGATAGGGATGACTATGATTATTTGATGCAAACTTCCACGGTATTGTAACATAGGATTGCTGTTTGATTTTTGTTTGGTGGGGGTTTTTTTGCTTGGTTTTTTTTAGTTTGGTTTGGTTTGTGTTTTGGGGTTTTTTTGGGGGGGGGTGTTGATATCTTTTTTTTTTTTTTTGTTGCTGAGGTTTTTTTATATATAGCTAAAGTTGTTTTGCATGTAAGAGTTTCAGAAACAGTCTAATTTTCAAGCAGAAATTTTAATTTAATTGTCTGTCGTAGTTCTGTGCTGCTACTGAAGTTAAGACTGCTTTGTTCCTTTTGTTTTGAATTGATTGTCAGTCTAAAACAATTTCCAGATGAAAACCTATAAACTAGTTGAATCCGTTTTTGAAACTAGTGTTGATAACACCTAACATAAAAGAGAATGAATAAATAGTTCTAGAATAAGAAATAATAGGAAAAAGTACATTAAACCAGTAAGTCGTTGTTCAGGAGCATTTGAAAACGTCTGTACTAATTTTACAAAGCATTTATTTAATGTAACTCCTGGTGAAAGTTTTGTGCAGGATTTCTGTGTATTTTTCTGACAAAATCAACTCCATAAGCACTCACTCTTTGATGTTCAAAGGGAAAAAATGCTCCTCTTCCCAATGTATTTTTCTCTTTCTAAGAGATGTCATATACTGGAAACTGAGTCACCTGCAGTATAAAAATTGTGACTGCTATAAAAAAATAGCTTACAATGCTATGATACAGAAGCCTTCAATACAGTTCTTTTCCATTTTTTTTTCTTTTAGCAAACATATTTTGTTGGCTGTATTTTGATTTGTGTTTATATTCTTTTGTTACTTTGCTTACAATTTGCAATTGAATAAGGCTATGCTACTTTTGAAGAGATGACATGTTTCCAAATTTTAGAGCAACAGGTTCTGAATCAAACTGGAATCACACTGGAAAGCGAATACTAACATTTGATAACATTATTTTTTTCATTAACAGTACTATTATTCAGTGAGAATATTTCCTGGTCAAGAGCCTGCTAATGTCTGGGTGGGCTGGATTACATCAGACTTTCACCAGTATGACACAAGCTTTGACTTGGACAGAGTGCGTACTGTCACAGTTACACTGGGAGATGAAAAAGGGAAGGTTCATGAGAGGTTGGTAATAATTTTCTTATGATCTATATTTTATATCTATAAAAGCAACTTTATAAGTGTAAATCCACCTCATTTAATGTAACTGGTTTGATGTGGAAAAATAATAAAAAAAGCAGTAGTAGGAAAAAGTGTGGCTCTTACTTGTAAAGAAACAGTGGAGTAGTGATCTAGTCAAATCAATAGGCACTGAAAAGTAAAATAGTGCAGCTTTTCTATATAGTTGAAGACTATGATCCTGTAAATGTTGACTTCTAAGGCCGCAATTAATACAACAGTTCCTCTCAGCACTTCAATTTATTATCCATGCCAGAAACCTTCTGTTATGCTCAACATTAAATGATTTAAAACCTTAACTTGCAAAGTCAGTTTTGTCTTCGGAATTTTACAAAACATTTGAACTTGTTCATACAATGTCATCTTCAGTTTTTATTTTTTCAGTTATGATGTCCAGGTTTCATTGAGTTTTGGCAGTGGTTCTGGTGGGATCCACTGTTTTCAGCCACAGGGTCTGGTTTCAGCCCTGCAAAGTTGTTATTAATTCATTACATAAAGTTTACACAGCATCCATAAATAAACTTGTCTTTTGACATTCAGTATAAAACGCAGCAACTGCTATATGGTGTGCGCAGGAGAGAGCATGAGCCCTGGACAAGGACGTAATAATAATGGTCTGGAGATTGGTTGCTTGGTCGATGCTGCCAGTGGCCTGCTGACCTTCACAGCTAATGGCAAGGAACTAGGCACGTACTATCAGGTGAGTATTTTTTGATGGTGTCTTCCAATGGGAAGGGGGAAAACCAAGTTCTCAGACTGCATCTCATTAGAGGTTTTTGTACAAGATTGTAAGAAAAAGTAATCACCACTGTTATGACTCTATTTTTTCCATACTATTTGAATTTCATGGGGTTTTATTCAAAGGCCTGCACTTGCTGACTGCCTTTTCTTTTAATTTGCAATACTGTTTTTCTGTCTTCTGTGGTTATGTATTTGTGTATCTTCGATTTAGGTTGAACCAAGTACAAAGTTATTTCCTGCTGTATTTGCTCAAGCTACAAGCCCCAATGTTTTCCAGTTTGAATTGGGAAGAATAAAGGTAAACAATGCTTGGTTTTGTGTAAGTTTAGGATTTATGAATTATATAAAATAATTTTATTTTATTTTTTGCCTTTTGTTGCCTGTGATGTCTTCCTGGTATATTGGGCACGTTTTTTATGATTCCAAGTGTTTGCACTATTGCTGTTTTTATTCTTAACTCAGTTGTAAATACTTCATGAATTTAAAATACAGTACATTGAATAAGAAGGGTTGAAACTGATCAGAATTAGCAGAGAATATTGCAAAGTCCTGTTGAATTTTCTGAATCTCATCCTTCATGATGAAACAAAATCACTGGGGTCAGTAAGGCAATGCTCATTCTACAAACAGAGCATGGAAGACTGGTGTATCTGCAGATTAGATTAGGGTTTTAAAATAATTTTAAAGTACACGCAAACAAAACACTCAAGGAAACTGAGCTGAATGTTGCTTCCTTGCCTTGGATAATTGGATGTTGAAAAAATTAGAAGAAGGAAAATTGGGTCTCTGGTACAAGGAAGTAACCACACATTCCAGTCAAGTTTCTATTTCAAATTTAGCTATTAAAAAAAAAAAGGAAAATGCTGCTTGCTGCTAATCTTCCAACAGTTCCCAGCTGGTTTTAAAAACTACTGAAAATGTTAATTTCATGTTGCACTGTACTTTACCATATGTTGAATGTATTTTTTGAGAAATAAAGTATGCAGTGCTTGATAAAGATGATGAAACAGATTGTCTCTTCCATTGGAATTTTCCAGAATGTAATGCCATTATCTGCTGGCTTATTCAAAAGTGAGCACAAAAACCCAGTCTCTCAATGTCCTCCACGTCTTCATGTCCAGTTTCTGACTCATGTGCTTTGGAGCAGAGTGCCAAACCACTTCCTGAAGATTGATGTGTCTCGGATCAGTGAACGTCAAGGCTGGATGATACAGTGCCTGAATCCTTTGCAGTTCATGGCCCTTCATATTCCTGAAGAAAACAGGTTGATGCTTTTGTTTTGTACTGTATCGGGGTTAGGCTGGTATTATGAAACTGGTCATGTAATACCATTTCTATAAGAAGGTCTAAGGTCTTCTCTGTATTTATAACACAGGTAAATAAAGGTAGTGTGTTTTGATTTAACTAATATTGAAAATTATCTTAATTTTCAGTGTTTTAAAATCTGCCTTCTTTTGTTGTGTTTCCAACCTCTCCTAGTTTCTCTCCAAACTCTTTAATAGTATATGCAGGTTTTGAATGAAAATGAAAGTAATTCTGTTTATAAATTATTGAAGATAATCTGTAAAATAAGCAAAGGTGTCTTTTTGTAGAGATTTTTAAAGATTTTTGATCCACTTAATTCTTCCATACCTTTTCTTTCTAAATTTAAACAATTGAAGTGATTTCCTTGTTACCCAAATGTATGAGTATTTTGCCAGTGCCAAAACTGAAAAACAAGTTACTGAAAAGGTGACTTGTTTAGGTAAGAATTCTAAACAAAGAACCCCAACCCTGAACCCTCTTCAAATGAACTGGTTAGTCTGTTGCCATTTTGCAATCTGAGATCTAAAACCACTAAATGATATAAATATCTCAATTTTTACTGATTTTAAAACCTTAATTTTCAGTTATGCAAATTCTCGTTTCTAGTATGAAGAAATATTCTATGTTAAGTAAATAATTTAGATTTCTTCCCCACCAAAAGAAATTGAAGTAATGAATTCAGGAGCAACTTCAATAAATTTCTGATTAAACTTTGTTATTAGTCCTTGATTCTTAGGTTGACAGTGTTTCTCACATGAAAGATGAAATGTGGAAAAAGTCCATCCCTAGAATTGATATTAAGCCAATGTTATCCTTAGGGAGAATTTTTAATCCCTTCAAAAGAAGTTTTTGCATTGATATGAAATTTACTGTATTTTTTTGTTTGTTTGTTTGTTTGTTTTTTGTTTTTCTTTTTTTCTCTGCAGAACAATTGATATTTTAGAGCTGACAGAACAAGAAGAATTGCTGAAATTTCACTACCATACCCTCCGATTATATTCAGCTGTTTGTGCTTTAGGCAACAACCGAGTGGCCCATGCCCTGTGTAGCCACGTGGACGAATCTCAGCTCCTCTATGCTATTGAGAATAAATACATGCCAGGTTTATTACGTGCAGGATATTATGATTTACTCATTGACATCCATCTCAATACCTATGCAACTGCCAGGTTAATGATGAATAATGAATTTATAGTTCCAATGACAGATGAGACCAAGAGTATTACTTTGTTTCCTGATGAAAACAAAAAACACGGCCTCCCTGGTATAGGACTTAGCACTTCATTAAGGCCAAGAATGCAGTTCTCCTCTCCAAGTTTTGTAAGCATTAGCAGTGAATGCTTTCAGTTCAGTCCTGAATTCCCTCTGGAAATTTTGAAGGCCAAAACCATAGAGATGCTGACTGAAGCTGTTCAGGAGGGAAGCCTCCATGTCAGAGATCCAGTTGGGGGTTCTACAGAATTTCTCTTTGTCCCTCTCATCAAGCTCTTTTATACCCTCCTAATTATGGGAATCTTCCACAATGAGGATCTGAAACACATCTTGCAGTTGATTGAGCCCCGGGTTTTCAAAGAGGCAATGAGCCAGGAGGATGAAATTGTTTTCTCAGAGAAGGAGCTGGGTTCAGATGAGTTCAAGTCAGAAGAAGGAGAGGAAGAAACCAGAGGGGAGCAAATGCCAAAGGAAGGACTCCTTCAGATGAAACTTCCAGAACCAGTTAAATTACAGGTAACAATACTGTTGTGATAGTGGTTGTTCCCATTTCTTTACAGATCCTGTTTTTTTTTCACTTGGTAATCTATCTTTCAAGGAATAAAGCATTTTGATGTTAGTCAAATAAAGAGGTAATTTCTTTACAGGAAACGAGAAGATTTAGTATCTTTCTGATGGTATAAACCTGTTCACTATAGATCAAGCAACTGCTGTTGTATTAAAAAGAATTACTTTCTCAGTGCCATTAATAGGGAATTCTTCATTTTTATGGATCCAAGCAGAAAAGAAATTCCCTAGAAGAAAGGGGTAAATCCATTCCTTTATAACTTTATTATGTCTGGGGGACATTAATCTCTTGCAGATGCCAGATATTCCTGGTGTGAGATTACTTTACATATAGTAAATGATAGCATTAAATATTTCAGACACTTTACATGATGGTAGCTGCTGCTGTAAGAAATCCATCCTTACTTGCATAATATGCAAAAGATATTTCTTAGCTTGCCAACTCGTCTCTCAATACTGTTTTCTCAGATGTGTCATCTACTCCAGTACCTGTGTGATTGCCAAGTACGACACCGAATAGAAGCCATTGTAGCATTTTCAGATGATTTTGTGGCCAAGCTTCAAGAGAATCAACGCTTCCGGTACAATGAAGTGATGCAGGCCTTGAACATGTCTGCTGCCCTGACAGCTAGAAAAACAAAAGAATTTCGATCCCCACCTCAGGAGCAGGTACGACTCACAGCGGACAATTTATTTTTTGTTTTGCTCTATGTGTGGCAGAGTTCTGTTTGATCTGACAGTGTAATCTGTCTTTCTTTTGTATTCTTTAAGATTAACATGCTGCTGAACTTTAAAGATGATAAAAATGATTGTCCTTGCCCTGAAGAAATTCGGGATCAACTCCTGGATTTCCATGAAGACCTAATGACACACTGTGGTAAGCCTTACTTTTATTTTTTTAATTATATTAGCTGTAGAAGCAATTATAAATAATTTTATGTAAGCAACACCAGCTGAATAGTCTGTAGATTAGACTGTATCATTTATAAATACTATCAAATAAAGAAAATTAGCTTGCAGTCAAAACCAAGGAAATCTTCTTGTCCTGATATCTGGTCAAACTGAAAAGGAATGCTGTCTATTTTGCATCATGAGCTTCTGTTTTGCAAGTTGACAAACCCATTTCCTTCACCCTTTCCTTATAGGGCATGTAGTCAGGACACCAATCATTCTGACAGGTCATTGCTGGATGCTTTCCAGCTTTTCAGTGTTATTCTTGTATTTGGTAACCCAAAACTGGATTTTGTATTCCAGATGCCATTTCATGAGTGCCGAGTACTGGGTAATAATCAATTAATTAGCTAGTGATTATGTTTCTACTACTACAGGATATTCTTAACTCCCCTTGCTGTTAAACTGCAACGACTGACTGCTGCTGACTGGTGTCTAGCTTGCTAAGAGGACTCTCAAAGTTCTTTTTGCCAACATGTTTTTTTAACCAGTTCGTGTCCAGCCTGTATTGTCACGTGAGGTTGCAAAACTTCGCATTTGTCCTTGCTGAACTTTCAGTATCCTGACAGTAGTATTATTTGTACGACACTGTGTCAGTAGGGATTATATCCACATTTCTGAGCTACATATTCCCAAAACACAGGCATCAGCATTAGCATGGGAAAATGCATACTGTGGGAAATATGTTTACTGTCTGTCTTGTGTATAACAATATACAATTTATACACTAAGTTACTAAGATTACATGATCCTTTGTCTGCAGTTTCCTGCCTTGCACATAGGCCTGTTCTGTACTTGTTCCAAAGACCTGGTTAAGCATATCCCATATAAAACTCTTTTAGAGCTCTAATAGAGCAGAACAACATAGTTCAGTTTAATTATATTTGTGCATGCAATATACAAAAAAATCTCTATAACTCCCTTAATTTTATTCTTTTACTATTTAGTGTATATTTACTATTTCAGGAATTGAACTAGATGAAGATGGAACCTTGGATGGCAACAGTGATTTAACCATTAGGGGTCGCCTACTATACCTCATGGAAAAAGTTACATATCTGAAGAAGAAGCAAGCTGAGAAGCCGGTTGATGATGATGATAAGACATCCTGTAAGCAAAATTAAATCAGTTTATTGTGTCTTAATTCCAAAAGGAAAAGGAAACAGAACAGAAAGTTCTTCATATATTTTCAGCCAAAACAAGGTGGATTTTCAGTGAAACATCTGTACGCCTTAAAATATATATAGGTCTGATTCGAAACAAGGACAGATAGAATTTTTATGATAGGCAGATTTGTGGATGTAGCCAAAAATTTCTTCTGTTGGCATTATTGCCCTTTACCTTTGTCAAGTCATAAATATTTCAGAATGTATCTTGCTTTTTGGAAGATTAGTGCAGACTTAATAATTGTAGCAAGGTTCTGATTTATTAGATCATCATCATCATGGCTGGGCTTCGCGAACGAAGATTTGGGAAGGCTCTATCCACATTTGTTACAGGCACGTTGGTGACTTATGAGGCCAATACGAGACAGACATATCCGATTGCAAAAGGCACAGTAGAAAGACTCTTTAGATGGTGTATTCTGCAGAACACGGTTCTTTCTGCGTTGCCTTTTCTCCTCGAGAGCGATCCTGCATGTGTTCTCAAAGGAGACAACTGCGTTATAGATGGTGTGTCTCCAGGCCTCCCGATTTGAGGCCAGAGTAGACCAGTTATGTTGATCAATGTGGCCAAGGCTGAGATATTGTTTGAGGGAGTCCTTGTATCTTTTCTTCGGGGCTCCTCTCATGCGGCAGCCAGTGGCAAGTTCACCATAAAGCAGGATCTTAGGGAGGCGGTGGTCCTTCATCCTGGAGACGTGCCCTGCCCTTCGCAGCTGTGTTCTCATCAACATGGCTTCTATACTTGTGACTGCTGCTTGCTCTAGAACAGATGTATTGGTCACATAATCTGACCAGTGGATGTTTAAGATTGTTCGGAGGCAGTCTACTCTCTTGTATGGTTCTGAATCATGGGTCATCTACCGCCACCACCTGCGTCTCCTAGAACGCTTCCATCAACGATTTATTAGAACTTCCTCATAAAATGAGTTGCAGCAGCTTCAAATCAGTATTTGCATGAAGATTACTGTATGAAAGAAAATGTGCAATTAGACTGTAATTAGCGGAAGCCTCTTCACCCAACCTAAAATTCAAGATTTGCTGACTATCACTGTTGTTCTGCCATTTTTTTTCGGGTAATTGCTGTCTTTCCCTCTTGATTAGAGGCATTGCCAGTGACATCCTAGTTCTGCACTTGGTGCCAACTATTTAATTTTTTTTTTATTTTTTGTCGATATTGCTTTTATTTTTTTTTTCCTTTGTTGTGATAGGTAGTACTTTCTAATGTCCTAATTTTTTGTGTTGCTACCCTACTAGCAGGAATGAATTTCTGGACACACAGTTTAGGTGTTCAGACTTTGGTAAAAAAAATTGATTTCTGCGACTGACCACACAGAATTCCTAGGGAGATTGGCCTTTTACCCTGGTTGCTTAATGTAAGTTCCTAAAGTTACTGGATGGGAAGGTTTCCCCTGGGTACTTTAATTAGGTGACTTCTTAGCTGCCAGTTATTAGTGTTAGCTTAATGTTCTTTAAGTAGAAATATTTTTGCCTTCTAGCTTTGCAGTTTATAGCTGTTATTTCAGCTATGAGGCAGTGATAATTAGAGTCTAGGTCTTTGCAGAATGTGGTGATGAATCCTTTTTTTCTTGTAGTAAGCTTAAAGCTCCAAAAAATCTGATTCTCTCTCTCCTGTTAGTAGAAAGACAGTATTATATTAAACAAATAGACCCACAGGTAGGTGAAATGCAGTGTTGTAGTTAGCAAAATAAGAACCAAATGAGAACCTGTTGTTCCTGCGATTCTTCATCAAAAAAACCCAAAGAAACCAAACCAAACAAACAACCCCCCCCCTAAGCTCTGTTTCAATAGAAACACATAGTGCAGTGCTTGGACATTAACAATGAAATACATTACTACTATTCTTTTTTCCCCTTTCCCTTGTATTAGCACATCTTAGCACAAATTCTCTTTGTTAAACGTTCTCTTTTCTGTAAACTTCTATTCCTTCAGTATCTTTCTGTAAGTACTTTTGCTTTTTGTTTGTTTGAATTAACCTGGAATTGCAGGTTTGGTTTACTCCAAAATCATTTTACTATCTTAACACTTAGATTGTGAATTTGAAAATATTTTTTGATTTTTGGTCTGCATCAGACACATTCTTCAACATCAGGATATTTAAAATCTTTCTTATAAACTTTTGCTGTTATCTGCTTGACATAAATTGATTAGTTAGGTAAGTACTGAAGGCGGAATATCTCTAGAGGATCCTCAGTTGACCTTACAAAATCTTGCAAATGTGAATGGAAGTTCCCTGAGCTGGGGAAAAGAACATTATTCAATTGTCTTTATCAAATACTTTGTCTTGACTCTTTGTTCATGAGTAATTTTTCTAAACAGCAGTCTCAAATCTTAACTGAGATTATATATCTTGTCTATTTTAACATATGACTTTCCCAAATATATATATATCCCAAGTAATATAGATTATCAATGACACTACCAGATATGGGTTTCTTGCTTCATTAGAGACTAAATCTGAAATATGCAAATGATGATTTGCCATTTATTTGATTGTAGTCCCTTATGTCTATTTCTTTTGAAGGGCCTTTGGTTTTGGCAAAGGAATAAGTTAAATTATGTACATTATGTACATTATGAAACTTTGAGTGGATACAGAGCTGAGACATGTAAATAAATAGTACAGCATTTACATATGCTACCAGTATAATTTTTCAGCCTTAATTCAATAATATGTTAATAAAGCCCTCAGACCCGAATTTATGGAAAAATATTGAAAACAATATGTACAAATAAATCTGGTGATTTTATGACCATCTTGTATGTCTTCATAATTTTTTTTATTAGCAGATTTTTTTTCTGAATTTTAATTTTTAATGTAGACTTCTGGTTTTGAGATATTTCTACTTCTCTTGTGTGATTTCTGTTTTCCTTTGATAGTCTGCTAAAGAAGTACCAAGAAAAAGATGCTTCTTAGGAATTTAATTCATTCCAAGTCATGTCGCATATTGGGTTCTGAAGGACTAGCAGCTGAGAGATGAGCAATTAATGGTAATTTTGTGATTTATTTTCTTCACAGCTACTCTTCAGCAATTGATTTCAGACACAATGGTACGCTGGGCCCAGGAATCAGTGATAGAAGACCCGGAGTTAGTGAGGGCCATGTTTGTATTGCTACATCGCCAGTATGATGGTATTGGTGGCCTAGTTCGAGCCTTACCAAAGACCTACACCATAAATAGTGTGTCTGTGGAAGACACAATCAATCTTCTGGCATCCCTTGGCCAAATCCGTTCCTTGCTTAGTGTCAGAATGGGAAAGGAGGAGGAGAAACTTATGATTCGTGGATTGGGGTAAATAACTGGAGTGTAACATCTCTTTATTTACAGATTTTTGTTGTTATTTGCTGTATGGCCAAGATTATACATGAATTTTGAATCTGAATATGGGTGTAAATGCAGACTGCTATCATTGTATTGTATCTTCAACTGTAAGATAAAGCCTTTGCAACATTATATATATCATTTTTGAAGAAAAGCAATTGACATGTTTAAGACTTCTGACAAAGGTTGAAAACATGTATATAATATTTTGTGATATTAAAAAATCTATCTTGTTACTATATTTTCAAAACTATGGCTGTGAAGAATCCTGGCAAGAATGCCATCCATTTTTTGTGAATGCACTGACTGTTGTCTCTTGACATATATCATTAGCAGCAGTCTGCTAATGGGGGTGTGTCTACCCACGTCCAATATGCCATCTTTTTCATTGCACTAAATGTAGATGGTATGTTTGAACTATGAACTAGTTCACTCAGTCTTATTTTTTAATTATATGATTAATAATAGTGAAGTATAGGCTAATAAAGAGTACAATTTGAGAAAACAGTGCAAGAAATATGGTGCTCTCTAGTAGGAAAGAGATTGTATTTTTCTTTTCTCTCATAGTCAAAAAGATGTCTGTTGACATTAAACATCAGCTGTGATCTATCAGAAATGCCCATCAGCAAGAGCAATGAGAACCAAAGGTATCATTATATAAAGAATGCCATGAATGCAAGGAGAAGGGAAGCTTTTGTTGCGCAGAAATGCTTTTTTTTTTGAGCTTACTGAAAAGCTCATGTATCCAAGTAATGTCTGTGCATAATTTTGTATTTTCATTATGAACAATGCCTACTTCTTAGCTTGCCAACAGGTCCTAGCAATGTTCCATGCTTGTTGCAGGGTACAGTGTAGTCATGCTAAGGTTTTGGCAAAAGGAAAGGTCTGGCATCCATCAAGAGTCACAAAGTACTGGTATTTCTAAATCTACCTTTTTACTACAAATTGAAGTTGTCTCACTTCAGTTTATGAAGTGTAAAATTGAGTGAGTGATTACTAGATTTTGGCGTTGTTGTGCCTGGGGAAAAGAAAACAAACAGTCTCAAAACGGTTTTCATTTCATGTTCTGCGTTCTTTTGCTTCTTTTACATTTTTTTCGTCAACATTTTTTACTGTGAATTAAAAAATAAGATTTTCTGAATCTTCTTTAATATTAATGATGTTTTTGCTGATATGTAAAAGTCTGGTGAAAGGAAGAAAGACTACTTTCTATTAAGCTAATCTCACTGCCTCTTCCTATCACCTTTCTTGGTAGCCTCTATCATAGTTTTGTTTAGGTTTTATGTTACCCAGCTGTGCTATTTGCACCTTTTATTGGCTAACCTGGCCTCCAACACCTATTTAGAAGTGACAGGTTTTTTTGCTGTAAGTTGGCATTCCTTTCTTTCAACTGAGAAATGGAAGTGTTACACATTCCTGCTTTAAAACAGTTTCCTCAGAAATGCTGTTCTGATTTTTTTTCTTAAGTGAGACATTTTATAGTGCAGTCCACATTTAAACAGAACAGTGAAAGTAGATGTACTTGCCAAAGTAGTGCAATGTTGCTGGCCAGTCCTGAAGTGACATTTTGACTCTCAAAAACTCTGATAGTGTCATCTACATCAGACGTACTACATGCATTTTGTTGCGTGACTGATAGTCGTGAATATATAGCTTTTAGAGTAATGGAATAGTTCTCTTCACATCTCATCTTCTAAAAGGCTGAAATTTTCCTTGCCTGAGTGCAAGGGTTTAGGTCAGAAAAAAGAAAATAAGAAAAGGACTGTTATAAAACATACAATGAAATTTGAGCAGTTGCAAACAGTATTTTCCTAGAGACCTACTAGTCCTTTTCTTCCGTGATCTAAGTGCTTTCACATTTTTTTATGGGTTGTATGTGATTTCAAGACTAATTATAGTTTTTAGAAATTTAATTACTTTTTAAACCAGACATTTTTATTGGACATAAAATGTCCAATAAAATATTGACATTATGAACTTCAAGACTCATTTTAAGTATGCAAATCTATTGTGCTGAATTATGTAGGAGAGAAGAGTTCTTTTGAGCAGTAACTCATCAATTAAGGTTAATATTTATGCAGCCTCTGTCTTTGACACTTAGAGGATAGCTGGGTATACATTCTCTTTCCTTGTACCATTTTTTTTTGTTTTGATGGCAAATCGAAAATGTCTCAAGGCTGAAATAATCTGAAAAGAATATTATATCAAATATATTGAATAATTGAACTAAAAATTTAAACTAATATAACAGTTTTGATGATGTTCTTGTCAGAAAATAGTCTTAGATCTGAATAGACTATCTAATGAAAATAGAATAACATCCTACTCTGCTGTAATCAAGTGGCAATTAGTGCAATAACTATAGGAAAATAAAGGTCAGGTTCTTCCACAATATGCATAGAAAAATAGACAAGAGAGATTGAAATGCAATGTGAAAAAGTCCCTGGGGTAATTTTTCACCTCACATGGTGGTGAAGAATTGCACAGTAAATCAGCTTTGCTAATAACATAATAGGTAAACTATTGGTCCATAACATTTTCTTTATTTTGTTTTCCTGTAGAGACATCATGAATAATAAAGTATTTTACCAACATCCCAATCTCATGAGAGCTTTAGGCATGCATGAAACTGTCATGGAAGTGATGGTTAATGTACTTGGTGGAGGAGAATCCAAGGTAAAGCAATTCACTGTTAAAGCCAGAGAGTTTAGAATATAACTGTTCAAAGCTTTATCCCATAAGGCTCTGAGATGTCACTTGAGGTAGTGGGACCATAACCTCTAGTTAATTACCATTAGCATAATAGTTGACTAAGTTTTTAGAAGAATCAGTCCTTCCATTCCAGAGGAAGATATCATTAGCATTGTAATTTCAGGTGCTTTAAAGAAAAAATTGCAAATAGCACTTTATATGCTTACTGTGTTTTGAAGGGGAGATTTTTTTAGTAACTAATTAAAAATCAATGAAGTATTACTCTATGAAAATGAGCATTCACCTTCTTTCATGTTGGAATCTAGAATGTATGGGCGACCCCAGCTTTTGTTTTTCAAGCTTATACTTTGATCTTTGAGGCTTAAGGTGTTACTAACTTGCTGAGAAAGTCCTGTTGATTCCAGTGCAAAAGCTAAACAGTTAATTTCACTGAGGTGCAGTGAATATAATGCCAACATATGAGTAGGTTAAAAGGCTTTTGCATAAATGACCTTTTGCAAGTTTTATTCCAGTCTTAGACTTTGAGCTTCAGTCTGTTTTTATTTGCTTCTTAGGAAATCACTTTCCCAAAGATGGTGGCAAACTGCTGTCGTTTTCTGTGTTATTTTTGCCGAATCAGCAGGCAGAATCAGAAAGCTATGTTTGATCATCTTAGCTATTTATTGGAAAACAGCAGTGTTGGCCTTGGTAAGTATTAATTGTGGGGCTTTTGAGATCCTATACCAAAAATATAATTTAAAACTTTCAGGTAATTTATGTATAAAACCACCTGTATTTTTTTACATCCCTCTGTTTACGCTCCGTATTGAAGTTTCTCCTTTTCCCAGTGAAAAAATATTTTTATGAACTGTATTGCTAACTCCAAACAACCTCCCTGACAGCCGGGGAGACGTTAAGTTGAGCTAATTTAGTATACACTTTTTTGTATGTGCCTGAACATTCAGAGAGAGTTAGTGATTGTACATTTTGAGGAACAGAATATAATCCTGTTTTGAGAAAGAGAATAATAAATAATTATTGGCAGCATTTCATTAGGGTTATCTCTCACTGCTCAAGCTTGCACCCTTGCACTTTCTTTCTGTAGACTGGTCAGTATAGGCCTTTGGCAGTAGGAGAAATACACAACTCATTTGCTTGGGTATGCGTGTATAGTGCCCAGAAATGAACCTTGAAGTGTTTACCTTTCTTTTCTATGCAAAGTGTTGTAGAAGAGATACATTTATCCTTATTTAATTTAGTACTTGTGATTGAGAATATATAATCATTTAGAAGTCTTCATAGTAATTTTCTTTAAATGATCACAAATTTATTAATGTAAAGATATAGGACAGAAGCATAAATTAAAAATCTTTTTGAAGAGAAAGTGTCCAAATTGAATGAATTTGGAGTGTCAATATGAAAACTTCAGATTTTTCCAACAGCACTGTAGTTACTGCCATTTTTTTTAAGAAATAGATAACTTATAATCTTATGTTTTAAAGCTTAAAGGTATTTTCTATTTCAGTGGATTTGATAACGTGTCAGTGTATTAGATATAAAATCATTACTACATTTTCCTCAAAACAAAGTTGTGTCACTTAGGAAAATTAGAAAGAATGAGATCTTAAAATAAAGTATCTGATGAGACAGGAATGTGTAAGACAAGTTGTTTCTAGCTTGAAAGTCTATATTGTATTTTGATTTCATAACAATGTCAGATTTCATGCAAGTGCATGGCAATTTATTATTAATGCATTTCCTATGAGTTTGTTGGTTTTATTAAATTGGTGTTGAAACTAAATGTTATTTTAACAGCCTCTCCTTCTATGCGAGGATCAACTCCTTTAGATGTTGCAGCAGCGTCTGTGATGGATAACAATGAACTTGCTCTGGCGTTAAGGGAGCCTGATCTGGAGAAGGTCGGTAGCGTCTTTATCAAGCATTTTTGTCCCTATAGAGAGGGGAAGATACCTGTTTCTTAGAGTCATCAAAATCCAAGACTATATGGGAGTTTTTTCTACTTTTCCAGGAAAGATTATCGTGATCTGGTTGGTTGTTTTTTCTGTTGGTGGTCTGAAAAGTTGAATTGAGTTTCTGATTGTTACACACACAGTTGTAACAAAAAGGAATTGCCTCAAGAACAGCTCTTACTTTTGGAGCAGTGCACTCAGAAAACTTTATTGCTAAAATCTTTCTTTGTTGTTCTTTTGGATGGTGACATGAAGTGGTGACATAACAAAATAGGGGTAACTAGAAGCTTTGTGACAACTTGTTACAATATATGACAAATTTTCATAGAGATATCTGCCTATATCTATCTGTACTTTCCCCTATCATTTAAACCTGTTCCAGAAAAGTTTTAAGAAATTAGGGTTAATTAGACTAAAGAGTAAAACACTCAAGAGAGCCTGTGACAATTGTATAGTATATGTAAATTGCTGCTGCAAGAAGGATTAGCATAATAGTTGCTATGTCAGTAGTGGATAAGAAAAGCAGGTTAAATAATAGAAAGATGGATTAAAGATAGATGGTAAAACCACTTTCTAATGGAAAGTGAGACAGTGGAATTACAAAATCCAGTTTTTTCTTGAAGACCTTGAATTCTGGAGTTGGTATAATATTCATAGGAAAATATCTCTCAGGAGTAATATAAGTGTATATGTTCCTTTCTTAGGAAAGAACATGTGTGTTTAAAAGGACATTTTCAGACTTATCGCTCTTATAAATGGTCAGCAGAAAGAAGCTGTCCAAACTGGCTAAAGGCTAGGCTTACAATTCTTACAGTTCAGAAAGGAAAGGGCCAACTGAAAACTACTACTGAGCCCCTAAGCCTGAATTACAGGGAGTGTTACTACTGTGTGTTTAAAAAAAAAAAAAAAGAAAAAAAAAGGCAAGTGAACATGAATGGTTAAAATTAAAGAGTATCACAGAATCGACCAGGTTGGAAAAGATCGCTGAGATCATTGAGTCGAACATTTGACCAAAACCACCATGTCAACTAGACCATGGCAGTAAGTGCCACATCCAATCTCTTCTTAAATACCTCCAGGGACTGTGACTCCGCCTCCTCCCTGGGCTGCCCATTTCAGACCTTTTATTCATTATAAAGGAAAGGATGTGTCTTCAATTATGGATAGTGTGTGGGGAATAGTGAAAAATTGACTAATTTGTAATGCTGAGAGTTGCAAGAGAAATAACAGATATCAAAGCAGTAATCTAGAGAGAGGATTGATGGAATTAAGATAAGTAGTTCAGGTAGGTCATAGCAGAAGTAGGAAAAGACTGGGAAAGTGAGCTAATGAAGAGGGTGCTCTTCTGATTTGCCCACAGTATGACATGGTTTTGTCAGAGATAATAGAATCTGGACACAAAGAGTGGGAATGCTTCCCTTTGAAGTTGCACTTCCCTTCTTTTTCACAATTAATGTATTTTTCATCTTACTTTGCTATTAGGTAGTTCGCTACTTGGCTGGATGTGGATTGCAGAGTTGTCCTTTGTTAATTTATAAAGGCTACCCAGACATTGGATGGAATCCAGTTGAAGGAGAACGATATTTGGATTTTCTTCGTTTTGCTGTTTTTTGCAATGGTAGAGTAGAAGCTTATATATTTTATAACTTCCTCTAATATTCAAATAAGTTTGTAGTTTTAAATGGTAATACAAACCAACTAAATAATTTACTGTAAATTTAAAGGACAATTGCAGAAACACTATAATTGTTCAAGACATACATTATCTTAGATGCCCATTTCACAAGTCATATGGGATCTTGTGAGCCTATGCTCCATTTTTCAGATTCAGCTTTAATCTTTGAAATGCCGACATCTCTTTTGAAAGTAGAGCAGAGAGTCCTAAATCTTTCTGTGATAAATGCAGAGCCAAACCCTCATCTTTTTGTGAAGATTTAGATAGTCCAGCAGTTATAGTTTAGTGTTCAGCAGTTATATCAGTCCTCTCATTAACCCTTGCCCTTGGCTGTGAGTCTTTACTACAAATCAGTAGTTTCAGTGATGCTTTAAACACCCTTTACTACATAGCTAATTCTTTGGCTCTATTTAATTTTGAATTAAAACACACATTTTATTTCATAGCTTTTATTGCAGTAATAAAGGAGTATGCATGTTTATGTAACTTTGTTGTGATATTTAAACTGTTTTGTAGTTAAAAGCATCTACCGATGCATGCACTCTGCACTTTTGTGTACCTTTTTCTGATTATATTTCAGAACTCTTTTTGTTATAATCTTATATCTTGATATTTGTTCTGTGTGGTAGGAGAGAGTGTGGAGGAGAACGCTAATGTTGTAGTCAGACTGCTTATTCGTCGACCTGAATGTTTTGGTCCAGCTCTAAGAGGAGAAGGAGGCAATGGGTTACTTGCTGCCATGGAAGAGGCGATAGAAATATCAGAAGATACAACAAGAGATGGACCTTCCCCAAGTAATGGATCTAGTAAAACCCTGTAGGTGCAGTAGAACCACTTACATTGCCATAATATTTGACTATTTGTTTTATAATCGTAGGTGTGAAATGACTTGTTTAACACCTCAATTATCAGTTGGATTCTCCCTTGGATTCTGTGAAGAGTAGAAATTTGTATTGTGCTAAACTGTGCTTTCTCTGCAGTGCTAATTTAAGTAACTCTAAATATTAAAACATCTTTGAAATTCCGTTTGTTCTCTGCCAGTCGGTTAAGAGTTTGATGCAAATGACGTCTGATGTAAAATGAGGCAGATAAATGGTATCAATGGTTACAAAGCAGATGTCACTACAGTCTCTTAGGGACAAAATACATTCTGTCCTAGTCTGCTAAGAGTCTGCTAATTGACAGAAGCCACTCTGTGTAAGCTGTTACTCCTAGAGCAGATTTTCTTTCTTTATTACTGTTGTAAATTACTTCCTTGTATTTTTTTTTTTCATCTTATAATTGTTGTAACATTTAACTAATTACAGAGAAATTGAAGAACAAGAAGATGACACTATTCACATGGGAAATGCAATCATGACCTTTTATGCTGCTCTGATTGATCTCTTAGGACGTTGTGCCCCTGAAATGCATGTAAGTTTTATTCTTCATGCATTAAAAATTAAAAACATAGTTGTTTGACTGATCCATGGTTTGCTGTTTGTTTTTTTCACGGTAACATGTTATCAGGTATTAAAGCAGTGATATGGCTACGTAATTTCTTAGTGTACATAATGTGGTGTTTTCATGACTTGCAAGGAAAAAAAATCTGTTTGGAAGCTGTTCTTTTAAAACTAATTATTCCATTGCTATTTTGGGGGGTTTTTTGGTGGATTTTTTTTTTGTTTTGTTTCTGTTTTATTGTCCAGTGTGACAATCAAATTCCTCAAATTTCCCTATTTGTTGTGATAGAGTGATTTATTTTTTGCAAACCACAGTTTTACTCTTCATATACGTATTTAAACAGACTCTTTAAATTGCATATAAAAGTTTAAATGTTATCAAAGTGTAAATATTATAGGACATTCTTTTACAATGTAGGGATAGCATTATCCTTGAATGTATGCATTAGTATCTCATAATCTTTATTCACACTGACAAACCTTCTCAAAGGTAAGATGTCACTGTTTTAGGCATTAGATATGAAGAATTAGATACACTATAAAAACCAAACCCTTACCATTTATTTTGTAAGAGCTTGAAAGTATTTGAAAATATTTGTTTATGATTCAATATATATTCCTATTCTTCAAAAATTTACTTATAAGTAGCTTTTAATTTCACCCTGAAATGTTCCTTAATTAATATGGATTAGTATAGATCAGTATAAGATTACTGAAGAGATTAATAACTTGAAAAAAGAGATATATCCATTTAATAAAGTCAGTGTATGAATATCTCTTTTGTTTGAATGAAAGAATTGTCTTGTTTTCTACCTCTCTTGCTACCTTTTTTTAAAAACAAAACTGAAACAACTGGAATACCTGAAAGTGTTCTTATTTGACCAGGACAGAAAAACTGTCTTTTTTAATCACAAAATTTGCTTCTGCTTCCCTCCACCCCTCCCACCATATGCTATATTTAAATGCTTTGTCCACCTCTTTTACCTAATACTCCATTCTGAAAACTTAGTCTTATTTAATAACCAAACAACTAGACTTTGTACATTTGCATCCAAAATAGAGCAAATATATGCAGATTGCTTGAAATTTACATTGTTAATTAGAGTGTGATTTTGGAAGAAGTAATTTTTTGTCTGTCCATGGTTCAGGAAGTTTCCATGCCATGAACACATACTGAAGATAAAAAGAAGGCCTTGTTAATTTTTATTTGTCTTTTCCTAAGCTAATCCATGCTGGTAAAGGGGAAGCCATTAGAATCAGATCAATTCTACGGTCTTTGATTCCACTGGAAGATTTGGTGGGAGTAATTAGTATTCCTTTCCACATGCCAACCATAGCTAAAGGTAATATGGTTGTTCTGCATTTTTTTATCCCATCCTATTATGTTTTGTAATTTATTGATGTATTGACACTCATACTTTTCTCAGCAATTAAAAATACTATAGAAATTAAACTATTTATTATGTGAATTAGAGGAGAAATCGTGTATCTCAAACATGTTTCAAAAATCTTTTTTACATGCTGTAGTCAATAATTCAGTGTACTCTTAAATCACTGATGTAAATCCCATTAAACTGAGTTATGAAAATCTATTACCACTTTAAAAAGAAATTTAAGAATGCATGCTTTTGGTTTTTATAAACAATTTTTAAAAATTAAGATATATTTTCTCAATAGTATAATCATTAGCTTTTGTTGTTCTAACCCTATCAATTGTTTCTAGCAGATCTTACTAAGACACCAGAGTTGTTCTTCAGCAACTGTGGTGAAATTATAGATGTGACATATATAGGCAAATGTATTTCTTTGTATTTTCTGCCTATATAGAATTGGTTGCAATTGTGGGAGCTATGAGAGCATCTATATAAAAAGGGGAAAGGAGTTACATCTGCTTTTTAAGGTGTCTGGAGAGAGAGCATTATAATTGCAACTTGGATTGTGTAAGAACTCACAGCACAAGATTGCCCAATAGGTTGCTGTAGAAGAGATAAAAAGATTAATCCTTCTATAACACCATTATTTATTTATGTTCCAAATAGTTATAGGTCAGTAGGTGATATCTCAGTAGCAGAGTGCAGCTCACAGATACAGAATTGCTTATTGCTTTTCAAAATGAAAGTATCAACATTTTAAAATATTTCAGTGATATTTCAGTGATATTTCAGATATTTCAAAAGTTTTCAGATACAGAGAACTTTTTAGTACATTCTTAATTCTTCATCACACATTACAGATATGGTCACCAATGCTGCATTTCCAGGATATTTGATGTAGAATCTTTGTAATTTTTACTTTCTGTCTGCTTCTTCTAAAAACTAGGTAGTTATATAGATTAAATATTATGTTTTGAGTACTTAGCATATCAGAATATCACCTGGTAAGAATCCCTTGATACACAAAGCAGAAACAGAAAAGCGTGTATGGACTTTGAGGTCTCTCTGGATAGAATTAGCCTCACGCATTCTTTTTCATTTAACTTCAAATATATTGCCATTTTGTAATAAAACCATGGGGAAGATGCTTAGACTGCCTGGTCTGCTGATGAAGGATGATCCTTGTCATTGAAGTCTTGTTTCTTCCTTTTAGATGGTACTGTGGTGGAACCTGACATGTCTGCGGGGTTTTGCCCAGATCACAAGGCAGCCATGGTTTTGTTCCTTGACAGGGTCTATGGAATTGAGGACCAGGATTTTCTTCTACACCTTCTTGAAGTTGGCTTTCTGCCAGATCTTCGTGCTGCTGCTTCTTTAGATACAGTAAGGGTTTAAGTCTGCTTTTATTTTGATTCTTACTGAAAACTAAGGCATTTTTCATTCCTCAGAAAAACATTTTTTGTGTCTTCATGTCTTCTACATTTCTCAAATTCTGGATGTACTGTGTGTTGCTGCTGAAATTTGATATTACTTGGAGATGAATTGTCCAGAATAATGCTCACTTTATAAGAGCCCCCACTGTTACCCATACAATAGAAGATGCAATGCCTTTCCCCAGGAGACTTTCTGAGCTTGTGCTGTGGAATCAAACTCAGATGAGCTGCTGGTGAAGCATGTAACTGAGAGCCTCTTTCCAAAGATACACAGAAAGTGTTCATCTCTGTGCATTTTTTAGAGACACCTACATTGTTATTTAGAAAATGACAGATTTTATGGTCTAGTTCCTCCTCAATATTGCTACCTTTTTTTTCTGTGAGGCTTATTTCAATCTAATTTTTCTTAAATTTTTCTTAAATCTTAATCTCCAGAAAGATTAGATTTAGAGAACTATTATGAGGGCTAAGACATTGACTTTGGTTTTCCTGTCTGACCTATTATGTCAACTCTGAAAATAATTATGTTGTTATTTAGAATCATAGATTTGTTAAGGTTGGAAAAGGCCTCTAAGATCATCAAGTCCATCTGTCTAGCACCACCATGGTTCACCATTAAACCATGTCCTCAAGTGCCATATCCACTTTCTTGAGCATATTTAAGTTTTTTGAACACTTCCTGGGATTGTGATTCCACTGCTTCTCTGGGCAGCCTGCTCCAATGACAACCCTTTCCATGAAGAAATTTTTCCTGATAACTAATCTAAACCTCCCTGGTGCAACTTGAGGCCATTTTGTCTTGTCCTGTCTCTTGTTACTTGTGAGAAGAGACTGACCCCCACCTCACTATAACCTCCTTTCAGGTAGTTGTAGAGTTTGATAAGGTCTCTCCTGAGCCTTTTTTTCTCCACTAGGCTAAACAACCACAGCTCCCTTGGCCACTTCTCATAAGATTTGTGCTCCAAACCCTTTACCAGCTCTGTTGCCTTTCTCTTTACTCTCTCCAGCACCTCAATGTCTTTCTTGCAGTGAGGGGCCTAAAACTGGAGCAGTCTAACCAGTGCCAAGTACAGAGGAACAATGACTGACCTGGTTCTGCTGGCCCCACTATTGCTGATACAAGCCAGGATGTCACTGGCCTTCTTGGCCACCCGGGCACACACTGGCTCATGAAAAGGACCAGCACCCTCAGGTCGTTTTCATCCAGATATCTAAGAAAGAGCAGGGGAGGATTTTTTTTCTCACATGAAACTTGACCTTGATCATAACAAAAATACTGACTGGTATTACCTGATTTTGGAGTGTTCTGTTAAGCAACTATGACATTCTTCAATATAGTCTTGGAAATTGTTTTATTTTTGAATGGCTACCTTTAGTGTTCTGTTTTCATCCTCAAAAACGAAACAAAAGCCATCTATGAGACTTCAGAAGTAGGAGAAGGAGATAGGCATCTAGCTTTCAGTAGGTATCAAATCCTCATTTGTGTTTTGGAAATTTCCCTCTTTGTAACTACTACAAAAGAAAAAAACCCAAAAAATTCCTTTCATTTGTAACAACATTGATGAGACAAGTCTAATTTCTGTCCCATTTAATTCGTAGGCTGCCTTAAGTGCTACGGATATGGCTTTGGCTCTGAATCGATACCTTTGCACAGCAGTCTTGCCTCTCTTGACCAGATGTGCTCCTCTTTTTGCTGGCACAGAGCACCACGCTTCCCTCATTGATTCCTTGTTACATACTGTGTACAGACTCTCAAAGGGATGCTCTCTTACCAAAGCTCAGCGAGATTCTATTGAAGAGTGTTTGCTGTCAATCTGTGGGTAAGAAAATACTCCTGGCTGTACAGGAATGCTAAGTGATAAAGTAACCTGTGATATTTATAATAGAGGAATTCAGAACTGTGCCACCAGTAACATAATTAAGACTTTTTTTTTCCTGGCAAATGATTGTATGGTTTTTAATATACTGTATTCAGTTTGCAGCTTTATTAATTATCCATATCACTCCTCAGTTATTTTGTTGTTACCAAATCTTTTAAATTAAATCCTTTGTGATTAACTAAGAGGAGGCACTGCAAAAAGACAGAGCTCTGGAATTGTGGAATTATACATACACTGAATTTCCATTTAAATACTTTTATCTATACAGATTGGAAGTGTGGTTGATCTGCATGGAACTTATACAGTTCTATGTAGATTTTTATTTACTGTGTTTTACATTTGAAATCCTAATCAATGACTAATATTGTTATACCTGATTATTGATACCTATGGGACAAATTTTGTCTGGGTGTCTGCAGACTCAAAACCAGTTAATTATTACCCAAGTTTTTTAAAAGCCTACAGGCTTAATTATCAGAAGTTGACTAAACACTTATGAATTCAGTTTCTAGTTAAAGTTAATGTATAGGCTTTCAGTTCAACAGAGATGTTTTGGGTTTTTTTTAATATTTCACTGTGATTTTTTTCATAGTCTGGAATTGCATTCAGAAATTACAGGTATTTATACTATAATACTGTAAAAAGTACTAGATAGCATTTCTTTAAATAAATATCACATTGACAATTTTATATGTATATTACCATGATAGGAAACAATAAAATGGACCAGAGCTTGTTATTTATCTGGAAAACTTTAATGTTCATGCCATTCTAACATACGTATTATAACTATTTCTGCTGTCTTTCCAGTTGTGTCCACTGCTGTGTGTCTTGTTTAGGACATCTAAAGAGATAGTACTCTTATGTCTTTATTAGTTTCTAGGATATTTTAAGAGCCATTGAGATATATTACAAGAAATTTACATTATATCCTTTTCTCGTGTGCATGGTGATCCTAATACACAATATCAAAATTGAGTATTTTTTTCCTGCTTTTCTCTGTCTATTGATAAGTTTTTTTCTCAGCTTCTTTGAAACATTTGATTTGCAACTTGTTCAGAATATTTTATTTGGTATGCACTTGTTTGCTTTCTTCTGGACGCCTTTTTTTTCTGTCCAGTTTTTATGAATTTGAAGAATTGTAATGACATAGAACTGATATGTTGCTTTAATGTAATTGTTAATTATTTGAATGAAACTGTGCTGGTACACCCCATTGAAATGGTTTGTCTGCTTTTAGGCAGTTGCGACCTTCCATGATGCAACATTTGCTGAGAAGATTAGTATTTGATGTTCCTCTATTAAATGAACATGCAAAGATGCCTCTCAAGGTAAAAATATATATATTAGTATTCAACAGAAAACGGAGAAGATTCCCTATAATCTTTGCTACATTATCTCCACTCCACAGTAATCTAAGGCCATGGTTTTTAAAGATAAATTGTTACTTTGGGAGAAATTCAGTCTGATTTACATCAATTCATATAGAATCACAAAGTCTGAGTCTAGTCTTTGCTTCTCCTTTATCTCCTGTTTGTTTTAGCCCATGTGGACATGGAAAAGAAAAACCTTTGGGGGAAGGGGGCACAATCCTGTGCACAAAACATAGCAATTTATAATCTGTAATGTACCCTTACTTCTGTCCTTGGCTTTGGTTTTCCTTGCTCTTGGAAAACAGACTCTTTTTCTGTAGTTGGTACCTGGAAATCTAAGAAATACATATTTAGTAATGAAGTTTCATTTTGTTTTTAGATCCCAAAAGTTTATCCATATCTTTTTGTTCTGATTCCTAATGCACAAGAAAAATGTGTGTTTTTTTGTTTCTGAGAAGATTCCTCAGAATATCATCATAATCAGTTCTAAGAAACATATGGGTTCCTACCTTACCTACTGTTTTTCAGCAGTCCTTTTTAGTGCTTTCCCACTTCCACTCTGAATGAGATATTTAACCTTTTCTTATTTAATATATTTTTATGATTTTAAAGCCTATCAGAGGAGGAATTTAAATCATTAGTCTCAAACCCAGGACCTGCTGCTGAAGTCCTGCCAAGGACTTCATAATTTTATTTCTGTTCCTTAAGTCCTTGATCAAACTACAGTGCTGGATCTGACATTCTTCAGTGTCTGTGTATGAGAAATGTAGTTGATAATTTAGTATGTTGCCCTAAAGTGGACCCTTCTAATGCATTATGACATTTTGTGTGCTGCTAAAACCAAAGAGTAACTTGGTGCTCTCTCCATGGTTATAGTCCTTCAGGGTTTTGTTTTTTGGGAAGGAACAACCCCAGTTCCTTGACATCTGTTCATCTGAAAGAGCAGACTTTATGATACTGAGAGTCATGACTGCAGTGTTTCCCATGTTGCTGAACTGAACAGTAAGGAAATAATAATTGGATCCTTTTGACAAGTCAGGGCTTGCAAGAATATAGATGTGAAGAGAACCATGGTGTTAGTAAAAGATTTTGTCCATTGACCCTAAACAAGTAATAGGAGTTTCTGAGGAAAGTGAACTCTTTATCTGATGATAGACCTATAACTTTTAAGAGGTTTCTCTGACAATAAACTGTTTTTCAGTGATTTAACAAGGGATTCCTACCTGTATCTGTTAATGTGTTTCTGATTTGAAAGTACTCTGTGTATTCCTTATGGGCTTGTACTGGCAAACAGATTATAGTAATCTAAAAAGGCAGCTGTAAGTTAATCAGGCATCTGAAAATGTAATTTTCAATGGGAAAAGAGGAGGAAATAATGGAGGCTAATGAGAATACAGAGTTACCTACTGTGAATACATTTGCTAGTTTCTACAGTTAAAAGTTTCCTCAGTTTAAGCAACAAGTGAATTCAAATCTGTGGTGTTTTTCCTGTATAATATATTGCAAACTTTATGGAACAGAGCTGCCTTTTTATTTCCTCTTAATTCATATTCAGTGCTTCATCAGGTACTTCTCTAAGACTAAGACCTACCTTTACTCTCTTGACTAGGTTTAAAAGCATATATGTATATATATTAGTATGCTCATGCAGTCTAAAAGCAAACTTGTCTGGCCACTGTGTAATAGAGTATAGTTTGAAAAAATATTTTCAGATACATATTTGACTCTTAGAGTCCATATTTCTGAGACTCCTGTGGTTCTACATAAATGATAAAACTTTTGTCTTTTTACAGGCTATATGCATGTAAGTTCTTATCTCTGTTTTTTCTTTAATCATCCAACCAATTTAAGTAGTAAATAGATATTAATAGATTATTTAAATATGAAGGTATAAAAATATATTACATGTATTGTTGTTTTTTTTCCCCTCTGATCCATTAAAAGTATAACAGAAATGTGCAGTATCAAGATTATATTTTTGGTTATCAAAATCCTCACTTCTGCACAGCAGACTTTTTTTTTAAGTCCTGTCTTTATTTATGCACAAAAATGTGCACATTTTTGTGCATAAATGATGCAGATTTTTATTATGAATGTCTTCATTTTTCCACCTTGACATTTGTTCTGACTGGAAAAAGAGAATCCTGTCAGATCTTTACTGACTGTGACTTGCAAGATTTTTTTCCAAAAAGTTTTGAAACAAAGATGAAAAAACTTCTAATTCTGTGTGTATATGCTCCAGTGATTTAAAAAAGAGATACACAACATCGATTATTGATAAAAAGATAGAATTTTTTCTGGTAATGTCTGTAATGGTCAAGTGCCAGAATGGAAGGACCTCAATAGATAATTTTATTTGCTTTCGAAATATATTTTGTTTTAGTTGCTGACAAATCATTATGAAAGATGCTGGAAGTACTATTGTTTGCCAAGTGGATGGGGTAACTTTGGTGCTGCCTCAGAAGAAGAACTTCATTTATCCAGAAAGTTGTTCTGGGGTATTTTTGATGCTTTATCTCAAAAAGTAAGTAATTTTAATATCCATCTATTACTGTAAAATCCTTACTGTGTAATCTTTTTTTCTTTAATCTGTGATTTTTACCCAGCTTTTGTCAGTACTGTATTATGCACTTTGAAGGAAAAGATACAGGCTTTAGTAAATTTAAATCTTTCTCTTATGACTTCTACTTTAATGTAGGTATACCATTTTTCTGCTCATTAAAAAAATATATATCAGTAAAGCAGTAATCTTGTTATATATCTGTATAGATCTGTACAGTTCTCTGCTTAGTAGTTGTAGTTGCAGCACCCTTGAATCGATTCTATGTTGGAAAAAAATTTAATAATACACCTTGTTATGTATTTATTCATTCTGTGACAGTTTTTAACAAATCTGCTTAAAATTTCATCAGTTTCATTTCACATCTAAGTATTTCGAAATGCTGTGCATATTCCCGTGATATATTTTCTTCTTAGGCATCTGAAAAATGTCTATTTTTTCTACCAGTGAAGTCAGCACTTTTCTCATTTATTTGAGCAAGAGCAAGACTTGATCCTAGCTTTATCTACATGCTTTAGACAGTCAGTTTTATTTTCAGAACAAAGATTCAATTTCTCATCAAGAAAACCAGTCTGTGGCTGCTTGGTTTCACACATAGCTGTATCAGTTTCAGCAATGATGCTGAAAGTTCCTATTCACTACTCACTTTCTATTCCTGGTGTTTTCCACAGAAATATGAGCAAGAACTGTTCAAACTGGCTTTGCCTTGTCTGAGCGCAGTTGCTGGGGCCTTACCTCCAGATTACATGGAATCAAATTATGTCAATATGATGGAAAAACAGGCTTCAATGGATTCAGATGGGAACTTTAATCCTCAACCTGTTGATACCTCAAAGTAAGGAATTACTTCATTGCAAATAGTTTTTTTTTTAATTGTGAATGTGTAAAAGAGGGGGGGGGAATCTGTTGTTTGGAATAATGGGAACCTACAGCTTTTCTTCTCTTTGGAATGCTTATCTTCTAGATAAAATTGAGACCTTAAATTGTTGTTTTTACTTAAATATTTATTTTAAATCATGTAAAGCAATAACTACCACGTTACATAACTAATTTCTTGGTCAAATTAGAATATTTTTAATGCATTTTTACCCTGAAGATAGAATTGTCCAATTATCTTTATATGTCTGCTGCAAACAAACCATCATGTTTTTAGGAGTTAAAAAGTAGACTAGCCTACTCACCCCTGTCATTATTAACATGTGACAAGACATTAATTCCAGTATGTGTGAGTGACAGTGTACCTACAGAAAATTATGTTTGATCATGCATTCATATAATCATTTTATTATTAATAATGGGGAATTGGGCAGAAAGATATTCATTCTCTCTGGGCGTCATACTCTGACCGTGATTTTTTAAGTACATTAACCAGACAGAGCATGTATCTAAATGGAAATTTTCTGCCCTGATTTTTGACTACAGCCAGCATGCTGTTTTCCTTTCTATAGAACAGTCTTACAGAAGTGTGACTGTGCACTGTATCTTTAAAAATTCCTCTTGTAAGACATTTGCTTCAATTACTTCAGTGAGCTTTCTGCCTGTATTCAGCACACAAAATGCTGTCAGTAGGTTGATATCTTTGTTACAGTATGATTGTACATGTATGCACATTGAAATATGGTAGTAAAAGCCACAGTCTTGTCTGGAATATAGAAATCACTTCAGCCACCATGAAAATTCATTTGTCTAAAATGTATTTAAAATATATGAAGGTTTAACAAAATTTAGTAAGAATATTATACTATCATTTAGCGAATTGAATATTATTTTATCTGGTGTCATTTCTGAGAAAAATTGTAGATAGACAGAATATATTTGAAAAACTTAGAAAATGTTACTTAACATTAGTGAAACCATAGGTCATTTCTTTGCCATACAGTCACCAGTTCTGTGATATTTCAAGACAAAGAAAGCACTAATTCTATGTCACCTACAAATTATCTTAACATTCTTTTAACATGCAAATCCTGCATCACGTTGCTTACTACTAGACCTATTTATATTAAGCTGTAGGTAATAGGACATTTTTGTACTTGTCAGTTCACTGCATTTCTGAAATTATTTGAAGTATTATAGCACTAGTAGAGTTCCCCCTGAAATACACTCTTTCAAACAATAAAAAAACTGATGACAGTGCTGGATGAATATTTTCTGACCTTTTTATGTGGTTAGGCTCTTGCAAACTGTTACTCAGACATTTCTGGTTTACATTTCTGCTTTTTCTTATGACTGAAAATTAAAATCCAGACTCTTCTACTTTGCAGTAGGTGGCACTGTAACACTTCTACTACCAAATCCTATGTGTTAGAAGGGAAGATTTTGTTATTTCAGCAATGACCAAGAAGCAGTTAATCCTTTTCATTTGTAAGAATGCAGATGAAGAAAACTACTGATATTTGATAAATTATTTCTCGAAGAAGGTTCTATCTTGCTTGACAACTAAAAATCATTCCTTTTTCTTTACTACCTCAGAAACCTTAACTTCTACACTGTCTTGTACACCTCTTGAAAGGCTAGTGTATTAATTTGTGTGGCTTTTTATTATTTTGAATAAGGATTTTAATATTTTAAATATTCACTGGTGTGTTGGAAAATAAAACGTTAGGCATATAATTTTCAAGTTGCATAAATTAGTGTGCTTCAAGCATATAATATAATTTCTAGGAATGTATAAAATAGATGATGTGTTTCTAAAAGGACTGTTATTGCACTTAGTTTATAATGGACATGTGCAATAAGTTACTACCATAATTCTGAAACTATAAGTCATAGTTTTATCTTTAATACTAAGAAAATGATAGTAAAAGAAATATGTATCAAGAAGCATGAGTGCTCAATATCATTATTGATTTTCCCTGCACACATTTCAAAGAAGTAATATTCCTACAGCAGCTGTGATTGTCATTCAGTGCCCATTAAATAATTCAGATTTCTTCCTTGATTTAATTAGGCCTTGGAGCAAACTGTAGGTGAGGAAGAACAGCACAGTAAGATGTGTTGAATTGATGTATGCATTATTAGTTATATATTTTGAAGTTTTCTTCAAAACAAAAGCATTCACATTTTAGCATGTGTGATATAATGCTAATTTTCTCTTCACTTTCAGCATTACAATCCCTGAAAAGCTAGAATATTTCATTAACAAATATGCAGAACATGCTCATGATAAATGGTCAATGGAAAAGGTAAAATCTCTGTTCCTGTTAAAGCAAAATCAGATTTTTTTATTTGAATCCATTTCATTTTTAAAATGTTTTACTCTGGATGTTATTATTTTTCATAATGCTACAAGTTAGTATGTAGATAAGATATAAACACATAATTTTCTTGAAATATATTTGAAGAAAAGTTCTCTAAGTGCATATGAGTGTTTCAAAATAATGTTTCATCATTTAATTATTTTTATTGTTGACTTTTGAGTAAACATACTTGCTAATTGTTTAGCAGTTTTATGGACTTGAAATTACTTTTTTTTTAAGCAAAAAAGGTCTTTAGCATTTTTATTCCTTTGTGCCATTTAGAAATAGTTACTCCGCTGTAGCATGATATTCTGCTCCATATAAATCTGTAAAAGAAAAGAGTATTGATATGATAGCTTTGGGTAATCATTAATTCGCAAAAAGATGGCACACTACATGATTCACTTTTCAATGTACAGATAATATAAATGTTGGTTGAGAAAATCTTGAGAAAATGGTAGAAAGGAAACTTTAAGAGAACAGGTCTGCAGAAGCATTGTTCAGTTAATTTATACCAATAAAAATAGGATTTTTCATAATTTTTTGCTTTTCTCCATTTTTTCCTTACTTATTGTTGCTGTTTTCAGTTTGCCAATGGATGGACGTATGGTGAAACATTTTCTGAATCTGCAAAAGTGCAACCATTAATGAAACAATATAAGTTACTATCTGAAAAGGTAAGGAATTTGTTCGTTCAGGGTGGTTGAAATATCACTGAAAATATCATCTTGTGTTTATATCATTTTAAAAGATTATTTGGAGTACGTCAGTTAATGTGTGGTTGTTCCTTCCCCCAAACCTTGAAAAGATATAGAAGGGTTTTATTGTATATTAAATAAACCACTCAACCTGTTTTCTCACATGACTGAATTTATATGGCATAACTTGTGGTGAAACTGAAGTGTGATAATGCTGGTAAATTTTATAGTCAAATACATTAAATACATTAAAATATAGTAAAATAATTCATAACCCAATTAGGTTAGCTTGTCTGATCTCAGCAGAAGGTAGATGCAGATGATGTCCAGAGGTCTATTTCAACATAGACTTTCTTATGATTCTGTGATTTTGGTTTTTTGGTTCATGTAGCAGACAGAACACTTACTCCTGAGAATTACTGCTCTACCTTTGACTTCATGTCTGAGAATGCTGTTAACAGGATAAGATTATCAGCTTCCTACAGGGCCAGAATTCTTCTGCCCAACCCTAAAATTATAAATAAACTTTTTAATATCTTACATGATTTATTTGCCTCGTTTCATTAACCCTGGGCCGTAAGGGTTGATTTAAGTACATTTCTTTGCATCTCATTAACAGGAAACGTCCAAACTCTTTTTGCTCTGTACAGCTGTAATAAACAAGGTAATTATTGTATGTACATTCTTCTAGGAGAAAGAAATTTATCGATGGCCAATCAAAGAATCATTAAAAACTATGCTGGCATGGGGATGGCGAATTGAAAGAACACGGGAGGGAGATTCCATGGCACTGTATAATCGGACGCGTCGCATATCTCAAACCAGTCAAGTGAGTCATTTTGCTAAAAACTTTTTAATAAGAAGGCATGCAAAATCTGCTCTCCGGTCTTTGATTTTAAAAGTGATGAAATAAACTTGTAGCATAAAAATATGTGAAAGCATTTTTCACAGATAATTGTACAATTCTGACAATTGGTTTGGATTTCTGTTCACTGAACCTGGAACTTTATTTCCCTACTCCAAAGTAATAGGCTAATAAACATTTTCAAAAAAAATAAAATGAACAAAACTGAAATAAAAATGGATCTGTTCACCTGATTTAAAATTAACCGTGGTATTAAGGGGACTTATTTACTCCAGCTGGTGATTACATATTAATTGTGAGTATTAATATGATTTTAGTCTGCTATTTTTTGAAATTTGGTGTCTATGACACCTTTAAGTATATAAAGAAATAAATAAAAGTACATATAAAAGTTACTTTTATACTTATTTTTTTCAAGTAAACTTAAGAATCAATGTTAACGCAGCATAAATTTACATCCATAGATTGCCAAAATTATGAATTATTTTTTATCTTTTCGAATGGACTTCTGAAATCAAAATTCTGTAAGGATAAAATGGAGAAATAGTGACACTAAGTTCTCTTAGAGCTCCACATACTTTGCAATTAAACTAGGGAGGTGAGAAAATCTCATTCACACAGACACACATGGAGGGCAAACAAATAGGTGAAATAAAGAGGAGGGGAAAAATCTTTTCCTCTTCTGTCCACTCAACTCTGCATTATTTACATGTTTGAGTGGTGATACACCTGTGTAAAATGAACAGTTGAACCTGCCTCTCAGCTCTATATAGACCCTAGTGTATATAAAGTGATTTCATTTAGTACTTGGGCTAAACTACACGTTATAGTTTGTACACTATTATGGCCTTCCAAAATTACTGACTTCCAAATTTCCTGACTTTCTGGTGTGTATAATACCAGTCTCGAAGACTGTAGTGATAGAGATATTTGTATATGCTTTAAGCATAAGGATCTCAGAATGAGTAGCTTTTTAGTTGAGATTCAAATTATAACAACATATGAGAAGAACTTTTGTAGCTATGTTTACTATCTTCCCTTACTATAATGAATTTGTATAACTTTTCTAGAAGAGTTTCTGAAACCTAAAATATTTCTGTATTTCAGAGTACATTATCATATTAGTAATCATTATGTTTTTAAAATGCACTGTCATCCCATCATCATCATGGCTGGGCTTCGCGAACGAAGATTTGGGAAAGGCTCTATCCATTTGTTATAGGCATGCTGGTGGCTAATGAGGCCAATCATATATCTGATTGCAAAAGGCACAGCAGAAAAATTGCTTAGGTGGTATATTCTGCAAGACATGATTCTTTCTGCGTTGTCTTTTCTCCTCGAGAGTGATCCTGCGTGCGTTCTCAAAGGAAGCAGCAGCGTTATAGATGGTGTGTCTCCAGGCCTCCCGATTTGAGGCCAGAGCAGACCAGTTATGTTGATCAATATGGCCAAGGCTGAGATGTTGTTTCAGGGAGTCCTTGTATCTTTTCTTTGGGGCTCCTCTCTTGCGGCAGCCAGTGGCAAGTTCACCATAGAGCAAGATCTTAGGGAGGCGGTGGTCCTTCATCCTGGAGACGTGCCCTGCCCAGCACAGCTGTGTTCTCAGTAACATGACCTCAATACTTGTGACTGCTGCTTGTTCTAGAACAGACGTATTGGTCACATAATCTGACCAGTGGATGTTTAGGATTGTGAATTTAATCACTACCTTCATGTTAATGTAACAATGCTTGCATTGTTTGCTTTAGAAAATAGTATTTTCTCAGTATTTATTTAGTGTGCTGCTTGTACATCCTTTATGCTATTGTCTATGAATAATAACTGCCTTTTGAAAGGTAGCCTTCAAACTTTTAGGCCTCTACATGCTCATATAAATGCATATTAAAATAATATCACAAATAGGAGCAAAAGTCGGGACACTATTCTTTCTATAGGAAGACCTACCTGAGGGAGACATATATCTATTACTGCAGAATACGTAGAGGAAAGCCTAGCAATGCCCCTTTTCTAGCCACACTTTTTTCCCCTTTCCTAGCCACACTTCTTTTATCAGTGGCTTGTCACCCAGAGAAACTCCATAATTTTTTAACCTTCTTTGACCATTTGTGTCGATGTAACGAGCAAAGTTGTGACAAATTCAGGCAGTAGAAAGAAAGAATGACAAAATGGTGATATTTTCTGAGTGGAGAGGAGGAACAGAAGGTAAAACAGAAGTATTTTGTAGATTTTAGTCTTAAATGTAGAAATATGGTTGAAAAGCCAAATTCAGAATTTGATTTTTGCCTGAATTCACCTTCAATGTGATTGTCTGAGATTTTACCTGCTGAGAAAAAAAAATCTCTAGAAAATGCAGAGATTTTATTATAACTTCAGTATGGCCTGATCCACAATAGGTAGGTTAAAACCTTAAAGGTGTTCAAGTAAAATTTGCCTTTGAATGAGAGGTATTTGTGTCTGATGGCTGGCTGTCCTTGGGAACAAACTTTGTCGATCTTTGCCTAATTCTCACTTAAGTTTACGACCTTGATTTATTTTCAGTTGGGCTACATAGGATCTTTTTGCTCTCTAGAGATATACAAGTTACTTTTTCTAGAAGTTCTTTCACTACTTTCCTACCTTGTTAATGATAACTTCTTCATATTAAATGCTTGCATAACTTGACTGTTTTGCACATTTGTCATTCAGATCTCTGTAGATACAGCCCATGGTTACACTCCTCGAGCAATTGATATGAGCAATGTCACCCTCTCCAGAGACTTACATGTAAGTCAGAAACACTTAAACTGCCTACCCTTTTTTGTATAATATAATTTTTTAAGTTCTGCTAGTTTATTTTAAATAATTTGCTACCAAATCTTACTTTCTTTGGTATGCTTTGATTTTTGTGGTTTTTTTTCTTTTCTATAATTTCTCCTTGATCCTCTGTTGCTTAAAAAATATGGTTTATGTTGAAAAGCTTCAAAATTTTCTGTATTCCTGGACTGATTTTCCCAGCTCTCTTTGTGAACATTTGTTGTTTTGAAGACAATCCTGTTTAGAAGAGCTAGTAGCACCGATCTTTTCTGTTTTTCATTTATTTCTCTGTTATCTGTCCAAAACATTTTGTCGTTGCCTTTTTTTTTCCTAAACGGAAGAAATAAGAACTAGGAACTGTTGCTACAATAAATATTGTGAGATTAGAGAATGAAGGAATTGCAGGTATGATTTTGACAGACCTATCCATAGATTGCTGCTGTCTGGAACAATATATTTTAGTTAATAAATGATGTTTCTGTCATTAATTAGGATTTTTTTATGGTGTTTGATGGAGCACGATGCTAGTTTTTACAACCTACTTATTTACTGTGAATATGATTACAGTATTATGTAGGCATACTAAATAGTTTTAAATCAGTTAGTATGAATGTTTTTGCCAGTCTAGTGATTGCAACATGGTGTTCAAAGCTGGCTACAATAGACTCCTGAAACACAGGGTGAAGTTTGCCCATGCTAAGCTTTGGTATGGTGCAGGGAAACAAGCAGCAGTAGTAGATAATTGGCTAATTGTACAGTATATACTATACTGTATCAAATTCTTACACTGGATTTCTTTTCCTTGATTTCTGTCTTGTAGTTTCAAGTTTTATATTTCTAGCCATTTTAGATTGTTGACTAACTTTACAGTAATAAGAATTTTCTGCCAGTTAACCGTCATTACACTGGTGATTATTCCAAAGAGTTCATAAAATTGATAATTGAATAACTACTTCTATGTTATTCTCTTCTTACACTCTTATCTTATTCTCTATTCTTACACTCTTATCTTATTCTGATAACAAAGATTCCTTACAATTACATTTAACGTTTGTATAAACTCAGTACAATTGAAAGACTGTGAGGACTTTATTTAATGCTCATGAACAAACTCATGATGTGAACATCATCATAGTGTTATGTTGCAGTAAACCAAGCTCAGATAAAAGTAACCATCCTGTCACAAACTACAAAGAAATGGTATTAGAACTTCTATTAGTCCCATACCCTCTAACACTCATCATTAATTGAATTTCCTTTGTAGCCCTTAGCTATAAAGCAGAGCCTGTTGACTTTATGATTCATTTGCCCTGTGAAGAGAGGTCTTTGAAACCAGTTTCAGAATATGTTATTTTAGAGCTAAGTAAATTTAATTAAAATGCAATTTCAGCTATTAATTGTCCTGATACAGACATTCAGGAAATATCCAAACAGGTTAGTATTAATGAGATCTGAGTTTTAAAAATTGTGTATTTAATTTTGAACATTTAAAAAAATGTTTAATATCTTTCGACTTGGAGTTCAGGCTTAGATAAATTGTTAGAACAAAGTTAATAGTTTTGAACAGAGTTGTGGGGTTTTTTAGGTGTTTTGTTTTTGTGGTTTCTTTCTTTCTTTGTTTGTTTGAACTAGTACATAAGAATTAATGCTGTTCAATTTTTACATCATCCTGTGCAAATAATATGCTAGGAGGAATTGACCGTGTCTAAAACTGTAACTCTCCAAAATACTTCTCATTTTGGTCTTACGTCACCTGGTCACATCCTGGCTCCATGAGTAGCTAGGTCTTGCTCTGAAAACATCTTCATAGCATCCTACTTTCCAAGGAAGTAAAACACAGACTATACTACATTCTTTCAAGGTCCTAACTGGGATTATCAAAACACCAGGATTCGAGTGTACATGATAGAAAGCATCTACCATGCAGAAGAGATATGTGCAATAATATATTCATTGGAGAAAAGTTTATGAAACTAATTGTCTTATGAACAAGATATCACAGAATATGCTGAGTTGGAAGGGACCTACCAGGATCATTGAATACAACCCTTAGCCCTGCACAGGATACAGCTGAAAAGTTTGTGAAATCATGAGTATTCTCACAAATAAAGGAAATACTCATTACTCAAAACCTTTACCGAAGATGGGCAGAATGTTCCTGTAGTTTCATGAAAGAAATGAAAAATGAAATCTGCAGAAAATTCCACCACTCTGTACAACCGTGTGTGTGTGGGGGTGTACAACCAGGGGAACAGAAGAGGTGGGTTTAAAAAGTTGTTTCGTGTTGGAATAGTAGTTCCTTCTAGTTAGGGATTGGAGAGCTTGTCTGTTTTGCCTGGGATCTAGCTTCTAGTTTGCCAGTCTGAGTTTGTTTTATAGGAAGAAGGTATAGAAGAATTTATGTGGTAAAATGGTTGATGCTTTTAACAGTGTGCCCACAAAAATGAGCATAATATCCACATCCATGGGTATATGATTAGTTTGCAGCCAGCAGTAACAATGTTGATTCAGTCCTCTGGCTTGCTGTTCTTTATTTCCCTGACCAGGACCTTCAGAGGGTTCTTTTTGTCCTTGAAGAATCAAGTACCCCATCTTACAGCCCAGTACTCTTTCCAGACTATACTGCTCTTTGTGGTTCCTCCCCTTTTTTACTAACAGTTCTTTTTTCAGCACCAAGTTCCTAACTCCTATACCTATGCCCATTCTACCCAAATTCTATATAATATTTTTTCAATAAAAACTTGTTTCCAGTGAATCATTATAGCGTAATTGTATTGAACTTCCCAGATAACAAAAGTTGTTATTTATTATCAACCAGAAAATTGTCCTTTTTGAGAGTTAACCATTGCAAGACATATCTCTAAGCTCTCCATTTTCCTAAGGCTATGGCTGAGATGATGGCTGAAAACTACCATAACATATGGGCAAAGAAAAAGAAAATGGAGCTTGAAGCAAAAGGTAATATTAACTATAAATATTTTCAGTATTTTAAGTTCACTGTGATTAGCTTGGTTTATGCATTTGCGAAAACAGATGAACAGAGAAAGGAACAGCATATTAAAACGACAAAGAAAAAACAACAAAGTATCTGTTGTGATGTTTAGTGCCTGGAAGTTTTTATAGTACCGCATGTTCTCGTTTAAGTAGCTTACCAATTCAAATATATCACAGGAAGAGAACTCAAAGGCTGTAAATTAATTGAAGCTACATTAATATATTTTTCTTATAACATTTATCTTTTAGAAGTAATAGAAAATTTTATAATATGTGGCTTAAAAAAAAAAATCCAAGGATTTTTATAGAGGGAATTAGTCCTTTTTAGAAATATTACTGTTATTAGAGACTTGCTATAGTATTTTTTCTGAGATGAGTCTGATCATTGCCCTTACAATTTCCTGGGGTTTCAGAACAATTGTTGTAGGAATTTATTGTGTTCTATTGTGTGATGGTGATTTTAGAAGCTGAAATCCTAAGAATGTTGTTTTTTATGCAGATATTTATGTTAATAATAGCAGCATTATTTTCCTGCCAAATTAAGTGTCTACTTTCAGGGATGTATTGATACATCAGATATTTGTAAGCAATACCAATGCAGTTTATTCTGTTTAGCTCTGATAAGCATTCTTTTAATCAGGTTGGACAGTTGTGTGAACCATGTTTGAAAAATGCATTCTAATTTTCTATCTTTAATTTATTATTATAAAGTAGAACTGTATCACTTTAATATATTTTTAAATATGTGTATATCTTGCTAAACTCAATGAGCTCTGTCAGAATGTTTAAAAGCAGGACTGTATATGTTTATGTAGTTGTTAATATCATGATTTTCTTATTAAATTATGTGTAATTTATTGAAATATTTCCAGTTTCATTACATGAAGTTGTAATTGTAATAAATGTTTGTAACAGTTAAGCACTTTGTTTTTTAAGAGTTCAGCGTATTTAGTTGGTACTTGCAGCAACTATGTCAGAACTATGCGGCCACGTCCAAAGTTCCCATGTGAATGTTTCTTAAAGTTTGTGTAAAGAAACAGACAAATGTATTATTGTTATTTCAGACTAGATTTTACTGTAACATGCTATGTACATGAGAGTGCTTTTGCCTACTAGGACTTACCATGTCAACAGAAAACTCTTTAACTAATTTTTAATTCTCTTGATGTTCCATAGTAGGAGGAGGCAACCATCCTCTTCTTGTTCCTTACGATACACTCACTGCCAAAGAAAAAGCCAAGGACAGAGAAAAAGCACAGGATATTCTGAAATTTCTGCAGATTAATGGATATGTTGTCTCCAGGTAATTCTCTGTAACAGAGGTTTTGTAATAGTCCTCAGTAGAGGCATTTGTTTGTTGTTTGGTGGTTTAGTTTTGGGGATTTTTGTTTGTTTTTTTAATCAAAAGAAAGCTCTATGATCATTTTTTAGGTTTCAGTGCCTGGGAATAAGGATGAGCTACTTCATTTAAAACATTGTAAGGAAGAAATGCATTACAGGGATAGTAGCAATGTTTTGGAAGGCGTAAGCAGAGTTCTCCAGAATCTCTGCACATCTTCTTCCGCCTTTCTTCTCAACACTGCAGCCTGTTTTTTTTCTTTCTGGTGTGTCTCCATACATCCAACTGTTAGTAAACTTTCTAATTTTCTACAAGTAATAAAATTATATAGCGTATATAATAAGATTATAGGACAAACTCTAGTGATGAGGTACAGGGCTCAGTCAGAAAACTATATTGACAGGCCACAGTTTACATGTGATCAGCCATTTTTAAAGCTCTTTTTGCCTCTTCTCCCCTCTGCTCTTGATACTTTCCTGCTGCACAGTCCATCATTTGTTTGTGTAGTTCCACTGATCTGCCTCAAATATTCCAAATCCTCATGTCCCCTCCTCTTAGGAGTTACAAAATACAGGTGGTCCCTCTCCAAAGTTGTGTCTGAAGTTTCTTAATGGCCCCTTATTTAGTAACTGGAGACTTTCATTCTCTAGCATTGTCTTCTTTATCTGTTCTCTCTTGGGTTTGTGACTCTGTGTTCTTATTTATGGCTTCTCTTTTATTACCCTCTTGAGGTCCTTGATCAGATAACCTTAATGAAGCAGACATTCTTGTACCCTTACTGGTATCAACATCGTCAGTGTTTTAATTTAAAGCGTAAATGTGCACTACACAGTCAGTTATATTCAATATATGAAGTAGTTAAACTTTTTAAACTTGCAACATAGCTGAGTACTAATGTACTTGGTGCTTCTGATGGGGGACCAGGTGGCTGTGATTCAGTCTCACTCATTAGGGATGGTTTCTTTGTGTGCCATTAATTAAGCCCTGATCCTACATAATCAAGGCATATGTCAATGCTAACTTGTTGCCAGCAGAAATCAGCCCATGTCATGGATTCACTCTCTGAAGATTCATACTTGTTGAAGGAAGTGCTTTTCATATCGGATTAGTAACTATGATGAAACATGCTGGAAGAGCAATCCCATCACTTTATTTTAGTTTTTCTCTGATTTTTTATAAATGCTACATAACTATTCAAAGATTTTGCATTACAAACAGACTTTTGGGAAAAGTCATAGTAATGAGCATTAGATTTCCTTCTAATTCGCTTAAATCAAAGTACTTTGGAAGCATCAAAACTCCCTCACCCAAAAATCAATCCCGGAAGGAAAATATAAGATAGTAATACCTTACAAATAATGGAAAGAAATTATAATAATAGTGGATTAACTTGATTGACAAGTCTCATTTTTCTGTAATGCTCTAGCTGGGAAATCTTAGTTGTGTTTTAAGAAATTGCTCATAACTTGAATAAGTTTAAGAGTACTGTTTATGTCAAACACAAAGAATTCTTCTGTTAATAAGCACTTAATTGTTACTAGAGAAAATGGTGTCAGCTTACATGGAGAGATAAGACTGCTTTTAGTCCTTCTGTGTGTGTGTGTGTGAAAATTGCTTCTTTTTACAGAGGACTTAAGGACCTGGAATTAGACACGCCTTCCATTGAGAAACGGTTTGCCTACAGTTTCCTTCAGCAGCTTATAAGATATGTGGATGAAGCCCATCAGTACATTCTGGAGTTTGGTATAGTATCCCTTGCACATTTTTTTCAAATAATTACTAAGATGATGTTATAAAAAAACTAGAAAATTTTTAAAAATAACATGTTCCTGGACTAATTTCCCCCTTAATTTTCTATAGTTGATGAAGATTATGAATTTTGAAAAGTTACGGGGTTACCATTCATTCCAGTTTCCCATATTCATTCATCAGTTTAAAAGTGTTTGGCCAAAATTTATGATGACTTTCATTCTTTGAAAAAGAAACTAGATGCTCCCTTGCATTTATGCACAAAATTATAATCTCTCACATGTGCACATTAATAGTTACTATCATATATAATCCCTTTTTCAGAGAGCAAACGAAACCAGTTGTTTGTACCATTCTGAAATGTTCTCTGGAGAAGGGAGTAGAGAAATCTCTTTGACAAAGTCCTACAATTGGAAGGTTCTTTCACAAGCACCTGGCACATGTTTTGTCAGCAGTGCTATGAAGGATTTAACTTTATCTACTTTTGGTGAAGATAAAAAAGATATGAAAATTCAGTGACCCAAGTCTGCTTCTTACATGAGCAGTAAAAGCCAAAAAACCTGGATAGATGCATGTTGTGACCATGGGAGTTATAAGTGACACACAACATATACTGTGCCTCATGTGTCGTCATAGATGGTGTAATTGACAGTAACAGGAACATCAAGATTGACTAAATCAACGCTCACCCAAAAGTCTATCTAGTTTCAAAGTGGAAATTATCAAATTTATGAATTATTGTATGATGGTTACTTACACTAGCAAAAGTCTGGTCTTGATACCTCATCAGGTTACTTCTTCTGCTGATGCCTGATTACCATGGCTTTATCCTTCTTAATTATATAAATTTGTCATAATTGCAAGAAAGATAATGAATAAAGACTGAAACACTAGAAGCAGTGGTGGAACAAATACCATTCAAGTCCCGCAATGGATTAACAAAGACAGGACAATTAAATAAAGGAGAAATAGTACCAGATTTTATTTTTTTGATTATGCAGTTTTGATTTTTATAGTAATTTTTATACTAATTTTTATAGTGAAGTGAAGCAATTTAAATTTCAATTGGGTAGATGTAACGGTTAATTTTGTCCTTTAGATGAAGTCCACATATAAGGAGTAAAAAATTCATTAATTTTGTTTCTCCTAGGAACAACTGGAGAAAGGTGTTTGATTAGAATCTGAGTAAGGCTTTCAAATTACTACCTGTAACAGGAAGAGACAAGCACCAGATCTTTATCTCACAAAAATATCCGTATCTCTTTGGACTATGAGATGTCTAAACTTTTATAGAGATTTGGACAATTTTTCTTTCCACATTTTATTTGCTATTACTTTTCTTCACATGAGGTAGTCATAAAATGCCACTTTAGCTAGTGTGTATACTGTTCGAGTTATCTTAAATTTACATCTAAAGCTGACCAGTATTATTTGCTTATAGTGTACACTTTCTAAGAAAAATGCAGAATAGACTGTAATTAGGATATATGACAGGGAGCTTAATTTTTTTCTCTCTGCAGATGGTGGCAGCAGAGGCAAAGGAGAGCAGTTCCCATATGAACAAGAAATCAAGTTTTTTGCCAAAGTACAGTATATCTTTGCTTATTCTTTGTCAATGTTGTGAGTAATTTAAGTGAGAAAGTATTATTTAGTGACTGTTATTGTTATAGTTGCATTTTTCAGTGTTAAATTCATTATTTCATTAATTAAAACCAGTAGTAATAAAAATAGCTTGAAAATAATGTAGGATGAAGTATAGATGTGGGAAAATTACAGGATTATATTTTTATTCTGGTTATTTCCTTGCTCCATGATATGCAACTACTCATATGATATTTTCCATAAGCTTCCTACATTTTGTTTTCCAGCTTAGTCTATTTTTGTAGATTTTTCTCTTTTACAATATTCAGGCAGGTAAATGTCAGCAACAGTCATTGGAAGTAACACAGCCATGTATCTGTTAGTGTCACATTAGTTATTTCTTTCTTTGTCTTAAAACCATGCTGTTGTCTCCAGCATAGAGTCACAGAATGGCTGAGGTTGGAAGGGCCCTTTCCTCAGCAGTGTAATCTAGAACAGGTTGCACAGAACCATGTCCAGATAACTTTTTAGTATCTCCAACGGCAGAGACTCCACAATATCTCTGGGCAACCTGTGCCAACGCTCAGTCACCCTGACAGTGAAAAAGTGTTTCCTGATGGTCAGAGAGACCTTACCATGTTTCAGTTTGTGCCCATTGACTCTGGTCTTGTCACAGCAGAAAAGAGCCTGGCTCCATCTTTTATAACCCCCCCCTTCAGATATTTATACACATTGATGAGATCCCCCTTGAGCCTTCTCTTCTCCAGGCTAAAGAGTCCCGCCTTCCTCAATCTCTTGTCATGTGAAAGATTCTCTATTACCTTAATCATCTTTGTGACCCTTTACTAGACTCTCTCTCCAGTATGTCAATGTTTCTCTTGTACTGAGGAGCCCAGAACTAGACATAGCACTTCAGAGGTGGTCTCACCAGTGCTGAGAGAGAGAAAGAATCCTCTCCCTGGATCTGCTGATAGCAGTCTGTCTAATACGCTGCTTGTAGCATTTTCTAACCCTGATATCCTTCCAGTAAATTGTAATTTCAATACCTTAGAGTACTTCCATGTGGTATTATTTGCCAAGTTCACTGACTCACAAGATAGCATTCCACTTTTTTGTGAACCATGCTCCAAAAAGGAAGCAATTTCAGGTTTTCTTATTGGCAGTTTATTTTGGGTCTCCTCGTGGCTGACACCTTCAGTAGGTACTGAGTAATAGTAATCACAGAAAGTAAACAGTAAAACTTCTATGGACAAGCCCTTAATGAATGAGGTTGTTTTGGGAGTTTTATTTGACAGCATCTAGAATTAAGTGCTGACAGTTGTAGGTGAATTTTTCTTAAACCTACATTAAAAGGAACAAATAGTAATAGTTGTGTTTGGTTATGTGGTATGGGAAAAATCTGAAATTGTGAGATAAAATTAAATTATACTTTCTGCTTTGTACTCCTCCTGAATAAACACACAGATCAAGGCCGAGAGATAATGTAAAGTTTTTTTCTGCTGCCTTTCTTGATGACATATTAGGTGCCTTGTATACTAAACAAATTCAAAGAGGAATAGACATTAAAGAAAAAAAGCACATAGAGATTTTAAAACAGAAAACCTATTTGAAACCTCCTGTCTTTAGTTGTGACTTACAGAGTGATACAGAACATTGTAAAGAAAGTCCTGAGATAACTGCTTCTTTCTGATGTAATTTCAGGTTGTGCTCCCTTTGATTGATCAGTATTTTAAAAATCATCGCCTGTATTTCTTATCTTCAGCAAGTAGGCCTCTCAGCAGTGGAGGCCATGCCTCTAATAAAGAGAAAGAAATGGTGACAAGGTAAAGCTTAAAATAATGTTAATGTCTATGCATATATGTGTTTGTCTTTAAACAGCAGCAGTTGACTGTGAGAAAGTGAGAAGTGGAAGGCAGAGAAATATTTTTCTGAATGAAACTTTTTTAAACAGATTAAACTTTTTTCACTTTCTTTTCCTGTTAGGGAAATTCATTGTATAAAATGGAGAGGAGTGCAGAGTTACTATTGTGTGCTGTTTAAAAGGCAGTGGTGATGATTTTATCATGCAGGGAACTTAAATTTATCACTGTGTCGCACAATAGAGCACTGTGTAAGTCTGTGGCACAGGCTATACAATTATGTATCGGTTCTCACTGCTGGAAATAGGTACATACTGAAATCATTATTGCTGCAAAATTTAATGGTAGGTTTAAAAGCCAAACATATATTGTAGCTGATATTCACTAAATATCATTATTATGTCCACCATAAAAAGGAAAAATGAGGGAGTTGCATTCTTTCTGCTCTTTAGTTTTCTAAATAGTAATAACAGTAGTAATATTACAGAAATACCCACTTGATTATTTCCCTTAAGTTACCCTTTTTTTTAGACCATCTCTCTAAGATATGTTTTCACTTAATTTCAGTTCTGATTGAATTGAAACCCACATTTCCCATTTAGTAAGGTGGACTACAAGCTTCACACAGGACCTATTGAATACCTGTAATGTATGTATGTATCACAGTTGCCTTCTTGGCTGTTATTTGGCATGGAATATTGAATTGTTGTATTTTGAGGCTGACAGCCAATTCGTGGTTATACAGACATGCAGGGTTTGCAAGATTGTGTAAATACTGAAAAGAGTTTCTAGCAACAATACTAAGCATAAGTAGGTAATGGCTGTCTTGACCCTGCATCGTCTCATGGACTAATTTGATCTGGCAGCTTATATGAATGGTGTTCTTCAAAGAGCTTAAAAACTTTATTGAGATGCATGAATATAAATAATTTTCCACTCTTATGAGCTGCTGTTTTTCTTTCTGTAATGTCCTGGATAACCGTATTTTTGCAGTTGTTAAGTCATGCTAATAAACCCCACACTTCTGGAATGTCAAATATGTCATCATACCTGCTGCATAGAGATTCAGGATTTCTGCACATATGCTCTATAGCTGTGTGAGATTCCTGAACATATAGCCTTGCATAAAGATCAGAGCTGCTACCATAGTTGAGTGGGTTACCTGCCATCCAGATGGGTCAGCTAAAGAAAAGAAAACACCTATAAGGAAACCTTGAATGAATAATAGGTATAGCTAGCCCTGATGAGCAGTTTATTTCTTAATTATCAAGACACAAAGATATAGAAACTACACTGAATGATCCATTTCCTGAAGGGTTGTTTTGGGATATTTTAACAGATTCCCAACATTTTTTGTGCATTTTTTTCCCCTTACAGTATTAAAGGGAGCTTACCAAAGCTGAATTTTGGATTTTCTGTTGAATTTTCTCTTTAGTTTTGTTTGAGTGCACCTCCTACATAGTATTTGCTTCAAGCTAAGGGCAGTTCCTGGCTGCTTTCTTTCTCCAGTGAAGATAAGCTTGCATTCATTAAGCTATGGAAGAGTATAATTTGGGGTATTGATAATGCAGTGAGAGTGTTAACATATGCAAAGACCATTCCGTGTTCAGAAAATACAGTAAATACAGATCTGTTTTTCTGGAAAATATGGGTCAGACTTCTTCCTGAAATGTGGTGGCATTATATTCCATATCGCTTGTAGCCAGCCTCTTCAGGATTGGGCTTTTTGCATTTCTGATCCACTAGACCATCTGACAGTATGGTACAAGTTCTTGTACTACTGCATTTGTGTGAAATTGGTTCTGGACATCAATTTAAGTACTGGCCATTTGGACTTATTTATTTATTTATTTAACCTAAACTAATTACATTGGAGGTAACAGGTTCAGTGTCACTTTGTGAAAGCAGAGCATCAATAGTGAATGGTACAGTCAATTGAATAACATTTATATAACGTTGAATAACATTTGTATATCATAACATAAAATAGACTGTGAGCTATTTGTATATCTACAATATCTACATGATGCCTACATGCTTCTATTCAGCTTTTCATATTGGACTTGGTGAACCAGGATCTTTATAAAGAAATATATAGTAAATGTCTGCATCATGGAATAAAAAGTAAACAGAGATCCCTGAACATGCACCAAACAGACTCATTTCTGAAATAGAGCAGTTTCTGTTGCTAAAGTGGATCACTGTGCACTGGCTAATTAGCTGTATTCAATACCACATTAACCTGGCTGTTGTGATTCTGGACATAAATGTTTTCATTTGACGCCATGCTCTTGTCTGTCAATGGAACAACATGTTCAGATCTCATCCATAAGCTGTGCAGACATGCTTATTTTATATTTTGCTTCTAAGTGCGAGGCTAATAAATATCCAGTGTGCCTAATAATTAAGTAGCTTAATAAAATGTTGTTATATTATTCATGCCATTTGTAGTGGATGAAGGGGGTTTGCAGCGTAAAATATTAACACCAAGATGGATGTTGTTCTTGGTGAAAATTCTCACATAGAAGAATTCATGAAGATTGAACAAATCCCTCCCAAATCTGGAGGCCGGGTCAGTTTGGGTAGGGCAGTTTGCTCCTGCTTCAGTGCATTAACACAGAACTTCATTCTTCATTGTTCTCAATGGAGCACTGCTCAGCACAGGGATTAGTTCAAACATGTGAAATAAAAACATTGTTCATATTCATTTTTATTGTTTTAAAACATTTTAGAGGCTACTTCTTATGTTAAATATTTAAAAAGAAACATATTTGAAAAGAAATTTTTACGTGTGTTCAAGTTTACAAGATCCTAATTGAACTAGTTAAACATTTGCCATCACTCACTTCAATTAATCTGATTCCCTTACCTTTCATTTTCAAATTGTCAGTGGTATCCTGCATAGCACAATGATTGCATTTTACTTAAAACTTTGATGATTATTTCCTTGTGGGTTATTTTATGGGACGCTTTTACATTAAAAGCTTTGCTTTTAATTTTTTTTTGTTTCTTTAATTATAATATGTGCTTATTTAACCATGTTTGTTAAGGATATGCACTTAAAAACTCTTTCTTTAGTACTCTGTCCCACATTCTGCTCAGACAGTTGATTCTTTCTGCGTGACATCATGTTGCTTTTCCTGCTCATATATCAGCTGTTATTTTTTCTTTCTTCCCCCCCCCCCCCTTATTTTTTTCCTTCTCCCTTCTCTTCTCTTCTCTTTTGTTTTTCTTTTGTCTTCAGCCTGTTCTGCAAACTTGGAGTTCTTGTCAGGCATAGGATTTCACTGTTTGGTAAGGAGACCCTTGACAAATACTAGCATGGCCATCACTTGGTTTTCTTTGCCATTTTTGCATTGTGTTATGTGCTGCTTTGTTGCATGCTGCATGGCAGAAATGCATGGTCTACACAGACCACTAATCATTTAGATTGGTAGATCACAGAATTTATTAGAGGGAATAAAAAGTTTCTGTAGTTATCAGTTTGGGGGGGGGTTGTTTAGTTTTCCGTGGGTCTTAACTAATATCTGGATTTCATTATCCTACCAAAGAATTTTGCTGAATAACTTACAATTACTAATTCATTATTTTATCCTAAATAATTTGGGAAAAACATCACCAAACTGCACATTTGTATTGGAAAGTCATTAAGGAAAATTTGAAGTGGGATGAAATGCTTAGTTATGTTCTGTGGAATTCTTGAATATTCCCAGATCTGCTTGACTCCACATACGCATGTGTACTATCTTTCTGATATTATGTGACTTTAGCAGGAGCTCTGTGTTTGTCTTACGCCATGTGAAAATCACTTAATTGAAGTCATTTACTTTGCAATTTTTTCTTATGCCGTGAGTTGAGAGTTGAAATAGTACATCCTATGCATACATAGCTTCTGTGACGGATGCAGTGCAAACTTCAGCATCCATGAACATACCTAAATGGGTAATTTCTAGTGAATTAGAATTCGATTAAGGTAACATTTATCTAACTCAATTCCTGCATATTTCATTCAATTTGAAGGGAAGGAACTCGCTGCAGCAGTGTGGTGTTTAAAAAGTTTATAGACTGTTATGAAAACTATTAAACTGAGAAGAAAGATCAGAAGTTATTTTGGGATATCGCTTTTAAATGTTTTGAGATGAGCTGAGTGGATTTCCATGTAAAGTGAAAAGATCATAGGAGGAATGGAGTTATTTCTGCAGCTGTGTGGCATTGTTGCAGCTTTTTCTGAAAGGTGGAATATGTCACAAGCTTACGCATAAGTTCTGATTTATACCCTAGGTTGCTTCTTCAAAGAACGAAATAGCTCAGGTATACTATTAAAATTTTGTAAATCTTGTTTGTTATTGTGTGCATTTGACTTTCAGACTTTTTTTTTCTAAAATGAGTCACAGTTGAAATCAAAAGTCCAAGTCAACGTAACTTTCTTTAGTACTAAAGAAAAGATCTTTTCCACTCCACATCTCAGCTTTCTTATTTCCTGTTGTCTGGCTAGGTTCGAGTGGTAGGAGATAAGTCAGATAGGATCAAATGACTATTCCCTATGACTACAGTTTGGTTTTTAACTCTTTTCCTATACTGCAGTAACTAACAGAATAGAAAATCTTTATGCCAACGCTGTGGTTTTTCTGTTAATTATGACAAGATCACCATAAGGTTGTGGAGCATGGTTGGGTTGTTTACTGTGGACCTACTAACTCAATTCATAAGTCACCTTACAGTTTGCCTTACCTTGACAGTGAATTGCATCATGTTAGAAAACCTGATCAACAGAGTTGCACTTACTCCAGCAAAGACAAGGACTGTGTAGAAGAGGGGGAAATGCTCATAAGGATGCCTTTGAGTACAGCTGGGGCCTAGAAAGTTATTTGTGCATTTTGGAGGCATCTTCAGTGAGCAAGAGTTTCACCTTTTATGGATAGTGGGGAGTTTGCTATAACAAATAACAAAATGCTATATAGTTTGGATATGTAGGTATTTTATATAACTGTGAATTTGAATGGTACTTCTGAATATACAGCTGCCTTTATGAAAATCATTAGTGAAAGTCATGTAGCTTAAGCTGTATATAGAAGTCTCGATAAAATAGGAAATTAAGTATTCAAGTCTTCCAGAGGGAACTTAAATAGTTAATCACATTCGATATCTAAGACTGTTATTTAGATTATGGAATTGTAATTCAACATGGAAGCATTATTTCTTACACTGTGAAAGTAGATTTTGACCCCAGTAGTTTACTGTTTGAGAGTTGTAGCTGTGCATCAGGAAGACTGTAATGACTTATTTTCATTATTATTACTGGCTGAAATTGAAAGATTTTATTGAATAATTCTGGTGAATTGAGCATTTTAATTTATGTTTTCTCCATTTAAAAAGCACATTTATATGAGTAGTTTGATTCAATTTGGTTTAAATCTCTAGTAAGGAATTCTGTTCTGGAGCAGGTTGCTGAGAATTTGTGGCTGCCTCATCCCTGCACATATTCAAGGCGGGGTTGGATGGACCTTTCAGCAGCCTGGTCTAGTGGAAGGTGTCCCTGGCCCCCCTGATCGGTGGGGTTGGAACTGGATAATCTGTCATGTCCCTTCCAACCCAAGCCATTCTATCATTCTATGGCAATCTAATCCACAATCCAAGTCCAGTTTGCTTTGAGTATTCCGTTCATACCTGCTGTCATTAGCACAATCTTGCACTCTCTGCATCAACACTGGCATTGATATCACCAGAGCAGCAAAATAATAAGGAAAAAAAATTGGATCTGACAAAAAGAATCCTTTGGAGTGGTGTTTTTGGTAGGATTGTTTTAGGTCACCTCAGCTTTCTTATCTGCTCCTTGTATTGATCACAAGTGCCAGTGAAAAAAGGGTGGGACCTGACTAGGGGCAGCCGCAGAAGTTGTGGTTCAATTTTGTTTAATCTGCTGTGGATGATCACCATGGCAATATCTCCTAATATTGGCAGCATAGAACAGTTTCTCAGTGCTACAACAAACCTCCTACACCTTCCTTGCAATTTATCTCTTTAAATCTCTATTTCACTGAGTTACTAATTTTAGTTGTATGTTTGCTTATATTTTTAAGTGAAATAACCACCAGTAAGAAAGTATAGTGCACTGTATCACTGTATGCAGATCACAGTATTTACAGAAATATGTCTTAAACCTTCAATTAGTTTCTACTTTTTTCATTAATTGAGAAAATTTAAATATAAAGAGACACAAGAAAAGGCAGTTCTATTTTTGCAGAATTTCATTAAAAGAAAAAAAGTATTAGGTAAGCTGTGGTTCAGATTTTTGTAGCCTACATGTGTCCTGTATTTAAAAAGTGAACTTAGAGGAAAGAGGCTTGTACAAGGCAACATTTTGGGATATGTATGCATACAAGGCATGTTGTGCATAAGTCCAATTTTTACATAAGTATGAAAAAATAATGGAAAATATTATGGAATATGTGTATTATGTCAGAGACTGTTACTCATGTGAACCACATCTAATCAAGCTATAAATGGCTGCAGCCTATGGGTAACACCAGGGAACTAACTTCTATTATGGCATTTTATATAAATGTTCTCTTCCTGCAATAGCAACTTTTGAAAATTAACAGGTTTTTTGTTACTGAGAGATGTCCAGATAAACTTGAACTAATTGAAGCAAAATTTATAGAAATCAAATGAAAACCAGACAATACACTGCAGCTTTAATTAACCTCACATTTTAGAGCTTCCATTTTGACTGCCTCAGCTATTTGATGAGATGCTTTACTGGCTCTAGTTACTGCATTTGTGTAAACAACGCTAAGACAAAAAAATGCATGTTTTTTAACTTGAATGTTAAAATTATGCAGAAGTTCAGTGCTCTTCTGCTATGTCATTTATTCTTTCATTAAATGCAGAGATACAGTTAGCGGAGTGTCAATATGCTACACACTATGCTCAACTTAATTGGTGGTTCATTTTTGCCCCTTTTTAGGAAATGATGCCACATCAATAGTCAACTGTCTTCACATACTGGGCCAGACTTTGGATGCGAGGTAATACTGATTATATTTTCTAAAGTACAAAGAAAATCAAGAATAAAGAGTATAATGTGCAGTCAGATTTGTGCTATCTGTATAAGGCTACTGAATTTCAACACTCAAGGAATTACCATGCTGAAAAGAATTCCCCTTGTGAAGTAGGTTGGTTAGTTACTAGGCTTTGACAGGACGCTATTTGGAGGTTACACTTTCAACTTTGGTATGGATCAATGGTGTCTAGAAACTGCTGGCTATTAATTCATCTTGTTTTAGTCATGTGACTTTCTTAAAACCGCAATAAAATTAGAACTATTTTAGTATTTTGCTTACACTGTTTAATCAAAGAATTCAGGAGTTAAATGGACACGAAGTTCAATAAATCTGTCTCACAGAATGTCTTTGCAAAATTAATTCAGGTTCTTATTTAAAAAAAAACCCAAACCAACCCAGACGCTTTACAAATAAAAAAAAGCCAAATAAAGTATCCTTGTGTTCTACAGGATACCTATGAAACTTGTTTTCAGTAAGTTATTCTGCTTTGAGAAGATTTTACAATATTAAAAGATGAAAGATTTTTCTTCAGATCTCTATTATCTATTTCATATCATCCGAGACTAAACTTTATTCCATGCTTGTCTAATAGAATATTCTTTTTCATTCTTTTTGCATGCTATAAACAGGACTGTGATGAAAACTGGTCTGGAATCTGTTAGGATGGCACTGAGAGCGTTTTTGGACAATGCTGCTGAGGATTTGGAGAAAACAATGGAAAATCTTAAGCAAGGCCAGTTTACACACAGCAGAAATCAGCCAAAAGGAGTTACACAAATCATTAATTATACCACAGTTGCTCTCCTGCCAGTGCTATCTTCATTATTTGAGCATATTGGACAGCACCAGTTTGGGGAAGATTTGATATGTATGTATCATGCATCATATTATCATGTATGTATGTAGAAGGGCCATGCCACTAAAATATCTGTCGTATCATGTAGTAAGCATTATTAGACTCTCATTTCTGTTAGAGAAGGACAAATCCTATGTCATTTTGACAGAATTTGCTGTAATCAACCAAAACCAGTCTGCAGGTTTTAGTGGACATCATGTAAATTATTAAAGCAGATGTGGCTGTGATTAGAAAGAAGGATTGATTTTGTTTATAACTTTACCATAGATTTAACATGACTTTCTTCTTCTGTGAGAAGTCATTTTGTGCAAGTTAATTTGCTTTTTCTCTGTCTATAAATAAGGTTATACTACAAGAATGATGTTATACCATCATACATGCACTTTGACTCAGTTTCAGTTAGCAGGGAATCTGGGTGGGTGCATCTTAAATTCTAAGGAAAAGGGAAAAGTGGAAGGAGCTCCTGAAGAATTCAGGCACCAGAGAAGGGAATGTGTATGAGACCCTGTATATGGGGGTTTTGTAGAGATTCTGAATACAGCATATTGTGTTCTTTATTTTCCCCAACACAGTATCTGCAAGACAACATTTTGCAGACTTTGCAGTCTGCACATAAAGGTTCAGTTTTATATATTTTAGGAATTCACAGAGATTTTGCTATCCATACTGCACTAAAGGAGGCAGTTCTGCTCTGTAGAGCTAACTCAGTTATGAAAATCCATGAAAAGGATCTGGCAGAAAAGAATATCAAGTTATATTTTTTCTCTTTTTAGAGTCTGTAAAAAGTATGGCCTTAAAAGAACTCTTTGAAAATTTGCAGTTGTCTTGATGGATTTGAATGTCATGTGATATAAACATCCTCTTTTCTCATTAAATTATTTCAGTAAAATTATGGAGACTGTGATAGTGTGCAGAAAAAGTATTTGTGGAGTTCACATACTTCACTTGTTCATCATAAACCACTGTTTTAGACATCAGCGGGTTCATGCCTTGTACAGTTTTTGATCTCTTGTATTCCGTGTTATAAAACTTAACAATTAGCTTTGTATACTTTATCACTTACCAGCTATTCTACATGCATCACACTGGTGTAAAACACCCAATTTAGAATTCATAAACTGAGAAAGAATAAATTATTTAAGTTATGCCTATTTATTTTATCTAGAGCACAGATGAAAAGGCTATTTTTTCTTGCACACAACTTCTCTTTACATCTTGTTAAGAATAAGATTATCTTATTTGTACAAACATCTTGAGCTGGTACTTATACCTAGGAGTACTACGTACAGAGTACTCCATGGGGGTAGCATGTACAAAGGTGTACCTCAGGTTACTATTATTATGTAAAAACACTCAACTCCAAGATGATCTGAACTAAAATCACGGTACAGTAAAGGGCTAAGCCATGTAGCTTTGATACAATATCTTGTAGGCTCTCCCAGCCCATGAAGTCTTATCCCGTTTTACTCACAATATTTCATTGCATGTTGGGCAACAATATTAACAGTGTAGGAGACACTAGGAAAGATATCTGTGGCAAGAATGGGAGTGTTGTCCTTCTTGATGGTACTTACTCTGTTACTGTATTACTGCATAGTACACTAGAAAAGCATTTTTTCAAATAGATATTAAGATTATTCTCACGTTTTTGTGCTGAAATATTTGATAATTTTTAAACCTCCTTTGATTATTTTTTTTAATCCTTTGTCAGTGTAAAATGTAAACAAAGTACATGCTATTAGCTAGTATCTGTGCCTAAATTTAAAAAAAGTATAAACTCTGATTAAAATATTTAGGTATTTGTTTCACTGGATTTCCTTTCTTTTGTACAGCGGTGCTCTATTTGTAAAGGTGTCACATGTAAAGAGTTGGTATGCCATTAATTTCAGAAAGTTAATGCACTAGTGAAATACGTTTACTGTCTTAGCTGTTAACATGATAATTGAAGTGAATGGAAGTTTTGAGTAAAAACTATAGCACTCAGTGGTCCAAAGACTTTCTGTATTTAGTGAGTGATTTCTGTGGATTGCTTTTGACATCTTAATGTTATTAATTCAGTTACTGTAGAAGGAAATGTATTTTAATTCTAGGGAAATTGCAAAAAAAAAATCTCTTTATAAATAGCATTTTCTTCTTCTCTTTAGTGGAAGATGTTCAGGTCTCCTGTTATAGAATATTGGCCAGTTTATACGCTCTGGGAACTAGCAAGAGTATCTATGTGGAGCGGTAAGAAGGAAAAGTGTTTTTCTGGTTTTAATATTTGTGTTTATATTTAGCATCATGAATTTGCAGTTCAGAAATGAGTATAGGAAGAGATTGTTGTTGCAAAGATATCATGAGAGAAAAACTGGTGCTCAGATGTTAAGTGGAATGCAGTTGCATTTATTATAATACACTAAAAATATTGCATTATATGCATGTCAAAATATATTTCTTAATTAAAACATAAATAAAAAATAAAATTATCTGACATTATAACAAATAGGGCCTATTTGAGGGTCAACTGAGGTATTGCAAAATTATGTCATTCAGCTCAGCAATTGTTATGATTCTTCCTTCTATAGTGTTTAATTTTGTTGTATATTTCTTTCTTATTACCCTAAATTAAATTTAATTTGTCACTTGTACAACACTACTTCTTTTCTAACTCAATTACCCAGGGAAATGAGGCTTTATAATTGCTTTTTTATACATCTGTGTATCTGTTAACCGCTCTTCAAGTTACATTTGGTCTGTGTAAGCCATGTTAGGCCAAAAAATAGAGCTACTTAGATAATTCAGTTCTTAAAACTGAATAAATTCAGTTCTTAAAACTGATAATTCAGTTCTTAAAAATAGTTGAACTATAGTGACTAGAACTGTTCTGAAGGAAGGCTAAACAGAATTCTTACATTTCAGATATTGGTAGCAGTAATCTAGGAAGTTCACTTTTTAGGGAGTCATACTCTTTAGCAAATCCACCTGTGCATAACTCCAGAGCAGCCCAATGACATACCCTTGCTTACTTGGTGGCAGCATCACAGGAAACATTATGAAGAAAGGTTGGGACCAATACTTAAGTTAAAAATTACACATCTGAGGAAAAACAGGTCTCCTTAATTTCATTAAGGAGATAAAATTAACTTAGTTTGCTATTTGGCAAATAAATTATATGAGATTTGTTTTTAAGACAAAATATTTCAGTGTGACTATTTTTATATGTGGTTGTCTACAACCATTATTGCAGTTGAAAAGCATATAGCATGCTCTTTTTAGGTGTATGTGATGGATGTATGATTTGCTTATGAAGTCTTAATGAAAAGGAAAAAAAGGAAGAAGGAGCAAATAGTATAAATAACAATGAAATTAGATTTAAATATAAAGTTTAATGAGTTAGATCTAGAAAGAATAAAATCTCCAAAAATGAGATAAACTATAGACTGAAGGTGAATCTTTTTAAATCACAAAATCATTCTTGAGGCCTTTCATGATTCTCCTGGATTCAAATTCTCTTGGATATCTGCCACCTGTGTGACTCAGCCTCAGCTAGGAATATCTCACCTCTCTAAAATCTGATCAATTGAATTGGAAATCAAAAAGAATAGTTTTAATTGACCCAAGTGAAGTGACAGGGGCTCACTTATTTCTTATTAGACACAGGCTTTTTAAAATTTTGACACACTGAAGGAATTTTGATTCTCAAATAAATCTTGTCATATATTTGAAGACATTAAAGCAATATTTTTGTGAAAAACTTTCAGAGTTATTGATCATTAGAAGCAGTTTTTACTTGCTGAAGAACTTTCATACTAGACCAAGCATGAAAGTGATTGTCACTATTTCTCTCAAATGAAATGATACATGTTTTTGGTCTCGTGTTCTATCTGTTTGCTTTGTCTTAATGGTAGGGATTATAAAGTCAGTAAAGCTAAGAGGAAAGTAATAGAACAGAAGGCATTGTTAAAATTACTTTGGTTTTTCCCTGCATGTTTCTCATTTTCTGTAAACTAAGTAGGCCACCTTTGACATTTTATGTCTTAACATTTCGTTCATATATTAGCAGAGGGTTGCTAGACTGCAATTTCTGTTACCTGTTCTTGTGTTGATGATCCTAATAATATAGTGGCTTATCTCTTTGAAATGTGTTCATCTTAAAATAAAACCCCAAGGTGTAGTCAAGCACCAATGACCAGGTGACTCCACTGGTGGTCCCTTCCAGCCTTACCCATTCTGTGACTCTGTGATCAAAGGTGTGCGTACTTACTGGTGTTTGTTAATTCACAGGCAACGATCAGCACTAGGAGAATGCTTGGCTGCTTTCTCAGGTGCCTTTCCAGTGGCTTTTTTGGAAACTCATTTGAACAAACATAATATCTACTCAATCTACAATACCAAGAATGCGAGAGACAGAGCAGGTATTTCTAGAAACTCACATAATGGTTATGAAAGCACTATTTCACTATAAATGCTTCTTGCCTGAATACATATATTTTTGAATACATTTTATAATGCAAGAATTTTCTTGTAATATCTTGTCTGTATTTCTTTTCTAAACGAATGATAAGTCTGGTAAAACTGAATATTTTATGTTCCTAAGGTTACCGATTTAATTTTGAGATACGATTCTCAAAATACCACTTTGGAATCAATTTAATGAAGAGACTTTGCACAGTTTAAGTATCTCAGTTTTTATGTATCTGATGATAAACTTATGTATTCTTATCAGTAACTTTGGTTCCTCAGTTTACGCACACAATATTGGGTCCCTAAAATATAAATACTTACAACTGAAGAAAAGTTCCTTTGCTGTATTAATTACATATTATGCCCTTATAAAGTAAATACATTGCAGAGTAGTATGTAAATTGTTTTTTTACTTTGTTTGACATACAAGACAGTACAGATACTTTCCAGTAATATCATGTATGTTTATTTTGCATATACCTTTTTTTATCTACTCTTGATGTTTCTTATGCTGTAACATGATTGTAGAATATGCACAACCTGTTCCTGCAATAAATAGAAGTTGCAGTAGCAGTGTACAAGCTCTGCATATATGCTGAGTGTGAATTATATGACAGATACAGATACATGACAGTATGTTTGTATAATATGACAGTTTATGACATCCATTTTATAACTTCACCTTTATTTTTTAAAAAAGACGTCATACCAGATTTGTTCTTCAATGAGCTGTAGTATCTTAACTTGAAAATATCAACAGCTATGCTTTCTTGCCATATATATTCTAGCTATTTTACTACACCTAGAAGGAAAATCCACTGTATTTTCAATGATTTTTTTAACAGAAAATTGAATTTATTTTCAAAAATTGCGTTAATCTTAAGGAGACTCTGTGATGTCCATGTAAAATGTATTGGAGAAGATGATGTTTTTCAAAAAAAACTAGCCTTAGGCTATATTGGTACAGACATTTATATTTACCAATTGCAGGCTAAATTTTTGGTTTATAGGTATCTATGTATGTCATTGTATGTGTATATAAGGATGTTGGACAGAGCTAGTAGTTGTGCTTACAGATATTTATTTGTAGATGAAATAAACTGCCTCCAAAAATAAAGGCAACTGCAGTGCCTTTTCAGAGGAAAGAACTAATAACTGAAATAACTTCAAAAGTATACATTTACAATCAGTCATTCACCTCTATAATGAGTTTATTGGATCTGCTCAATTCATTATGACAGGCAATGATTTTTTTTCTTCTATTAGCATTCCAGGTCTCATCTGATGTGTTGAGAGATATTTCATTGTATCAGTTTCTTTCCTCAACTGCAAAGCTTATATTGGAAAAAAGTTTGAAATTTAAGTTGTATTTTGAATATAGAAAAGCACATCTGATTTCTCCAAATTAATTCCATAATATTTACATTATTAAAACTTTCATGTAGGAATTATTTTAATTATAGGAATTTTCATATAAACAGTCTATTGCTCAGAAGTATGAAATGATGTGGTTTTTATTGGTGTGTTTGGGTTTTTTCCTTTGGATCAGAAGACTGTAAAAGTAAATAGAAAACAAAAATTGTATTGAATAGCAAAAAAAAAAATTACTTTCCTTCTATGACTTAGTTTATTGATTTTTGGAATTTTTTTTTCAATAGTTCTCAATTTGCCTACTAGTGTAGAAGAGGTTTGCCCAAATATTCCTTCCTTGGTGAAGTTAATGGAAGAAATCGTGGAACTGGCAGAATCTGGTATTCGTTACACACAAATGCCACATATCATGGAAGTAATACTGCCTATGCTATGTAGTTACATGTCACACTGGTGGGAACATGGGCCAGAAAACAATCCTGACAAGGCTGAGATGTGTTGCACAGCCTTGACGTCAGAGCACATGAACACTCTGTTGGGTAACATATTGAAAATCATCTATAACAATCTTGGTATTGATGAAGGAGCCTGGATGAAGAGATTAGCAGGTAAGATGCAAAAATAAATAATTAAGCAAGCAAACGTGTGTGTATTCAGAATGTATATATACACACGCACACTCTGAATTACTCTGTATTTACTGTGTTAAAGCTGAAGTAGAAGAAGACTCATATTTTTACATTTTTAAACCATGAAAAATCTTGATGAACCGGAAATATTAAGTATAAAGAAAAAGCAATATGTTTTAATCTCTTAATAAGTAATATAAGAAGTACATTAGACTATTTTTCCCCAGAATATACACATATGCACTTTGCAATATACTGAATTCAAGGACTTATAGTTATTTAACTCATTTTCATCATGTAGCAAGTTCTCTTTTGCAGGCATTATACAGTTCTTTGCTATTCGGTGTGAGTGCTGGATCCTTAAAATGTGGTTGTGAAGGTGTATATCTAACATATCCATTACAATAAAATCTGGAAATGTTCATGTCATTTTAGTAATCCTTACATTACCATCATTGTGATAACACCTTAAAATTTATTTAAAACCACTTTATTTCTTAGTGTTACAATCCCCGAGGAAAAGTCACTTCAGTGGTGTGGATTCGATTTTTCAATTAGACTTTATTATGACTTTCCAGTACTTGCTATAATAGTAATTTCATTCATGGTAGCGCTCTGAATTCCTAGTCTTTTGAGGGTTAGTAATGTAATGTAGTCTAAGGATATGTGGTAACCGACAAATTCTTTGTATTTTAATCAATATATTACAAATGGTTTTGCACTAATGGGCCCAGTGCTAATTTGCATATTTGTTCTTATGAGTAGATTTGCAAAAGCTTGTGCTAATGAGTCTGAAATGAATGGTCGTCTCATTTGTGTCTACATTACAAACCTTCCTAATGTGCATAAGAAATACAGGCAGGCTGTTTCCTTAGGCTTTTCAAATAACCAGGGAATGCTTTTGAGTTCCACTTCGCACAAGTTAAAAAGCAACGTTCAAAAGGGAGGCCAGTGGCTGAGAAAACTTGTGTGCATTATGTAGCTATCTATACGTGTATCCACCCACACATACCATTAAACAACTTCTACATTGCTCAGTAAAACTATGTAGACAAATACCATGCTGACAGAATACCAGTAAGGAGGTATTTCAAGTTTTATGATCTTGCAAGCTTAGTTTGCCCTCACATTGACAAACTGAATTGACTTTGTAAAATCCTGACCACATTTAATTCTGGGCAAAACTTCTGCTGATTTCAATGGGGGCAGGATTTTGCTTTGTAACCTAGAAATGAGATTCAAGAAAGTGGGAAAAGGTAAAAGTTTTTATTTATATGTTGTGGCAAGGTATATATTATAATGTTCATTGCCTTAAATAGTGTTTTCCCAGCCCATCATAAGTAAAGCGAAGCCACAGCTCTTAAAGACACACTTCCTTCCACTGATGGATAAATTAAAGAAAAAAGCAGCAGTGGTTGTATCGGATGAAGAACATCTAAGAGCAGAAGGCAGAGGTGACATGTCGGAGTCTGAACTGCTCATCCTAGATGAGTTCACCACTTTGGCACGGGACCTCTATGCCTTCTACCCTTTGTTGATTAGATTTGTGGACTATAACAGGTATGTGGAGAGGAATAGGTCAATGAAGCTCATAAAACCTTCCTGTTTATTGATACAATTTCTTATCCTTTGATATGCCTAGCACTAAATTAAAGTGGCTTTTACTCAGTCTGACAATCTTGAAACTGCTCAAGCTAATGCTTTGTGACTTTTAGAAGGAGCTGGGATCTTTTTCATAAGAAAACAAAACAAAACAAAAAAATTGCAATCAAAATGTATTGGATTAGACCTAGGATTAATGTAGAAGGATTTTCAGGGTTTTGAAATAGGATAGCAAAAAGCCACTGCTACCAGAAAGGATTAAAAACATGCATGCTTGGTTTTGTTGACATGTATCCTTGTAAAATGTTGTAAACTGATTTCAAAGCATAAAGACAGTGAGAATCATCCGCATTTTCATCCTTTTACCAAATTTTAGGGCAAAATGGCTGAAGGAACCCAACCCTGAAGCGGAAGAGTTGTTCCGCATGGTGGCCGAGGTCTTCATTTACTGGTCAAAGTCTCATGTAAGTAATTCCTTGATAAATACTTGTTTTAATGAGGTTTTTAAACAAGTAGATCAAATATGTTTGTAAAACATGTTTAATGACATAATTGAAACTGCAGATGAGAAGGTATTAATGACTTTCACATTTCTGACACCTTCGAAATGGCAGAGTAGCTATGAGAGTTGATAGGTATTTTGTAACATAGTAACACTAATTGTAGATATTTTATTTAGAGATTCTAATTTTTTTTTGTTGTGGGTTTTCTGTTTGTTTGGGGTTTTTTAATTTATTTTTTTTATATTTAATATATTAAGCTCATTATTTTGAGTCCTTATTTTTTTTTTTTTCTTTTCAGTTCTTTTGACCCTATAGCCTTTTTATAACCAGACATAATCAGGCACATGATGCAGTGAATACTGGAACACAAAGAATTAAAAAAGCAAAAGAGACTAAATACTTTCAGGCATTAGATCTCTGTATGGACTGTTGGCTATACTAAATTTCTTTTTTTGCCATAACTTCAATTCTTTCAAGTTTGGGAAACAAGATTCGTTTTGAATTCTGTACTTGTGCCTGAATTTAACTGTAAGATTTAATATAAACACCCCTGTTCACAAAAACCGGTTATACACAGTAGATACTGGATCATCAAATTACTTGTGTATTTGCAAGTTCAGTCTTTTATTTAAAAATTTTCTTATGTATCTGAATATAGTGGAAATTTATAATGGGGCAAAAATTAGGTGAATATTTACTGGTAAGGAAAATTCCAGACAATATTTTTATTTTGAATTGGAGGAGGAGTGAGACTTTTATCATGTCTGTTTAATAGCTAGAGAAACATTTCCTTCTCTCTAACATGGAAAAAACCCCCAAACATACAACCACCTTAGCTATGCCATGTAAATAAATGTGAAATTCAAGGCATTATTGATCATCTGTTAATTTTTACTGTTCTTGTCTTATCTTATGGATTTTACAGATTTTCAGTTAATTTAAATTTTTATTTAAGACATGCTTAGATAGATTCCTTGTATAAATGCTTCTAACTGAGATCTGTATATTTCCAGAATTTCAAAAGGGAAGAGCAGAACTTTGTGGTACAAAATGAAATCAACAACATGTCTTTCCTTATCAGTGACACCAAATCTAAGATGTCTAAGGTAGTGTAAAGATCTTTATATTCTTCTTGCTGCAAAGGGGAAGAAGACAGGAGGACTCCAAAGAAACGCTTTTTTTTTTGTTTGCTTGGTATTTTTTTTAGTGGATTTGGTTTTTTGCGGGGTTTGGGTTTTTTGGTGCTGTTTGTTTGTTTGGGAAGGTTTTGTTTGTTAGTGGATTTTGTAACAAGATCTGATGAAAACCCTGGGTTGAGATTCAAAACACAGTCATTTGAGAAACACAGTGGACCTTACAGGTATAGGTGAAAAATATTGGCAATGAAATAATGGCAGTTCCATTAGATATAGTTGCACCTGTACAGGTGATAAGGGGATTTTCAAACCAGAGACAAGTACAAAGTCGCTAGTACAATTCTTTTATTTAATATGAGATTTCTTTTTTTCATCTTGGCTTTATTCTGCAGGCAGCAGTTTCTGACCAGGAGAGGAAGAAGATGAAGCGAAAAGGTGACCGGTATTCTATGCAGACCTCGCTCATTGTGGCAGCACTGAAGAGATTACTGCCCATCGGCCTAAACATTTGTGCTCCTGGAGACCAAGAGCTAATTGCACTGGCCAAAAATCGATTTAGCATGGTAGGTCCTCTTTTTGCACTTGCAAAAGGTAGAAATATTTTACTAGGGAAATTATTTGAATATTTCACCCTGTATTTGTCTTACAGTGTGACACAGAGAAACAAGACTATAATTCTGTAATATAAAGGCACAATGGGTAATTATGGTAAATAGTTATCTGCATGTAGTTCTCACGGCTTAAAACATTTCAGTTTGGACATACTTATTTTCTAAATGATCAGTATATGAATAAAGATGACATTATTAAATTAAAAATTATTCTTCTCTCTTAATTTTTAATGCTAACTTGAGTTTGTTACATTTTATGAAGCTTGAATTTGGAAATAAAATTAAGGACTAGATGTTTCCTAACTTCTATGCCCAATATCATAACTAATTCCTTTTGGTCACTCTCATGTGAATGGAAGAGTTTTTGTAGGGGTAGACTAATTTAAAGGTGTTTCTTCTGGGTATAAAATCACAGTGCAATAATGTGATTGTAATTTGGAATATACTCCTTTCTCAGGCTGTGATACTTTATACACCCTTTATACACTTTATACACTTTATGACCTTTGGACAGCTGAATTGAGTGTTATACAGGATAAAAGATTTCCAAAAGAAACAGAAATCAAATCAGAGAAGGCTGTGTTCGTGTTATTGGTTTTATTTGGTCAAACTTTGGTTATATGTATACTAGTAATTTTAATTCAGACTTGCATTTAGTGTGTTACTGTGATCAAATATGTATGATGCCATCCAGAATTTGTTACTGCAAGCTTGGATGTAGCTAGTTCTGGCCTGATTCAAAAAGATTTGTCTCTGAGATTTTCCTCCGTTTTCCACACTGTCAGTTTTATTCATCATCTGATGAAACCCAAGACTGACATTTAATGAATCATATCTTTTCCTAATTACCTTCTATTCCTAATTTATATGATTTGTAATCTATTGGCAGAAAGATACTGAAGATGAAGTACGAGATGTCATCCGCAGTAATCTTCATCTTCAGGGCAAGGTAATCTATATGCATTTTTTAAATGTGATTTTTCTTCCTTCAAAGTCGTGTGTTGGTGCCATAAAATGACAACCTGCCTTGGTTCATTAGGATAACTTGTAGTCCCTTTTTCTCTTCTGTCACGTAACTTGTTCATGTCAATTGCTAAATGGTAGGTTTTTGATGTATATATATATGTATTATGTATGATAACATATGGACCTTCAAATCCCTTGCTATGCACACCATTAATATGAAACTGGAGATGGAAGCAACGTCTAGCACTGTTTAAACTCCACCTACTATTATTTGAGATAAAATCTGCAAAATGCTCACAGTTACTTAGTTTCAATTTGAAGTGTAAAGGAAAAGGAAGCTTTGGCGTAATCTGTAAAGTGAAAAACCTCTAGTTTCCAAAGTTTTTTTCCTGGTTTTCAGCCTAGGGAAAAGAAAGTATTTTGGGGAAAAAAAATCAACTTTTCCTAATGAATTCCAGTTAGTACCAGATGAATAGCCCTAGGGAAAAAGTCCTGAAATGGCCAGTGTAGTTGAATTGTTTTATTAATGCTTCAAATAATGACAAAGAAGCCAGAATATGGAAGTATAATAAAAGTGTAATAAAATTACACCTCTCCTCTGTTGAAGGAAGATGGAATTGTACCTATTTATTTAGGATTGTCCTTTACCTTTTCCCCTGCACTATATTTTATTCACCTCAAGAAAAAACTAACCGGTATTTCCTGTGCTCATATAAAGGTCACAAGAGAATAAACATGTGAGTTGAAAATCTGGTGCTTTTTTATTGAAGGGTATTTAAGAATCATCCAGAATTCTAGATTCCACTGCAATCAATGCATGGCATTAATAAATTTTTTAAATGAGTTCCCGAATAATATGTGAAGATTAATCTTCTCCCATCATGTTTTCCATGTATTGCTGCCATGTCAAGCAAGATTATGTGGAGGTGGGGTTTCTGGGAGCTCACAAGAAGATGCATCATTTTGCAAAGCTAACAATTAGCATTCTTCATAAAATACTGCAAATAAAAATTCAATAGCTTTAAATTATAGGGATTGCACATAGAAAAGTTTATCACTGAAAGCAAAAGCTTGAAATACTTATCCTTATATAGCAAATATTGTTATATACTGGGAAGCAGAAGAAAACACACAGGCAAAGTACTAGGAAGAAAAGAGCATTTCTGAAGATCTTAATGTAAGCAATGTGCATGCCATGAACATAGAAACCTTAAATGTGAGGTGATTTTGTGTATAAACTTTAATAGTGGTTTCTTAATGACAAAGATAGATATTTCTATTCTGTTATTTCTGGTATGTCTATATTGTCGTTTTGTGAGCCATGCAGTTTTAAGTCTTGCCTGTCATTTCATGTTGCTATTTAGCCCTTTTCTTCCTGTTTTAAGTACTTCAGTTTCTATTTTGTTTCTTCAGTGTTACATATTGCTGTTAAGAAATTTCTGTCTGGAAGGAATGATACACCTTAATACTTTGACCTGTGCTTTGTCTTCAGAAACTTCCTGTGCTTCAATTAAAAGTTTACTATTATTAGGCAACATATCACCTCCTCTGTTTATACCACATGAGAATAAAAGCGCTTTTAAATTTCTTAAATTGATGAAATTTCACAGGGCCTTAATATTTAAGAAGGAAGTAATCTTAGCTAATCCAGCTGTAAGTGACTTTAGATTGTCCTGTGGAAGATGGAAATCAGAAAGAGAACCATATAATACATAGATAACAAAACTAAACAGCTATTGTAGCTGTCTTGATTTTATAGCTATTTACACAAGTTCACATAAAACCTAAGCGTGTATCTTAATTACTTTAATGTATAAAGTTAAATTCAGTAGTTATGTACAAAGTACAATGTAATGTATTCCATAATTCTCTGATGTCGCTAGCATTCAGTCATTGTTGTGACTGACTCAAGTACGTGTCAGGTACAGTCAAGTGTGATGTTTCTTGTTAAGGAAAATTATGCTCTCTTGCTCTGTGCATACACTACTCTTTTGTTGTCTGATTGAGTCAGACATAAAAGGAATGTAGGCCAAATGGTCTTATAAAGTTAAATTATGATTTAATGCTATGAATTAGTGTGTAACTTATGTTATATAACTTACATGTGAAATGGTGGTTGTGTAAAGTGGCTTTCAAAGCATAGGAAAAATACCATTTTTCGAAAGGCTGGTTTTGTTCCAGTCATAACAATATTCATTCTTCAAGTGGTGTTTTCTGTTAACCACTTGCTTCTCACAGACACCGTGTTCTGTCATTTATGTTAGAGCTAAAATTCAATTAATCTTGATTTCTCTTTGGAAAAATGCATTGTTTTAGAATCATCCTTCTGAATCTTTAGGCTATTAATGTTGTGGCATCTGTTTCATGCGTTTGTCTACCTTTGTCTACATTTGTCTTCACCCTGTTTCTGTCTTTCCTTTCCTTGCATGCCTGCATGCTGTTACTCAGTACTGAGCCTTTTATTTCAAGAAATTGATGACGAAACTTGCATTCATTTTGACATGGATGAAGCTCAAGTCACCAAAATCTTCTTCCAGCCATTCTAATTCACACCTTGAAATGTCAACTACTCATACCCTTAGAAAACTACCTATACAAAAAAGCTGTACCTTGATAGAATGTGAGGAGTCCTCAGATCAAAAGACATCTCCACCTGTGATTAAAAAGTGTTTTGTGGACTATCCATTCATGATGATCCAGTCAAATGCTCACACAAAGACTGTGGATGTGACAGTTGTTAAGAAATGGAAAAGCCGAAAGGTGGAAGAAATGCCTGCCAATCGTGGCTTTCTAGGTTGTAATAAGCTATTATTGAACGACTGTGTAAGTTTATAATAATTCCTGGAACTTGAGTAAACTGTGTATCTTAAGATGTGTTGTGGAGATGAAGTGGCATTATTGTCTCATCTTAGGCACAAATTGAAATCTGGATCCACAAAGATTTTTTAGACAAGTAAGTGTTTAGTTCACGCCTTACTTGAATCTGTAGTATTTGGGCCCCTAACTGCTTTAGGCATCCAGGCAAATGTGTCTTAAACATTAACTGCATTATCAGGAATGATCACTGGCCACAGGTCTCAGTAAAATGGATTAGGCATTGCATGTGTCGTCAGTGTCCCTGACACGGTAAATGGTTGCAAGCTGTGTTGCATCACCATTGATTAGCAGGTCTGGGGAGACAAACCAAAAAAGAGATCATTAATTGTAAAACAGAGAATTAAAGGTCAGTAAAAGAGAAAAAAATGAAATGTAAGGAGAAAATTTTTTTAAAAAAATTGATTTTTACACTTCTTTATAATTTGTAGGCTAATAAGCAAATGCATCTTTAATTAATTTTTCCTAAATTAGCTTGTCATTTTTTAGCTGGTAATTGGTAAAATTAGGATTTTCTAGCAATTGATTAAAAATTAAAAAATAGACATAAATAATAGGAATACTACTAATTTCCATGACTGAAAATGAAGTAATCCCAACTAGAAGAGCAACAGTTTCAATTGGTTTAATAATATTGGTTTAATAATGGGAAAGTCAGTGTACTAAATTATGCCTGTCCACTTCATATTCATTACTTTTCTCAAATAACATATTCATTGCTGGTGCCAGTGCTATTTTTTGTTCCATGAACATTTGCTAATTGTATGATTATTAGCATTTTAGTTCTCTGGAACAGGTTGCCCACAGCAACTGTGGATGCATCATTCCTGGAAGTGTTCAAGGTCAGGTTGGACAGGGCTTTGAGCAGTCTGGTCTCATGGAAGATGTCCTTGCCTATGGCAGAGGGGTTGGAACTAGATGGTCTTCAAGGTCCCTTCCAACCCAAAACATTTTATGCTTTTATGGAAGCTCTTAAAAATATTGCACAAATGAGTCTTTAGTTTTGTTCTCACAGGCAGTGTAGTGGATACTTTATGAGTTTGCCATGTAAAAGTGTGGGTTAGCCATATAAAGTGCTTCAGTTGACCTTTGCTGCAGTTTCTATACTAATTAAACTGAACCTATGTTTGGAACTTGGTGACATGTGAAATCTTTCTCCTGCAGCTTGAGGATCCCGCCATTAGGTGGCAGATGGCACTTTACAAAGATTTACCAAACAGGACTGAAGATTGCTCAGATCCAGAGAAGACTGTGGAAAGGGTCCTTGATATAGCTAATGTACTGTTTCACCTGGAACAGGTTAGACACATTTTACCAATTCCATTGCTTCTTAATCTGAATAAAAATATTTACCCTTTCATTTATACTTTCACCTGCTGTATTTAATGTTATATTCTTTTTTCTTTATTTTGATGGCTACTGCTTTTACATGCTTAGTCTTGTGTTTTCTAATCAAATATTACGGTCATATTGATCACACAGTGTGTTTGCAGCAGCTCCAACAATAATTTGTTTGACCAACAAGGCCAACTCATATATTCCTTGCTGCATTCAAAAAAGAGTAGAAGCAGGTTGGAGGAATTGTTTTTTTTCTGGGAAAGTTCTGGCAGGATCTTTAAGTTGTTTCAGAATCTAGTACAGAGCTCTATTATATTATCTAATATTTTTTTCATTAATATATGGACTTCCCATGTGACCGGAACTATAGTAAGTTTCATTTAAATAATTCTGTGTTTTATTTTGAGTCTTTCTTCCCACTAGCATCGTTCTTTAAAATTTGAAGTAAAAAGTCTCCTGTACTGATACATCTCAGTGGTCAAAGACTACTTGATAAATTAGTCTTGCCATTTAACTTATTTAATTGTTACTTATTTTGAATTCAGATTTACTCTGTGTTTTCCAGGGTTTCCTTTTTAAAATGTACTGAAGAAACAGGACATTAACTTGGAGGGTGTTGATGGGTTTGAGGATTGATGGATTTGAGGATGCAACTGATGGTTGTACACTATCAAATCAACTAGATCAGTTTATTTGACTTAAAAGCTTGGAACAAGTTTTCAGATCTGATGTCAGAAGTTTCCATATCATGATGATATCACTGGTTCAGTCAAGTAGGAACCTGAGAGATATGTGAATGTGCTCTGCAGCAAGTGTGTTGATGTGAATATTGCGTTCTGTCTGTTGCATCACACAACCCTTCTTAATATAGTTTACTGGCCTTGGTATGGACTTGCTTCAAGTTCAACAGCCTTACACAGTTTGGTAGAAGAGGATGAAGAGGAGTCAGTAAATTCTATCTGTTGCAGAATACTTGTGGAACGAGCAAAAAGTGATAGAATATGGAAGTAAATACATGTCAATCATGGTTTGCCAACTAAAGAGAGAGAGAGAGAGACAGGAGAATAGGTGCTGATTTGAAAAGATATAGGGTTGCTCTGAGGAAGGAAAAATAGGGGAAAGCTAGAAATGGGGGTAGGCAAAAGGTCTTGTCTTTTGCGCTGGTTTTATCAAAGTTAACTGAGCCAAAAGGAATGATTTACATATACAGAGCTGCATAATTCAGCTTGTATTTGAGTTCAAACAGCATATACCAATCTTGATTTCTGGCATTTTAGCTTTACTATCGTGTATATAAATCGATTAAGCTTGTGTAGTTTGGAGAAATTCTTCAAGTGAGTGAAACCCAAGGTACGATACCTGTCTTTTACGTGTTCTGTCATAGGATCAATCTGACAGCATATATAATCCAGCAGTAGTACAGAACAGGATGGATTCCCATTGTAATATCTGATCAACATTTAGGATCAGTCCTTCTGAGCAGACTTAAACAATGACTTGTCAAGTAAATGCTTTCTGCTTTCTTGCACCTATTTGTTTAAACAGTTAGCGCCTCAGCTTTACTTATCTTCTGTAGCCAAATGCTCAGGTGTTTTTGTTACTGAAATGGGTAATTTGGTGTTTTTAAAAATAATGAATATGTGAGCCCTGCATCTATTTTTATGATGTCTTGAGTAATCCTTTGCTCTCTGTATGCAAATCCTCTGTTTCCACATATACATTCTCTGAATACTTTCCTTATTGCAACTGGCAATGATCAGTTTATTTTGTATTTTCTTCCCATACACAGCTAACTTCTTTGTTTTTATTATTTTCAGAAATCTGCTTGTGTAGGCCGAGGCTATTTCTTTTGGGAAAGTATAGAAGGGTTTATAACTGTTTATGAAGATATTACTAATTACCTAACTTTCACATTTGGATTTGTCTGACTTCTAAATTATTAGTGCTGACTTTGTTTTGTGACTGTAAATAAGTTTACAGTGAGCACTTTTTTGTTCTTTCTCTTAACAAATATTTTTCATTTCTATTTTAACTTTTTGAAGGAACTTATTTAAGATTGTCACCATTTATTCTTACAAGTATAATTGCCTATATCACTGAATGCTTCGTAGTATTTTGTCTGTTTAGTTAAGTGCTTATTGTTTAACTGTGAGATTTTTCTGTATTTCACTAAACTAGATAACCCAATTTGGAGTGAATATCAAATCTACATAAACATCAGAATCATCATTATGTATTTTAAATATAATGCCTAACTTGGTTATGAGGGAGAATCACTAAGTCTTTCAAGATACAAATGTTAACTTTCATTGACTTCTTTGATGATGTTGGAACACAGAGGAGCTATTATTCCACTAGCATAGTTGTCTGTAAAAGAAACAACTCCCCTTCCCAAACAAACAACCAACCCCCAACAAAAGTAATCCCCTCCTTAACTCTACAAAAACTGTGTAGATTAAATCAAATTATATAATCTCTTTGGAAGACTTGTGAAATAAATCACAAAAACTGTAAATAGGCTGTGGAAAAGAAGTGATCTGTAGCATAGCCTGTAATCATGGCTCCCAGTTATCTAACCAGGCTATATATTGATGTATGCAGATACTCTTCAGCACCACAGTAGTAATTTTCTTCTGATGGAAACAAGGATGGAAGGTGGAAGAAACTAAAAGAGCAGAAGTTAAAGATGGAGCACAGCCAATTTCATTGCATGCTACTGTAAAGCCACAATGCAGAAAGATCTATCTTAAGATAGAGCTGTAGGTTTATGAAATGTAGCTGCAGTGTTTTGGAGTTTTTCATGTACATTCTAGCTGTGCTGATTCATGAAAGAGATTTAGTCCTAAGTCTTTGTGCTTGTTTCTCTTTTTTAAAGTTAGTTTGTTTCCATCGTAACTGATCACGGTAAACATTAGAAATAAAAGATGAATTGTATTTAGGACAATTCCTTAAAAATATTGTATGAGGCAATGTGAAGGTGTACAATTTACCTGTACATGTGCAAAAAGTTACATATAAAAGATAGAATGAGTGAATATTCTTTGTATTAAAAGTGAAGGTTTCCTGAGACACAGCCTTATTGGTGATAGTATTCTATCCAAAAGATAGAAGTAAAAAGAAGTAAAAAAAGGAGAATATCTGTATCATACCAGGAAAGGGAGATTTTTGCTTTATTTTCTAAATTCTGATTCTACAACTTGGTTGACTGCTTGAACTCTGTCTAGAACACTTTTCCTAATCTATTATTCTTCTGTTACCTTTCTACTTAATTTGTCTGTTAACTCACATTTTTACTAATATTACTATGTCCAGACAGTAGGGATGTTGCCACATCATTTATTTTTCCCTGTTTATTTTACGTAACAGGTTGAGCATCCTCAGCGGTCCAAAAAAGCAGTGTGGCATAAGCTGTTGTCTAAACAGAGGAAAAGAGCAGTAGTTGCCTGCTTTAGAATGGCACCACTGTATAACCTGCCAAGGTAAGAGCTATATTGTTCTTTCACAAATGCACTAATGTTTATACTGTACTATTTGGCAAGATCCAAAGGAAAAAAATCTAAACCAGTAGATAAACTGGGTGGTAATATAGTTTGTATATTACTTAGTTTTATTAGATCTAATTACTTCCTTCTATCTTCTGAAAAGAATAACAAAAAATATAATTTTAAATTTCTGATTCTCTCCTTCTGATATCATTCCAGCTGTTCCTCTTAGTATGTTTTCTTTTCTGAAAAGCAGATACCTTTCAGAGGAGATAAATGCAGAAACTCACATTGGTGTCACTAATATAATCTTGGGAGATAAATTTCCTCCTAAGTCATTGTATAGCTCAGGAAGTACAGAGTTAACTTCATTATTAGATGCTAGTTGTTCCATATGCAGGAAATAAATGGACACTATTTATCTGAAAACTTCTTTGTTTATTTATTGTGCACTTTTGGGAAGAGCATTTTATTAGAGAAGAATTACTCTAGGCATTTCACACCTTTTCCTGTGGCTCCTTTTCCTCTTCTTTCTTGTTCACTAGAGAATGGGATGTCTAGTCAAGAAAATTTCAGAATCCTGAGATTCTGGAAGGAATGGACATTCAGAAAAAATTATTTTTATTTAGTGCAATTTCTAGAAATAATTTTCAGAACACTTGTATCTGATCTTTTCAACATAGTAAAATTCTATTTTTTTTTTCCCAAAACTATGCATGTTGTTGTCATTACCACAGTTAGTAGGATGAATCTTGAAGTCTGTCTCAAGAGGCACTAGGGCATGAGAATCATAATACCTTAAAATAGACTGCCATGACAGTTGAGAATAGAACAAAGATATATCCATCTGTAGCTGTTGTTACTTTAACAAGTATGTCACCTACAAATAGCTAGCATTCCTCTATATTTTAATTATACTTCTTCCTTCTCAGTATATGGGACTGGGATTTGTTTAAAAAGATTTAGAGGCTTAATAAAATTCTTCATGGGGAATTGGTTGTCAGACATTCCATTTTGCATTGAGTCCTCAAGAAACAAATAAACAACAAAAAGACCCATCAGTGGCTTACCCTCTTTTGCCTAGCCTCATCATCCACTTAATTTCATGGAGTTTGCAAAAAAATTGGTTTATTGTTTTAGATAGTCAAGTCTAATGCTGAATATTAAAAAATGCAATTATTGGAGCACAATCCAAAGTTATCTATTGCTGTTATCTTAATATTTAAATTAAAATAATATGAAAATATATTAAAAATAAACCCCACTAATGTGGCAATTTATTTTATTTATTTATTATGTTTAAATGTCTTTAAAATTCTATTTATTATTTATTCCTAAGTCATTATGACTATGTTTAGTATCAGTTTTACAAGTTAATGGGACAAGTTTTAAATAGAACATTTTAATGTAAACCTATTCTTTTGAATGGATGACCATAGAAATTTTGTTTTGTTTTTAAATTAGAGTTTTAATGATTGGACAGTACTTCAAGCTAAATGAAACTCATATTGACCAAGTCTTCTCTTTAAAAGTTTACAGCTTTTGTTTTAAATGTCCCTTTCTAGGCACCGAGCCGTCAATCTCTTTCTTCAAGGCTATGATAAATCTTGGATTGAAACAGAAGAACACTATTTTGAAGACAAACTGATAGAAGACTTAGCAGTACGTCTGGGTGCAGAGGGTCGTAGGAATGTGTTAGCATTCATCTTGTATAGTAATACTTATGTCTGTGAGGTACCTAAGACATCACCTAAGTGATCTCTACCCAAAGGGACAAGCTATAACTAAGTCACTCTGACAGGTTTTAAAAATGACAAGTGATGGAGATTCCAAAATCCCCTCAGGCAGTCTGCTTCAGGGCTTCAAACACCTTTTATAAATCTTTTATCTAAATTACATACCAGTTGCTGTAATTCCTCAATCTCTTATCTTCTGACCTGTGGAAAAGGGGAACAGCCTATTCCCTCCTGTTTTGCAACTTTGTGTATTTTAGGACTTCATAATCCACATTAAAGCCATTTAAGTCAAAAGGTTAGAATATGAAACTAGAGGAATTCTGGTCTTAGATTAATCAGTTCCTCAGAAGCAGACAGTCTGCTTCTTCTTCACAGAAGAGCCATGTCTTTAGCCTGGTAAATCCCTGTAGTGATTTTCAGTTAAGTTTTGTTCCTCAGTTCTTACAATCGCTTCTCTGAAATGTAGTTCTTTCATAGGTCGGGCAAGAACTAGTACTAGGAACTGATTCAGCCCCTGAGAGGCCCAACAGAACACAGTCTGAGACCAGTCTTTTTATTGTGAGAAGAGCCTACTCTCTGCAATAGAGAGAGGAAAATTGCTACTAGAAAAAATAATAGTTTGCTTTTGCTGTTTGAACCTTATGCTTAAAACCAGCTACCTAGGTTGTGAAGAATTTTGAAAATATTTCAAAATATTTCATATATCCCACCACACTGCAAGTGTTTTAAATAATGCAAGTTCATTGTCAAAAATAATTATGTTTTAGCAGTTGGGAGCATAAGTGTGCAGATATGGAATATGGAACAACATAGTTCTTTTTATGTGTGCATGTGTGTGCAAGTATGTACATGTAAAGAAATAACCCAGCATGATCATTTAGTTACACTCACATAAAGGGTTGTCTCCTTACCTCCTCTATGAAACTATATATTTGTTAAGTTTATGAAGAACTCCTTTCCAGAAGGTAGCTTGAGTGGAAAACTGTCTCAGAGAAGACAGAAACAGACAAGACTGGCTTCTATATCATCCCTTACTAAAAGACTACATGCATTCCCTTGAAATTCCTCAAAGATACAGATAAGTGTGCATCCATCGTTCTCTTAAGGAGAGATGTACTACATCTTTCATTGAAAAGAGAAAAAAACCCCTATCTGTCTTTTAAATAAATTTCCATCACATTCTTGCTGCATTAGAGCACTCACCTGGAGAGTGAGAGTTTGAGGTTCTGTTGCTCAGCTCTGTGGAGCTGACCCAGAGTGCTTAGTGGACTACATGAAAGACGTGGTTGTGTTACTGATGAAGGTTCCTCTTAGAGAAACTGTACCCTAGTGTAGCAAGGAGTTAAAAATTTGTTGGACTGTCAAGATGGAATCACAGACCAGGCTGTGGTGGCAGAACTCATCTTAAAGGGCAGAAAGGAGGAGCCTTGAGTTCTCTGATATATACTTGAAGGATTGTCTGAAGTTTCTGACCTGTTTACATATTAGGTAGAAAAATGGATCAGTCCAGAACCCAGAAACTATAGCCAAGACTTCCTGTCCTTCAACTCTCTGTGGTTAATAAACTACAGTCTTGTATGCCATAGTGAGTTCTTTCTCAATACTGAGAATCTTAAGCATTCTTTTCTGGTATAAAAATAATAATTTAAAGGGAGAAATACAGTCAAAGCTGACTTTGCCTCATTCCTGACTTTGCCAGATCTAGGCAATTTATAGACTTGTGGTAAGAGCTTTTTCTGGGATGTGGAAGTTGAGCATTTCCATCCCCTGAAAGCAGAGAACTAGACTTTAAACTTGCTGTTTTGTTCCGTGAATCTTCCATCCTTAAGTCTGTTACACAAAAGTGGCACTGCTTCTCCCCTTTATGATATTAAAAGAAGAAAGTATAAACTTGTCCTCTTTTTGAGGAGCTTAATTCTGCTAATTCTTAACTCTAATTCAACAAATCAAGCCTCTAAGGGAACTAGATTGTAAATGTTTGATGTTAACACCATAGGATATTCAACACTTTTTATTAATTGTTAAAATGCTTCTACTTTAATAAATAGTTTATACGAACACTTAACCTTATTTGATATAATAGTTGATTAGTTTTATTGCTAGAAATTAATGGACATAACAACTTATAAGAACAATGCTTAATAGCCATTTAAAAATTAGATTTTATAAAATTGAATGCTTTAAACCTTCAGCATTTTTTTACCCTCTTATGTTGCATTCAGTTAAAGATTTTTATTTTACAATTAAATAACTATAGGGGAAATGTCTCAAAACACTGAAAATTAAGAATATTTATTTCCCAGAAATGTCATAAAATCATTTGATTCCAGTGTTCATGCTGTGCTTAATAATGAGTTCTGCTTAACTCGGTCATTGGTGAATTTGATCTTCCATTAAATTTTAGTAAACCTATGAAAGCTAGTAACACATTAACACAACTTCTGACCTTTTACTTTATCAGTTTTTATAGCATTAGAGAGGTATTCTGGTTAATAACATTATGAAGTATAGAATACTGCCAGTTAATTAAAGAGAAAGGTCAGGATTCTAAATGAGATTGAAATAAAGCGCAAGGGAAGACATCCATAATTGTTCTCATGTTGTTATTGATACTGTAAATATTTTCACATACTGCAAAATGTAAAATGAGCCTTGTATGACCATCATAGAGTAGCATGTGAAAAAATGGTTGTGCATAGATGTCAACTAAAGTGAATTCTCAGCTGCAGCCACTCATGTTTGATACAGCTGAGTGGAAAAAGATGGATTTCATAGGCACATAGAAAGGGTAGTGCACATAGAGATCTATAATCATTCCCACAGGAATCTGTTTGTCATGCAAAGTTTATTTTCTCAGTAGGCAAAAAATCCATTTTACTTATATCTCTTACGTCACCAACCCATCCTTATTGCTTAACAGATAAAATTTGATAATATAATAATGTGTTATTTGTGCTGTCTTACTTGTGCCGTGGAATTCTTTTTAACTGTATTTTAGTGTATACTGCTGGGTGAAAACAAGGAAGAATAGTGGGCATAATTTATGCAACCAGTTTTCTTTGAGCTACTAGATTCTTTGTAGAAAAAAATGTCTGGACGAAGAACTTTTGTTACTAACTTGATATGCAAAACTTACTTTCTGAAATGTCTTTTTGCAAAAGATGAGAAGTCAGAGGGCAGATTTGTATAGATTCTTTTCAAAACGCTGCTTTGGTGGTTGACATTATAATCTTTAGGACTACATTTTTATTTTAAATTAAACTAACTAGAGCTATCTAAACCTGAGAGCAAAATAACCACATGAAAAAAACCTGACCTCTTTATGCATTGTATCTTATTGAATGATATATAATACTTTTTGAACATTACAGTTTTGTCATCTCCTAAAATTCTACATCCTGTCAGCATTACTGTCGCTGGTACATATGGCTCCTTCTCTCTAAAACTATTGGTGAGCTTCAGATTTGGATTTCTTCTCCTTTGAAGTCTCTCGGAGTTCCTCAGTGAACATTATATCTGACATAAGACTTGAAACAGAGGATTCTCATTTTTAGCTGATGAAGCTGGTTAACATAGCGAGCAACAAACAATATTATAGCAAATGATGGTATCTGGTTATCACTGGTTTTGGATAACAAAGTAAAAGATTGAAGTTATTTTCAGAATCTAGGGAAGAGGGTTAGTTTTTATGAGGAGAGGAAATCCAAAGCTTTGCAAGTGGTATCATCTCTGTGAGTCTTCATGGTCATAAACACAGTCAGGGTTCAGTATTTTCACACTTTGCTTGGAACTTGCTTCCTCCTGGTTGTCCAAATCAAAATTATAGTTAATATTTAATATTTAGTAAATTGCACAGAGTAAAACATTTTTTACTATAGATAATTGAATATACTTTTAAAATCTTTTTTTTTTCTCTAAAGAAACCTGGGGAGGAACCACCAGAAGAAGATGAAAACCTTAAAAGAGTTGATCCTTTACATCAACTTATTCTGCTATTCAGTCGAACAGCCTTGACTGAAAAATGGTAGGGATGGTGTGAGAGACTTCAGAGTGTATGCAGATTTTCAGATTACTCCTGTATTTGAAGTTATATATGTCCCTTTTCAAGTGAGATTGCATAGGCTAGGCCAAAACATGTGCATATGAACATATGGTGAGTTCGAGTTATGCTCACACCTCTTTAGCTTGTGGCATGTAAAGAGATTTTAACACGACTTTTTCACAGTTATGAATGCTGTGTTCAGGATGTACTACACCTCTGTCTTCTGTCTGTGTTCTCTATTGACAGTTATATTCTAAATGTGAAATACAAGTATATTCTAAGTATAATTGAAAAATTAACGGTGTTCATTTTTATGAATTTTTATGAATTCATGTTTATGAATTTCTGAGTACTTTGTTTATAGCTGGCTCTACTTTTCCATTTATATGAGTTAATCAAGTCTTCATTTTCCAAAAATACTTTTGTAATTAATTGTGAGCATAGAAATCCTTTAGAAATATTTGTAAGATATTTAAAACTATTTTAGCACTTCAGTTCTACAATAATGACTCTAATCTTGTTTATTTTCCCTTTCCTCTCTCTATTAACCAGTAAACTGGAAGAAGATTTCCTGTATATGGCTTATGCTGACATTATGGCAAAGGTAACTTGTTTGATATCTTTTGCGTATTTTCTGTTTTAATAAACCTAATGAAGAAGATCAAGAGAAAATATTTGTTAAGTGAAGGAAGGCTTATGCCCTCCTCCCTCGCAACTTATCAGTAAATGTTTTCTTTCTACATGATATCAGAGCTGCCATGATGAAGAAGACGATGATGGTGAAGAAGAAGTAAAGAGTTTTGAAGTAAGATTATACTTGTTTTGTTTTTCTTGTCATGTTAGACATTATTTCATAGCTTCCAGCCGACATTTATGTTTCTTGGTTCATGGCTTACTGCAGCTTATTATGCCAGTGAACTGCATGTCACAAGCTGGATTGACAGATGTGTCACCAGATTAATATTAGTAAAACAAAAACATACATAGTATCACATAATATAAGATTATATAGAGAGTAGTTGAATGGATTTTACATACTTATCTCATTGACTTTAACTTTTTAGTTGTTGAAGATAACTGTTATGGCTAGTAACTTATAATAGAAGTCTGATAATAACAGACTGTATCTTTTAAAGTACTGTGCCCTACCTTTAGTTTGGATTGTTAAAATACTGAAAGAATAATGCTTTTTGCAGTAGTCATTTTCATTCAGTACCAATAATTCATACGGAAGTTTTATGTTCACATGTATATTAGTGCTTCTTAATAAAATATGAGCTTTTATTCATCAGTACTGCTAAGCTTTTGCTTATGTTGAGAGTAGGAAATCTGTATTTATTGTTGTTCGATGTTGAGTTTTAGTGATCATCACTGTATAAGGATATGCACAAGAGTTGACTACAAGAGTAAGAGATGAGTCCTTGTCATGTGTTTGCTCTGGGATCTGTCTCTCTTTTTCCATTAATAGAATGGAGTCTGTTAAAATTTGTCTCTTCTGAGGGACACTGAGGGAATTATTTTAACGTATTTCATAATACTACAATTCTGACATTAAAAGTTGTCTCATATCTTTCAAAGCAGTTAATACTTATATTTCATATCTTTACTAAGCCACAGTAACATGAAATATGTACTTTTCTTATTTCTTAAAAATATTTCTAAATGTACTGATTGATTTCATATAAAACACTCTATGCTGTTTTGATTTTCAAGGAGTGGTTTGGGTTATGTTTCCTTTTACTCATGTTGTTTTGTGCACATCAAATGTTCTGTATGTTTTCTACATGATGCTGCATGAGATAGCACTGAAGTATTTAACTACATATTCCCTATTTGACTGTATACAGAAATCAGAAAGAATAGCAATACTAAATTCTTTTCAGTCACTCAGAAGTTCAGTTGAGTTACAACTAATATACCCAATATATAAATTTTTGTTTCTTGGCAAATATCTAAGTATGAATCCAAATTTCAGTGTTCTTTTTTTTTCCCCCTGAAAATGCAATGTGTGACATATCATTGACTAAACAAAGAATATTTGTTTCTACGAGCTTCTTTCACTTAGCCCATATATGCTTGTTAGGTGTCAAAAGTCTTGTGCTTATAAATGTGAAAATCAATAAATAGAAAGTCATTGAAATAACTGAAAAAAATTATCAGTAAGGAATTTATTAGTGCTTCTTATCTAAATTTTAATGGGTTCTTTGTTCAGCATTCAACTTTTTTGTTTTGAGAGATCTTATTTATTTGTTTTTCATTATTATTTTTTCTATAGCTGTGAAACTTATGTTTAAATAATGTATTTATATGTTCAAAAGGCAATTTTGTGTATGTATTTGGTCAGTCACCTGCAGAAAAAAATTTTGGACTTCTTTTTCTTATTACTATTTCGCTTCTTGTCCTTGCCCTTCCTTAAGGTGACAGGATCACAACGCAGCAAGGTAAAACAAAAAAAAAATATGTGTGTATTTGTCTGGGTCTAATTTTGTGATTTTTCAGGCCCAACATCTTGGATAAGTTCAACTAAAGGGTCTTGAAAATGTTTTTAACATTTCAGTTCCAGCATGACATCTCTACCAAACTCTTCTTGTGCACAAACTCTCTAAAGACTCCAAGAATTATTTATGCAGAATATGTCATATAAAATAGTGTTACCGTTTTGGGGGAAAACAGACTTTTATTTGACTTATTCATATTGTTTTGTTGCCTTTTGTGCATCAGTTTTCTTCTTTCTGGTTATAATTTAATCTGACTGATTAAAACAATTTATTTGACTCTTAAGGGAAAGTAGTTGGACTTTTTTTCTGTATCTTAGCAGACAAACACTTCTGATACAGTGGTAGAATTCTGTTTCCAATGTTTATCACAGAGAGAGCATCAATCACAGTTCATCTCTGATTCAGATCCTTTGGAATTGACTAAGTCCTTAGCCTTCATTATGACAGTATTTGATAGAAACTCCTTAGCTACTCCTTACCTGAAGTGATTCCTAGTTGTTCCAAGTTTTCTCTAAGAACATAGAGGCAAGAGCTCTGAAAGTTCACAGTGTGAATTATTTTATTGGCTCAATTTCTTATACAGTCTGTTGTGTCCCATCGTGAAAGTCTCACCATTTGTCTCTATAAGGTGTTCCATGGCTTATTCAGCAGCCTACTTGCCTACTTTATGCAGGTAGAAATCTTAGTTCCCATTGTTGACTCAGGCTGCTTGCTGATAGTGCTGCAAGGTTGATACTCTGAGAGAAGGTGTGGTGTGTGAGGTCACTAGTTTTTGTTTCTGAGATGTTTAAATACAGTTATTTGTGCTAAGTAGAGATGACTTACTTGAGATTTGGAATGCACGGATTTAACTAATGGTCAGACTCCAGTCAGTAACGTCAAATTTCATTGCCTGTGGCAATGTAGGGAAACAATTGTAAACTTCTCCATGGAAAGAGCAAGATGATTTTGGTGTTTTGTTTGCTAGCCTTCTGTTAACATTCAGATCACAAAAGAAAGGGGTTCCCATACAGCTATGGGAAGAGATGTATTTCAGGATCAGCTTTACCACATACTCCTTCAAAAATTTGCACAGATCTGTTCCACCTTCATACAAGAAAGGCATTATCCTGGAAGATGAGTGTACAAAGATTCACAAAAAGTTATTTAAAAAGTATTATAAAGCCACAAACACAAAGTGCATATTACAAAACTCTAAAGGAAATATATAAGCAATCTAATAATATAATTTCTTTTATTTTTAATTCAAATAATGCAACTATTCACATACTAAGTATCTATCACTCTGCTTACCTGGTTACATACACTAAATGTTATATGCTCCATAGAAAATTTTCTGTCTTACTGACTGAGGAGTGTTTTAAAAGGGAAAAAGAAAGCACAACAAGAAACAATTCTTGCTTCTTTCAAACGTGGCAGGAAATAGTTGTACAGATATGAAACCAGATATACCAGCTGTCTCTGTGCGTGTGTGTGCATTTGTGTGTTTCTTTGTGTCTGGCAGTCTGCCTCAAAATCCAGTGTTGAAGGCAGTTCTTTTAATCCGTGCTATGTGTGCATCTGAAAAGACTGACTGTTCAGTTTGTATGGGAATCAAACTCTACTGCTCCTCTAGGCTTTAAAAATGTTTGACGTTTAAAGTCCTAAATCTTTTCACAGAGCAACAGAGACATTTGAGCAACTTTAGAATGCCAAGTGTATTTTATTGACAATTTTCATACCCATATCTGGTGCAATGTAGTCTCATTTTTGTACAATTAATCTATACTGGGATCACTGTGTGGGCAACAGGGAGGTGACAATATAAATCCACAATAAAGTTGTCTGTGTCCTACTATGTTCCTGTCTTGTTTACCTGCTACTATTTGCTTTGAGTTATAACAATTGTACTTGCCCCTTGCCCTTTGTCTCTAAGTTAACTTTCTGTCATATTGAACAAATGCTCAATTGTCTCCCTATAGAATTGGTGTCACAGTCCCTTTTGATTCTGTCTGGTAGAAAATTCTTTCAAATTGAACCATTTTACTACTGAATGCAAATAGTTTTCTGCATCTGAGTTGCTGACTCTGCTGGTTGCTACGTATTAATATGTTCTAAATATGTGCGGGATGGGAACTCAGACAAAAGAGTCAAAATCTATTTCATATTTTTAAACTCAATTGTATTACATTGATTTAAATTGACTCTTCAGAGAAGAAAAGAAATGGGGGAAATAGAGCTTCCTTATGCTAGTTTTTTTTATTCCTGTTATTAGTAGCAACTTTGTTGATAGACTTCTGTATTCGCTACTTTTTCTGTCAAAATGATGCATTATGCTATCACTTATCTGAGGCACAGAAAGATTTTCAGTTTTACATACAAATAATGCAACCTCTTAAAGCTCTAGCCTGTTGAACATGTTACTGTTGTCTCTTACTGTCGCAAATCCTGAATAAACAGAGTAACCATACACCATGTATTTACAATAAGTAACTAGTGTTGCTCAAGGATTACAGGAATTAAGGTCAGACTCCATAATCAATTTATCAATTCTTAGGAATTAAACATTTCCATTAGTATGTAAAGATGTGGTTTTTATTAGTTTTTCCTATCTGTAATGGAATGTGTGCAACCTAGTACATGGTTTTCACTCTAAAACTACAGGATGAATTATTTATGCATAGACTCATAGAATAGTTTGCATTGGAAAGGACCTTTAAAGGTCGTCTAGTCCAAATCCCCTGTAATGATCAGTGATGCTTCAATGATGAAGTCCAAAAGGAGTAATTTAGGGAAAAATCAATTTCATTTGTGGAGCATAAACCAGCATATACTGAACTTAAAGGGTTAAATTCTAAATAAAGATGTATATAAAAATACATACATAAAGGTTTTGCATGAGTACCTGATGTTTTAATTACATAGGTTTTACTCATGCATGTCTGACACCGAAATGAACACAAGTTTTGCCAGTGTAAGGCTCGTCTAGTAGAATTTGTTCTCTGGACTAAATAGAAGTCTTGAAAAGTATAAAATATGAAGACAATTCAAAGGAGAAGGATTCATATTCTAACAGTTGAGTTGAAAGTAATTTCTTCTCTTTCCATCTTTTTGTTCATTCTCTTTAACTTAATTTCATGATTTCATATTAAAAAAAAAAAAAAGAGAGAATGCTTTGTAAAAGTGGGATCTTATGCCAGAGGCAGTCTGTGGCTTGGAGCTTAGTGGTGACAGCAAACAAACCTCTCCATATGTCTTAGCTCCAATAGAGAGTCCAAGTATCATTGTCTGTATGGGTTACAAAAATGAAGAATTTCAGTGACATGCTTGTCAGTTAAAGCTTCTCTTTAGTTTTAGCAAGTTTGTTGCCTACAGATCCAAACAAAAAATTGTGGTTTTTTTCCCCAATGTATTTTGGCATACGATTGCTTATAATGACTTAACACCCCCCCCCCCAAAAAAAAATAGATTAAAGTAGGAAATGTTTGGGTCTCTGCTTTTAAAGGATATATTTCAAGAGTTTCCTTGATTTGGTAGGTTGCTGGAAAAAGTCTATGATATGAGAATACATGTATATACATGTCTAAGTAGTCAGCTTTTTCACATGTGAATGGAAAACATCCCTGATAAGATAGATTTGGTCTTCAATGAGGATTTTTTTGGTTTTGTTTTTGCCTTTTTTTTTTTTTTAAATTCTGGTGAACTATTTTAAATGTTTCATTTAGGAAGTACTTTGTTATTGTTGTGATGGTTTTGTAAATGACAGAAAACTCAAACCATTGCCTAAATATTTTGGTAGTTTTTTTGACATCAACAGGCAAGCAAGTGGATAAAGTGCAAAAAGCTGAAACTGGTAGCACAGATAACAGTGTAAGCACATCTTAGAGAAATGGGCATACCTTAATTATTTAGTATACTTGTAGGCAGTGGGTGGCCCACTTCTTATAAGTGCTGCCATCACACATATGTTTTATATATATGTATTAACTTTTCATGGAGAAAGCAGCAGTAAAAAAGCATTATCAACCTGAAGAAGGAACCATGATCTTTGGGTGTTATCATCAAAGACTGGTTTTAGAAGAAATGCTTTTGGTGTTTCTTTGTTGGTGTATTGGTTTGGTTGGTTCGTTTTGGTTTTCTTTTTTTGCTCTGTTTTGTTACTAATTACCCAGACATCTTGATTTCCATTGGAAATGTCAGTCCTCTCATTTTAAGCTGTTCGGCAATGCCTCTTTTGACTGTTCTTCTATTGTGCCATTGCAAGAAGTTAGTCTACAGATTACTCAGATGCGTCCTCACTGTAAGCATACTTATAAACTCATCAGAAAATATCAGATAATGAAAGTAGTATAGCTGACATTAGGCTTGTGAGTAATAAATTTTGTAGTGAAAGAAAGATGAAAAATTGTTGAGTCTAAAAGTAACTAGAAATAGGAAAGAGTTTTTAAGAAAAGAAAAGAAACACTGATCAGTTTTCAGTGACATCTGAAGCAAATGAAAATATTTTATTGTAGCTATTTGGAACCTGTGATGTCATGATTTTGTCATGATGGTGGTTTGTGTGTGTGGTGTGTGTATGTGTGTGTGTGTGTGTGTATGTTTCTGTTTTGCTTTTGTTGAACTCCCAGGAAGAGGTTTAAACATGAAGGCAAAACTTTCAAACCTTAGCATGGCTAAATATGAAGCAACGCTGCCATTTTTTTTTCCTTTTTGTGCCTCCATCTAGATCTGTCACATTATTTAAAGCAATTTAAACCGCAATTTAACCACAGGAGAGCTAATAGTGTGAAAAGAAAAACAAAACCTGATGAATTTTGTTTCCGCAGCACGATATTATCAAAGATTTAAGAAACAAATTTGCCAGCCTCGGCGAGAACTCTCTGGTAACAGCATTAATGTCTGTGTTGGTTTGCTTTTGAGTTAAAGGTTTCTTTTTCATTCATTTGAACATATTTCTCTTTTATACCTCTTCTTTTTTAATTTATTATTCATATCCTCTATTTAGCAAGCCTTCATTTTTTAAACCTCTTCCATCTTCCAATGTATTTTTTCCGTAACTTGGATGGAAAGTTTATGGCAGCAAAGCTGTCATTCTGGCTACTTCTGCTGCAGCTGTTCCTGCTTTTAGGTCATACATGTTTTGGGCGTTGTGTTTTTGGACATGATACTAACTGACTGTGTCATGTTCCTTTTGAGTAAGCTTTTTACCACGCCATCTGATGGACTCACTGTCATAGGGCTCTATGCAACTTCCATTTTGCAACTTATACTGCTTAGTCATCCTCAATTCTCCAGCAAACTTCAATTAACTTGATGAAAGTTCAAACTCATCTGGAATTAACTGTGCCTTTATGTTTGCTCTTTATGCTCTTCTTTATGTTTTCGGTAGTAGTTTAAATGACAAAAAACAAACTTCACCATTGCTCAAGCAACGCCATGCAGTATTGTTTGTTGCCGCTAGAGATTGCAAAATATAAAAGCACAGTGTATTCTATCAAATATTTTGTTAGCAGGGTGGGCAATCTATATTGTAATATAATTATATGTTTTGAAAAAAATTCTGAGATGCTTCTGTTACTCTGGTATTCAGCAACAACTTGCAACTCAAGAGCCACATACTGAGCAGTATGAAGTTATGGTCACGCTATAGAAGATAATTAAGAGTATGAACTGTTGCACAAAAACACGGCATAAAAGTGCAAGTTTGATACATGCAGTATATATATATATATATATAATGAACATGGGCTTTGAACAATTGAGATGACTCTTTCCAGATAAACTGCTAAAAGCATATTAAAGAAAAATACCAAGTGGACCTTATTTCTTGATCCTGTTAAATATTTGTTCAGTAGCATTGTATGTATTAAAATGGTCCATGATGTTGCCATAGAGCCCATATACTAAGAGAAAACCAAAAACTTTTGGAGGACTGATAGTAACTGAATTCTCACTTTAAATGACTGGAATTTTTATTCAGGAAAAAGAAATGGAAAAGCAAAAACTTTTGTATCAACAAGCCAGACTGCATGATCGGGGTGCTGCTGAGATGGTTCTGCAAACCATCAGTGCTAGTAAAGGTAAGGTTTTGGTACGTAGATTAAATTTTAAACCTTATTTCTAATGAAGTTTGAAATGATTGTGTTTTTTATTGGCCAAAACCTGCAGATGTTAGGCCCTGAGGTTTGCTTTCAAAATGAGTTTCAAAAATTGCTGACAGCTAATCCAGAAAAGTATTATGACTAGGTCTCGAGAGTCTATTGTTTCTTTGGTAGTTATTATTATTTTTTCTAGTGCTAGTTGAGAGGAGGTGTGAAAAACTTCATCACTTTAGCAGTATGCCATGACAAAAAGGCCCTCAGATTCTGGAATGTGTACAGTTTTGGAGTAGATGTAGACTTCAGTCCTTTTATTATTCCCCAAATATCTGCTTTATTGGTGTACTTTGATAAAAAATTTCAGAAGTGTAAACGATGCTTTTGTCCCTTAGAAACCATCTTACTCTAAGGTGTGATACTTTCATTTTTACTTCTGTGGTTTGTTTCCACAGTAGTGATGTTTTAAAAATTCCTGTTTACAAATTTTGTTTACTGTGACTAAATGCTTGGATCATGTAATTTTCTGAAGAAACTGGAAAAAAAATCTGGACTGGCATGCAGAGGAGACACATTGTTCAACTTGATAGCTAGCTTAAAATTGTGCACCCAGCCTTAAATCAACTGTTGGATGCTCTAGCAGTTGAAACATGATTTATTTTCACTGAGTTCAGTTCTTCCTGCCTTATATCTTACCTCTTTTGTGTGCTGCGTATACATTACACTATGTCTATAGGCACTCGGGAAGATATTAAGTCACACTAGAAATTATGAAGAGTCTGCTTTACAAGTCATTGAATGGTTAAATTAATAGAACATTCTTATTTTATATATGATCTAAACATGTATTTTAAAATAATTTTTAAGGTGAGATGGGGCCAATGGTTGCAGCTACCCTAAAGCTAGGAATTGCCATCTTAAATGGAGGAAATTCTACTGTTCAACAGGTAAGGTATTAGTTTCTTTTCACCCACTCTAGTCAGTATAGATCTTTATACCATGGTCATTATTATTGTAGTAGCGCATTACACAGTGTGGCTATTTGTCACATGCTGTTTATCCTCTTACTCTTGTTCCCAGAAAAAAAATAGTATACCAAAGTATCTTGTTTGGTAGGTATCTATTTCTTATTTGTATACAAGGCTAAAAGAAATTTGTTTTGCACTTGAGGTGGAAGGAGGAAGTTTTATGTCATCTACTTCTAGAGGAATTCTTTGGGAGGGAAGAGAGTAGTTTGCCATTGTCCTATAGTCAGCAGAGCAAAATTACTGGCCCCAACCTTCACCAAAAAGAATGATATACAATTTCACAAGTCCTTAGCTTATGCAATGGAGAGTCTTCCTGATAAAAGCAGAGTACTCAAGCTTGATTCATCAATCTATAAGATAATTTGGTGATCAGTGGACAAGTCTGATACGTTAAGAGTATCCTGTTGAAGAGACTGATACAGGGTACATTCAGTGTACTTTACTAGTATAGTATAGTACTAGTACTAGTACAACTATACTAGTTGAAGATTCCTGAGTCAAGAAGGCTTCATAGCTGCCATTCCTAAATTACTGTAGGACAGTTTGAAGTATACAAACAACTGGAAACAGCTGAAGTCCCAAATTAAGCAGACACTGAAGCAGCTGAATGCAAATAATGTTCTTTTCTGGGGCTATCGTTATGAGGAATTGACCAGAAAGGCTACAGATTGTGCTGAAAATATCTACTTGAACCAATGCCTGTTCTTTGTGATGTCATGATATTAAATTAGGAAAATCATGACATTTGTACATAGTAATTTAATTTGAAATCCTACAATCAATTTTGTTTAATTATTTGATAGTCTTAACTGATCAGAATGCAGGAAACAATTATTAGTATGGTTACATTAATACTAATGCTACTAATCTAAATGGCATACTTAGACATATAACATGAAAGCATCAGTAGTACAGTTTGAATTCCTGTTTTTTTGAGTTGCCTCATTTCTACCTGTTTTCTCTACTGTTATGCTCATCTTTCCAATTTTCCCTTAGGTCCTAGAATCAACTCTTCAATCTTCCTTGGGAAGCATGATATGGGTGGGGGGAGAGGTACAGAAGTGGTTTTGAAAAGGCATCACCATCATCCTCTGGAGTTCTTTGCTTTGATTAGTGTACTGCTGTTGATGGGGGTATTCTTTTTCTGTGATCTTGTGTCTACTTGGGATTGTGCTGATATGTTTTGTTAATACTGTATGCTTATGTGCACTTCATTTTGGAGGTTACTTATTATTCACTTTTTCTATTATTTTTGCTATTTGCAAAAATAGTTTTACCTCATTTGTAACATGAATTCTTGTAGCTTTCCTACTAAGATTGATCTTCAAGTTTGTGATTTTTGCTCACAACTGAGACTTCTGGTGTCATCCGCTATCATCACTCAACAACACATTGCATTCTAGAATAAAAGTTCACTCCACTGAATAAATTCTTGTTATTACAATCTGTTTTCAGATAGGTATTATGCATTGCAATAAAGCTAAAACAAATTTAAAAAATGCTCAAATTGCTATTACAACTAAAATAATTTAAAACAAACTGAGGCTATAAAAAACCCAGTCTGGTGTTGAAACAATAATGTCAATACAAATTTTTGGCCTAGTAGTGGCAAGATAGCATTTATATTAAACACTGAATTCTGCTGGCTGTGTTGACTTTAGTTACTATTTTTATTTTTAATGCTTTAGGAAGGAATATCCGAAATAGATGGCGTTTTCTGTAAAGTTGAGCATTAAATATTATTTTTGGGTTTGATACCTGGATTTTTCTCTGCAGGACACTTATCCAATTTGTAAATATTAGAGACATTTCCAAACACCAGCATCACTAATAATATAGAACCTATATAGTATTAGGTTATCTAAATTAATACATACGGATAATAGTTCTCTGCATAAATTCTTTGTGTTTGCTGCAGAAAATGCTTGACTACCTCAAAGATAAAAAGGATGTAGGATTCTTTCAGAGCCTTGCTGGTCTTATGCAATCCTGTAGGTAAGAAAGTATCTACTTTAAAAATTTATTATTTTGGATTTGTATTGTATTCCATGGGATTTGTAATTTTGGAAAGATACTCTACATAGTTCTTACAAACAGCACTTGGGGCTTGCAATGTGCTAGATTTGGGATAAAGGATGGGGTGGTGCTTGTGGTGTGAAAGCCTTTGTGATTTGGATCTACCGCTGTAAAGGAGCTCTTGTCACAAATGTTTATGTAATTCATGTCTACCTGAGATATGCCAGAAAACTACTCCAGAGTTAGGAGCATTCCTCAGAGGCAAATCCATAACTCTGGAGGTATTCTGTAATCCTGCAGAGACCAGGTTAATGACCAATGTTAAGTAATCATAAAGATTTTGGGAAAACCCGACTTTGTTAGAAATATTCATAGGATTTTTTTGAAGGCAGAAAAAGGAATGTGTATAATTTTTTTTAATAAATTGTGGAGGTACTGTGACCTTTTTGTCCATTCATGCTTATTGACAGTTTATATTGATTTCATATATAAATATATATTTTAGATGTTTTATATGTAATTCCTAAGAATAAACCGTATCAATAAATAATGTATTAATGAACATAAAACATAGGACTATAAAGGACTTCCTGGATCGAATGTTTAGTCTTCTTGTTTTGTCAAGGGTACCATGTTATATACTTTTTTTCTTCTCTGGCCAAGTTTCGTCTTGAAATCAGTGAGATTTCTTGCCAGCAGAGCTGCTGTTGTAGTTCTAGGTTCATCTGACTGTCATAGGCGTTCTTGCTTATGAACTAAAGTTATCCATGGTTAGCTGACATGCAAAGCCCTGGCAGGCGGAACTTCACAGGTTCACAAATGGAAATGTGCAAGGTATATGTTCCTTAAATCTAGTTGGTTGAATACATATTCCCTTTTGACAGCTTCAGTTTTTCAGAATGTGGTGGGAGGGAAACATGAAGTGGAGCTAATAATGACAGTTTCTTAATGGACTTTACTGCTTGGGATGAACTGGGCTATCATGCAGAAGTAGTCAATAATATGGCTTCTTTGTAACACCTAAAAATGAGTATGCATATTAGAAACATATGCGTTCACTTTTTTTGTTCAGTCATAAAATGCTGAATTCTGTTGTCAGTGTCAGGGCAAAAGCAGGTCAAGTCTGTAGAGCTGACTTTTGTAATCTTTTAGCAGATACAATACTAAGCCACTGAGATGTATCTTCCTGATGCAAGTATGATTAGAAATTTAAATCACAAATCCTTTTTATCTTTCAGAAAATTAAATATTGCATACATTTAATTAATCATAGGACAAATGTCGTTTTTCTCACTGCAGTGTTCTTGACCTGAATGCATTTGAACGTCAGAACAAAGCAGAAGGCCTTGGCATGGTGACTGAAGAGGGATCAGGTACTATTGATTCAACAGAAATTTTCTGTGAACTTTTATCTTAACATTTTGCAGAAGCAAGCTGAAAGAACCAAGGGGAGGTTTAGGTTAGATATTAAGAAGAGATTCTTCACCCAGAGGGTGCTTGAGCACTGGAACAGGCTCCCCAGGGAAGTGGTCACAGCACCAAGCCTGTCAGAGTTCAAGAAATGTTTGGACAACGCTCTCAGGCACGTGGTGTCACTCATGGGGCTGTCCTGTGCAGGGCCAGGAATTGGACTCAATGATCCATGTGAGTCTCTTGCAATTCAGGATGTTCTATAATTCTGTGAACTCTGTAAATATATATATAGAGAGGCTGAAGTTGAAACAGGATTCTTAAAAGTGATTTATATTTATTTGATAGGCATACCTAAGCTCATTCTTGTCAACAGTAAATCAGTAGCATGTGTTGGATTTCAGAATGGTCTCAGAGGACTCTTACCCATCATTCTGAAGAAGTGAAGACATTACATGTAAAATTGAAAACATATTCTGATTACAAACAGCAGTGTTTATGCATGTAAAACATTTTAGGAGTCCCTAACCAGTTTAAGTCTAAAATGAAATTATACGTTCCCACCTGATTTCTTAAACTGAAAACCACACAATTTAGTTAAGCTATAAGTTAAATATAAGCGGTTGGGAGAACTGTATTTGCTGTTTGGAGAAAAGCCTACTGGAAAAGCTGTTTCTTTTCTGTTTGTCTTTGGGGAAATATTACAAAATTTTCACTTTACTTTTGACTTTGAACCGATTTAGCTTTCTGCCCTTGTTGTTGTCAGTTCACTGTCAATTCCTTTCTTCTGTCTGACAGTAAGTTCTACTACTCCCTTACTGTGGTTGTCTGGAAATATTAAGTTCATTCTTATTATACTTACGAGAGCTACCAGAGCACGTTTTCTTCCCTTATCCTCAGAATTTTTTACAGTGAATTTTTATAGCTAAATCCTACGGTGACCTAATCTTTTAACATGTTTTTATCTTAAAAACAAGGTAAAAAAGCTTGACTGTATAATACTTATTGCACTTGAAGGATCATAATTCATACCAGCAACACTGTATATGTCATTGTCTGTTGTGCCAGTAGATCTTTTATGCGACCTATTTCTTTAATATTTAGCTGCTTGTCACAAATAATGATTTTTCATGAACTGTTAAATTTGACTGAATGACTTCAAGACTAGTCAAAAATGCTGCTTCTCTGAAAGTGCTCTCACAGTTTAAATTATAGATTAAGTCCTGCCAGACCTATATGAGTAAACAAAAAAATGAAACCATGTGGATAAAATTTGGCTACAAGACTGTGAATTGAGCACTGGTGCAGCTATCTGGCACATAAATTTTGGCCATTACTCTCATGTTTTACTGAGGATTACTCTGTACAATGTTTTGTTCTTTTGGACAATATTTCTATTATTATATGATTAAACTTATTCATAATGTTGGATTTTGAAATGGACTGTCAAGCTCATTTTTCTTTTGACCACTGCTCTGTTTCTAGTGGTGACTATTTTGCATGAAAATATAAATAAACCCTTAAATGCTGCATAACTGACTCTACCAATATTAAGAGTATTTCGTGCTTCCTCATTTGAAGGACTTTTTTTTCCTTTTCTATTTATTTGATGTTTCTCTTTTAGTACAGAACTAATTTTGCCAAAACCAATACTAACTGTACTTTGTATTTTCTAAAAAAAATTTCTCACCTTTTTTTTTCCTTTTTCCCTGTTTCTTTTTCTTTGAACTAATTGTCCTGTTCTCCCTTCCTCAGTCATCACTCATGAGCGTGGTAATTATTAAAAACAACTGCATATTCCTTATTTTTCCTGCTCTTAGCTTTGTGTCAGCACTGTACAGCTCCTGAAAATTATGAGATTTTTTTGTTCCTGTAAGACTGCTAGACTAGTGTGACTTTTCTATTATTATTACAATTATTTATTCTAAAATTCTTGGTTTACATGTCAAATCTCCCTACTTTGTTCTTCCTCCCTTTCTCAGGATTTGCACAGTGATTGACACACTAGATATAAGAGCAGCAAGCTTTTTTATACTTTTTTTTCTTGTTCCTTTTTATTTATTTTCATTTTAGTTAGCCCAGTATTTGCAATGGATGAATGTTAAAAGGAAAATAATATTATATATATACACAAAGCCTTGTGCTATAGTCCTCCTGTAGCCTTTATGTTGTGTATTAAATGTGGCTTTATTGCTACACTGATTTGTGCAAGCACAGGAAATCAGTGGTGGATCCAGTGAGGATTTGAGGGTGGTTAGTAAGGAGAGGATATGCCACTGGCTAGGTTTATCTAATGCAGTCAGGAGTTGATACAAGAAAGAGGTGGTGCATCACTAAATTAGAGAAATCAATACTGTTTGCAGGTGCCTCTTCCTTGTTCAGAAAGCTACTTCATGTGTTAAGGTTGCTATACCTCAAAAGTTCTTTTTTTCAAGTAATGGAAGAACTTTGTAGGAGCAGTTGCCATGACATGTTCATGTCACCATGTGAAAAGGGAATTTAAAATACAAAATGTGTATACCAGTTAGCAGAAACAATAAGCTCAAACACAGAAGTGTCTTTTCATTAGCCAAATGTTGGGGAGGAGGCTGATCTGGTGTTTTATTTGTTTTCTCAGTGGAATTTTTTTATTTGGCAGATTAACAAAATTCTACACAGTAATTAGGATAATTTTCTTTTTGTTTTCTTTGTTACTGAGCAGCAGCAGTGTCAAGATACAGTAATCACTGTCAAAGATTTCTTGGCACAAAGGGATAATATTTGCTAACAGCATCTTTTCTTTATGTATTATTGTTCAGCTACTGAAAATTCAAGAAAACAGGAAAAGCAAATTCAAGCAAAAAAGACTGTAATTTTCTTTTTCAGGGTTACATTATTGTTGACGTTATGCTACTTTCAAATAACTTTTTTTAATATTATGAAGCACACCTTTTTCAATTAATTGAAAAGTAGTTTACCTAAGAGCTGTACAGGTACTGGTGTTAATACCTGATAGCAATAGAAAGCCAAGCCAGTGTGTCTGTGGGGAAAGTCTTGTAGTGAGCAGTTTCAAAGTATCTAGATTTTATGGGATACCCAGGTTCTTATGTCTGTTTGCAATCCTATGAATAACCATCTGTAAATACTTCAAAGAAAGTACCAAAGATTAGAAAGATTTTCTCTCCTTTTTGTTTTTGAGGAAGATGCTTATTTTATAAGTAATGAATTACTCCTCAATTATATTCTCAGGGGAATGATGGGATGTAAAATGTGCATTTTAGTGGTTTCTCATGTCATCTGCTGCAGAAGCACATTAATGAGTAATTGTCATTGAGTTTGCAGCCTGTAGGTCTGAAACTATTATTCCCGAAGTCAAAGAAAAACTGCCGTTGACACTTATGGGAATAGAGTCAACTTTTCCTCATATGCAGTCCTTGTTTCTGGTCCCATGTCAACCTTAGCAACAGATAGAAAGCCCTGTTTTGAGTCAACATGAATATGAGATTTATTGCTCTATTCCAATTGTTTCTTTGTGCTGTCCACATCGTAAGTGCCTTGTCCTGATATTCCTCTGACTGGTACTACCTTCCCTTTTCAAACCCTGGAACCCCCACTGGTAACAACATTGATGGTTCTTTAGCAAACGTGTTTCTTACTTGTTTTTGTGGTGTACTCAATGTTGTTTCTTCTGTATGTATTTTGTTTTGATTGTTCTGTTTCCTTTTCCAAAAAGGAGGGTTCAAAACCAAAGACATGTAGAAATGCTTATTATCTTGCAATGGTTTTTCATTTAACACTCATACTCTTTGCTATTTCACTGTGAGTCACAAAAATCTTGAAAGTGCAATGTTTTTTTCCTTTGGAGAGATTTGTATTACTTGTCATATAAAGTACTAAATTTAAGATTTTAAGTTTACACTTATATTACTTTACCTTTTACCACCCTTTTTTCAGAAAGGTCTATTTTAGGTTTTAATCTTTTAATATTGTATCATGGCACTCTTTTGTTTCTCCATAAGTTTTCGGAAGGCTTATTTTAATAAAATACAATTTTAGAATGAGATTTGATCTGACAGTAGCTCTTAAAGGACTCTCTATCAATTTGAGTGAGAGTGGTATACATGTGATATAATAACTAGCTATACTGTGGGTTCACGTCAGGGCTATTTTCAGTTGTTAACAGTGTGAAATCAGTAAATGTGCTTTTGTTCTTCACCAGCCTCCTCATGCTTAAAGTGGATGTTTAAATTCTGTGTGATCCACTGCAGCCTACATTGGAGAGGTGTTTTCCACCTTTATATCACTATATTTGAATCAGTGTTTGCATTTAAAAGGGAACTGGAGTAACTTCAGAGTTGTTCTGTGTCACCCAGTGAGAGAACAAGTGCTTTCTTATTTGAGTTAGATTGTTGAGAAATCAAAGGTATGCAGGACTCACAATCCAACCCAATATGGTCTATGTCTTGTGATAAGAATAAATTCACTTGCTTTATTTTGTGAGAGCTTTGCTCTTGCTTAACAGCCATCAAAAAGGAGCCGTATTCCCTTTTGAAAGCTGAAAGTATTTGTATATTTTTGTAATATGCAGCATCAGACCCATGTTTCTGAGTAGTAATAGAAGTCAGATCTTTACCACTGAGGATTTAAAAAAAAAAAAAAAGGAGAGAGAATTATTGAACTTGGACACATGCACTTTCAAGGAAAAAACCATGTATTTAATTTTTCATTGAATTTTATTTTCATTCCCTCCACATGATACATCTGTTCTTGTATATCACAAACACAACCTGCCAGTTTTGCAAAAGCTATGGGTTTAAAGCCTTCATGTGTGCAGCCATATAATTTACATACAGCATGAGCAATGGCAGCATTTTAACAGCTAAACAAATATATGGCAGAATATAGCTCATACCAACAGAAATTTGTGACAGCCTAAATTGTACTCTGTGCAGTGTATATGCTTTTAAGTACAATATCTTTGCAAATCTTTGTGTGAACTGGCATGAATCTGTGTGCACAGCAACAGTGGTTGCTCCCATAGATGTTATAGAAAGAAATTGATCTCCACTTCCATTCTGTAGTTACCAGTAAGGCACCACTTGCTGTCAGTAAGTAACATCTGAAAATTAAAATTCCTGTCATTACCAATGTTGGTTCTGGTTGGATTTTGATCAGCTGTAAAAATTGGAAACCAGGATTATTTTAAATCTTAGTGTGGCCAGGTTGTTTGATATGGGGGGGTGGTTTGCTTAATTTTGAAATATGAAAAAATATTTCTAAAAAGAATGGGCCTTTCAATTTATATGTAATGATGCACCTAAACACCTTCTGATTTTGAAGAATTTTTCAATAACTTGTATTCATGGTGTGTTTTATTTACAGTGGAGCTAATAAAAAGACCTTTCCAAGCCCTTCCAATATTAAAAATGGAATTCATTTAATAAAAAAATCCCAAACTCCAGTAAGTGTACTAAAAGCCAGGAGATTACTTCATAAATTAATCTGTATAACATTTTAATTGGAGGCTTGTTTTCCTTCTTGTTCTGAAAAATCTTACTTCCTAAGAGGGCAAGAAAAACAGAGGTCGAAAAATATTAAACTGTAACTTACTCTGTAGTTTTATCGGCTTTGATTCAGTGGTACCTGTATGCGCGAAAAGGTTGGGCTTTTTATGGGCTTGATCTTTCCAAGCAATGTTCCCTGTGAGTTATTTTCTAAAATCATTGCCATCTCAGCAGTCAAGCTAGGTGCATTACACGTGTGATGGTACAGGCTTCACCAAATATTTGGCTTTCTGTAATGCTTGTTTTTGCAATATATAAATATTCATCTAGACCAACAAAGCATGTGACTCCAAGTGTAACTTTAAGCATGAAAGGAATTAAATCAAAAAAAGAGTGACTAATCCTGCAGAATATTCTACACTCTGGCTTTTGAAAAAGATAGAAAGTACACATGAAAGTATCTTGCTGGGCCGAACCTGCATATAATGTTGGATAATATTATCCAGCTTTTAAGAGCACAGCCACCTCCTGATTTTGCCTTCTTGGGCATGTATTGTATGTATACGATAATCAGCTTGGATAGAAACAGTAATTTATTTTTCATTGCTTAATTAGCCGAAAGGCTTTTCAGTCTTCTGTGGCTGAAAAAATGTGTGTCTGATACTTATAAATGCAATGGAGAAAAATGTCATGGAATGTCATTTATGGTATTTGAATTCATCCTTGGAGAAAGAATTGCATATTGTTTACGACTGCCCTAAGTCCACATCTAGGGTTAGGAGAAAGAGCATTTTATCTTTCCCTATGTTACAAGAAATTGTGTTGACATATACCTTAGTGAAGGGTCCCCTGGTCGTCTAGTGGTTAGGATGCGGCGCTCTCACTGCCGCGGCCCGGGTTTGATTCCCGATCAGGGACCCCGGGCAGATGGAGCTCGTCAGCCCTGTAAGGCCATCCATCTAAGAGAAGGTCACTCTAAACAAACCTACGTCCCGAGGACCTCGCTGCCACTGTCCGAGCTTCGCTCGGCCCCGGCAGTTGAACCTTAGGATTAAAGGGTGGGCTCAGTTCAGTGCACACTGTGTCTCACCTAAAAAATCCACTGAGCAGGCTCGAAAGGTAATGACCTTTCCCAAATCTTCGTTCGCGAAGACTGGCCATACTTACCTTAGTGATGTGTACTATTAGTACAAAAGATTATGACTTAATGACAACAGAAAAGAGTGAAATTTTGTACTTTAAAATATTCATATCAGTTTTCAAAATGCTTTTGCT